ATAATAAAATATTTGCTCTTCTAGAACCTTTAAATTATGTCACTTCAAATAATAATATATCAACTCTCTAGAGCTTTTAAAAGTTATCTCTTCAAGTAATAATTTATTCACTCTTCTAGAGCTTTAAAAATTTATCTCTTCAAGTCATGATATAATCGCTCTTCTAGAGCCTTCAAAATCTATCTCTTTAGATAATAATATAGTCGCTCTTCTAAAGCTTTCTATTATATAATATTAACATAAAATAAATAATCAAATAAATCAATACAAAATAAATAAATCAATATATTCATTATAAACACAAATAAATAAATAAATAATAAAATAAATTTGTAACCATCAATATATGACATAAATTATAAGAAATATAAAACATTTTATTTATAAATAGAAAAACTAACAAGTAATTAATTTCAATTACTATTACTTTGATATATAAAAGTGGTCTTTATATTTTACTCTTTATTTTTCAACAAGGATTAACAAGCCTCGATGAGGTGCTTTGGTATACGACATGTACACGATCAATATTCATTCATTCTACATCTATAATATTTATTTTTCAGAATACCGACTTTATTTATTTTTTTTCATAGTTATCCACTTCGGTGGTGAGATGTAATATTATAGTCATTACGATTATAATGATAATTATTTCGACCATATCCATGGCTATGACCACATCTTCATCCATGTCTAAAATTATTATAAATTGTCACATTCACTTCGGGGAATGGAGTAGATCCAATTGGATGAAATTTATTCTTTTTTATTTTATTTAGCCATTAAAAAGTATAAAATCGATTCAAAATATTTCTTAAACTCTTTTTCTCGATATGCTATCGTAGGAGCATATCCGAGATATAAAAAGTAGAGAATATTTTTTCAAAATCAAGCACTCATAATCAATAATTCTTATTCAAAGTATCAAGAGTCATCAAATTAAGTTTATGAGGTTTGATATAATAAAAATTCTATAATACAATATATAATAATAATATTAAAAAAATAAGAATAAATATAATAATAAAATTAAAGCTTTTCAAATAACATATATTATATCATTAATAGATCATTTAAGTTTTTTAAATATATATTTCATGTATCAATAGATTTAAAGTACACGAATAAATTAGATACATACCTCTTAATTATCTAAATAATTTAGATCTTTTGGTAGAGCACTTGTGTAGAAGAAATTCAATTGTTGAAACAACTCGATTAAATCTTTTGGTAGATACATACCTTATGGTCTATTGTCTCGATTGGTTAGAGCATCGTGCCGATAACGTATTATAAAATAAATAGAATTAATAGGAGAATTGAAGGAAAGAATGACAAACAAATGAAATCACTATAATGTGAATACAAGTGATAAAGAACTTCAAAGTTTTTCTTATTTTCTTTAGAAAACTTGTACACCAACTAAAGAACAATCAAGCCTATTTATAGGTTTCAAAATTAAGGAGAGAATTGGAAGGGGACTATGAATAATCAATTGCATCATCCTTTCAATTTCTCATATTGAATAATGAATTGAATCATATTAAGAATTATGAGTAGTGAGGATAAGAAAAGTAGATGAACATTCATTATTTCATAACAAAAACTATTAAATGCCGAGATTTTTGATATCCGCTAATACATGGCCGCTTTGTGCATGATGGATGACAAAAAGTAGCTCTCGCTTGAGATTAGTGAAAACTACAAATCCAATATCCAATATTTATTTATTTATTTATTATTATTATTTATGTTTGAGCTCCTAGCCTTTTATATTACTTATTTGAGTGATAACCTTCAATTATTATTATTTTTTATTATTTGAGTGCATTCCATCACTAGACACCGTTAAATATGTAGCTAGTACCAACCGATACATAATCTTTTTGTACGTACAAGTAGCATTTGATTGTTTTTCTATTTAACCGTATTTCATCACTTGAGACCGTGAGATGCTCATGTAGCCGGTACAAACTAACATATGGTCTTTTTGTATAGACATGTAGCAAAAAGCAAGACCCACTTGAAACTACCGAGAACAAAAAATATATATAAAAAATGATTTTGTACTCACTAAACATGCTTTCACAAATTATTTGAAGTCCATTAGAGAAAAATGGATCAAAAGGTTGGTGGATTGTATGTTTATCCAAAGAAGTTTAGGAATGCCAAAAAAACCTTGCACAAAGAAAATGATATCATTTTTTGAGCTTTTTGTCACTAAACTATACGAGAGATGAAAAATATTTTCGGAACAGTGAACTTTTGAGGATTGATTCGGATGCTGAGTTGAAGCAATATTAACATCATTTTCAAAATTGTTTTACTATTTCTATTGGTCCATACATATATATATTGTGTGTGTTTTGTTTTGTTTTTCTTGTCAATAATTTTGAGTGAGGCATTTTTGTTATGTGTTAATATAAATGACTACGTGTTAATTGGTATCAATCATTTTAATATTTAACGGATTTATGTGACGAAATACGTTCAAATAAAAAAAATCAAATTTTAATTATCCAAATAAGCAAATAAAAGTTGAGTCTTTAAACAAAACAAAAAAAACAAAAAAAACTAGATATAGTAGGTCTTTTTTTTTCGAGCGGAATCCATTGTTTGTTAAAATAATTACATGTCGGTTGATAACGACCATGTCGGCATTTAACGGATCAAAAAGTTGGTGGATTATATGTTACTTGATACAAAGTAATGGATAGAAAGATTGGTGGATTATATGCTAACTCAAAGAAGTTTGGAAATATCATGAAACATTACGTAAAAGAAATGACGTCACTTTCGAGTTGTTTGTCACCAAACCAGACGAGTGATGAAAACTATGTTCAAAATAAAGAACTTCTGAGAACCGATTCGAATTCTGAATTGACGCAACATTAACGTAATTTTTTATTAAAAAATTAATGTTTCTATTTTTCTTTTTTTCTTTTTTTCTTTCTTCTTTTTGAATTGTTGCCACCTTTTATATATATATATATATATTCTCCATAATTTTGGGTGAGACATTTCGCAATGTGTCGGTACAAAAGGACTACATGTTAGTTGATATTGATCACATAAATATTTAACAACTTCATGTTATGAAATGCATCCAATATTAAAATAATAATAATAATAATCAGAGATTAATGACTCCAATAGGTAAAATAAAAACAATGAAATTCACTCAAATAAGGAAAAAGGAAAAAACAAAAACAAAGATTGGTTACCCAAATAAGTAAAATAAAACGTTAGACATTTCATCATAATAAAAACAAAAACTTAGACACTGAAATTACAATTTTCTCTTTATATTTAAGGTGTCACGTCATTTAGCAAACAACCTTCAGAGAAAAAAAAATTGCACTTGTGTACCGGTCTTATTACCCATTTTAATAACTTTGATAGCTTATAAATTTTAAATTTAGTATAAAAAAAATTATATCATACACAGTTTTTAGAAAATAATATTCATTTTTTGCCAAGTCTGAATGATAAAAAGGTCTTTAATTAATGCCATGTTTTAATATTAATTTTTCTAAATTTTAATTTAGACAAATAATTATAATTAAATACCTTTTGCTGTGATTAAATTAATATTTGATCAGTATGAAAGATCGAGTAATGGAAACATATCCAAATTCACCATAAACTTTTGTAGTATTATATATAGATATGGTAAAAGAAACAATTTTACTTTTAGTCTTCGATTTAAAAAATACAGTAATACTAGAAAATTTATTTATTTGCACTCTAAAATTAAAAAAGCCGATCTCATTTCATTAAAAAAAATTAGCACATATTGCAACCTTTTCATAACAGGCAGTCCCCACTTATTTATTTCTTTTTGGTATGGCAATAAAACGATTGCATTCTAATAAAGTATAATGAATATTCAAGATTTTTCTTTTCAAATAAATCGACAATAACATAACGATGACTTTAAGAATATAATTATTAAAAATCCATGTCGAATTGTCATGTCGATTTAGAATGGCTATATATTGATTATTAAAAAATTACTTCAAATTTATGTAAAAGAAATTTAAAGTGGAAAAACGAGGCAACATATTGAATAACAGTGAAAAACGTTATTTTATTTTATTTTAATATATTAGTAAATTGGTTTTACTTTTTATTTTTTATTTTTAATTTGAGAATTTGTATTAATTTTTTATATATTTAAATATTTATACTTACGAAATTTGATCAATTTTAAAATCAATACAAGTATTTAAATTAAAAAAAAATTATAAAGTACAGATATTTCATTAAAAAAATAGCAAACATTAAAGTAACGTCAACATCAAGATTTTGATAACAAAACTAACAACAATAATTGATTAATTAAATTTTGTAAAACAAGAAATAGAAAAAAAAATGAAAGAGTAAAGAAACTAATTAGATTCAAATTATCATCACAGGTAACAAGGTTTAGTTAATACCTAATAGGATTGAATGATTGATGGCTAATATTCAAATATAATATAATATATTCCATGAAAAGGTAACATCCTTTTGTGCAATTGTCTTTCCGTTCTTCTTTAGGGTTCTTCTATTCCTCCTCTTTCTTCCCTTTTATCCCTTTGTTCTTCGATACGGTTTCTCCGTCACGTAAACAGCCTCAGACAAAAGAACTGATATGTAGCGTCTGATTTTCTTTATTGTTGACAATTCTTTTATACATGGACTATTCAAACAAAATTTTAATTGGCTAGTTATTTTCTTTTGCATGTGGAGCAATTAAAACAGATACTTTTTTTTCAGCGGTTCGTTATTCTGACACAGACCAGTCAAAAACTATTTTATTTAATGTGGACCTAATAAAGATGATGTAATTCTTTTACCAGTCAATACAATTGCAAAGGAGGATGTAATAGAAATACAACTGAATCCAAATCCATTTCGGGTTTAACTTATTTATATATGATATACATGATTAGGGGTAATGTTGAAGCTAAATTCTGAGTATGATTGACGGTATAAAATTACACAAGGACTTCTCATTCGGATTTCAGAACTCCTTCCACCAAAGCTTCACAGCTTTGTTGCCCCTGTTTTGTTGATGATAAATCTGAAAGAAGGCTGACTGAAGCCTCATCTGCTACTTCCTGATGCGGATGTAGCAGAATCGAGTTCTCTTCCAGTGATGCATTGGAAGGCAATCCTGGTTCTTCTGTACCAAATTTGACCCATTTCCTGTCCTTGGCATGAAGTAAAGTCGGGTATAGGAGGAACCCCAAGAGAATAACCACACCGCTAACTAAGAATGTCTGCAAAGAAGCCAGGCACATAACGAGAACAAGTAACATTGCAGGAGGAAGGCAAAGCAGTGCTGCACCAAATGTTTGCAACGGAACTTTATAAGGCCTATGGAGCTCTGGCTTCATCATCCTCAATTTTATGAAAGCCGCAAACTCAAGGAGCATTCCTATAGCATATAAGAAGTTCAGAAATTCCAGGATTTCCTGAAAACTCATCCAAGACAGGAAGATTACTCCAGTTGCAGAGCACAAAATGCTAATGGTGGGCGTTCCATATTTGGACCTGCAGAAACACATTAAAGTAATCAAATGATGTAAAATTTTCTATTTTGAACGAACTTTACACAATATTTATGGCCTAGTTGATTATGTTTGGAAATTGGACCTGGGAAGCATAAACAGTTCAATCAATTTGATGAGGAACCCACATCCTTAAGGTGCACTAATAGGGCTTATTTGGCAAATATAACAAAACTTCAAGTTCAAATACTGAAAAATAAAATTGATGTGCAGCATTTTATGATTTAGCATCACCCTGTTAAAATTATCTCGGAGGTAATTGAAATAGATCATAGGGGATATTTTGCTTGAGTTGCTTCATAATATATTAATCTTCAATCATAAAGAAAAGCAGCTATCATTGGAATCCAAAGCATTAAGGAAAAAAAATTGAGACAAGTTGACTGACCTTGAAGCAAATATAGATGGAAGCATCCCCATCTCGCTCATACCAAGAAGTTGAAAAGCATCACCACTCATTTCTGCTGCAAACAATCCCAAGTTAGACATAGCAGCAGCTGCTTGGATCCACCATTTAAGCCAAACCCCTCCAATCAACATCCCAACTTCTGCAAAGTACCCATCACTCCATTCGCTAGAGGGCGAGCTCAATGCCCCCGTGCCCGCAAGAAGTGGAATTAAGTATGAAAGAACCACCAAAATCACAGCACCAAAAAGTGCGTTTGGGAATGTCTTGCTGGGATTTTCAACCTCCCCTGCTAGAGTACTAGCCTTGTCCCAATAATTCAGGTTCCAAAACATGCAATTAAAATATCCCCTCCAATCTACTTTCCTAAAATCTACAACTAGCCATTGTTTAGGCCTAATTCGAGGAATTGAAAGAATAGCCATTACAACAAATGGACATAGCGAAAAAACAGCAAGGGAAACTGCTGAAAACCCAACAATATGCAGACCTCTATAATTCAAATATGTCAAAGAAACTGTAATGCCTAAAAGAGCTGGAATTCGAGCTATTAATTGGTTAAAAATAGGAAGTGAATGCTTCAAGTAATCAAGAAACAACACAGGGTAAAGGGCATTATCCATAACCCCACTAAACCATTTCCAAAATCCTTCTTGGAAACCCCAGAAGGGACCAAAAGCTGAAGATATCCAAATAACATATCCACCATTCTCAGGGAAACTCGTGGCCAGCTCTGCTGTGACTAGAGCTTCCGGTATGCTCCAAATTAAAGGGAATAACAAGAAACCAAGCAAAGACAATAAAGGGCCACCTCCAGCCCTCACTGAATCCTCAACACCAAACGGACCCCCACATACATCATAGAATATCAAAGCAATAAGAGGCAATAGTGTTAGTTTTGGACTTGTTTTAGCTTTGTCCTCTGCATCAACTGGCATTCCCTCTTCACCCATCCACACAGACAGGATCTAGAGGAGGTTTAAACTTTGACCCTGGATTTAGTTGAACTGGGTTTCTCCTAAAAAGCAGATCTTTATGGATTATGAAGCTAGTTTCTCCATACCAATCAATAAAAGAAAAATAATTTGTCTGAAGAAATTACCTTGCCTGAAATCTGAATTTCAAGAGAAACAAAGAAGTACTTCTTTCCTCTAATTACATCTTTCGATACAAAGAACAGGAAGACCTGGTCGGCTAGTCTTTGTATGAGAATTTGTGCTGCAACGTTACGTTATCTTCTCATTATCTTTTCTTTGGTGGTTAATCAATCTTTTATCTTCTTTGAAACGCAAGGAGAGTTGAACTTTTGGAGGTGTTGTTCGCCACTCTCCTGCCTGCAGGGAGTGGGGTATAATTTAGCTGATATTTTTGCAGGGATGCCAGATTGGATCACATAACAGATACTTAGCATGCACTAAAATTCAGAGAGGTCAAATTACCAATGCCTAAAGTTCCACACGCATGCCCATGGGGTTCATATCCCATGTGACAAAAGCAAAGCGTGTCTATGTTCATTAATCTTTGAACAAATTTTTGAAGATTCAATCAGATTCTTTTGTTGACTAAAGTTAGAGTTTTCTCAGCTTGGAGTTAACATACAAATATGTATCCATTAAAAAGTAAACGAAAACCGACTTGATATATTTTGATTATTTTTTTTATCATGTTATTTTTTTTAATAACATTAATCATTTTTGGAATAAAAGTGAAATAATTTAACTTTTTTAATAGATATGATTTTAGAATTTAAATTTTATACATTAATAAAAAAAATCACTTAAAAATCAACTCTTTTCAACTCAGGTGGGTTGAGCGCACCAGGATCCGTAGCAATATTTTTTTTCGAATAAAATAATAAAAAAAGTTATAAAAAATATCATGCACTCAAAGGTTCCTAAAATTAAATTTGAAATATAAAAAATATATATTTTTTTATAAAAAAGTAACTGATATTTGATCAATTGGATGGTAGAACCTAATATTTGTTACGTATCAAAGCCAGAACTAAAGGTAAAATTCTATTTTCTCATTCCATTTTATTAATTTATGAATATATGAATAGATAGGTTGTGACTTTTATACTCTATATAAATGATATCATTTAGCATTCAAAAATAAAATTTATGTTACGAACTTAGTTGAAATTATATTTTCTTATGACAGCGTTTTATTATTATCAAAGTGAAAAGTAATTCGTGTAATTTAATCTCGATGTTAGACGTAATAGAATCGGCTATTAATGGCAAACCGAACAATATATTGACAAGAAATGAAAAGGGATTTCCATCTGATTTCCCAATTTTAAGTGAACCAAACATGGACTTTCGGCCTTCTTATATGGACAAACCGAACCGAACAAAACGAGGCTTAATCCACCCTCGAAATTTCTACAGTCCCGCCTTCTTGTGTCTGTAACAAAATGTCTGACAATCCATTGCAGAATCTCTCCTTAACCTTTCAGAAAGTCTCAAATTGCATACAAACTCATTTGTCTAATTTCACAGGCCAACCTCAAAACCCATCATCATCCACAAGCAAAATCCCTATCTTCTCTTTCTCATCGTCATCATCACCTTTATCATCCAAAATATACCCAGCAAACACAGATACTTCTACTGTCCAACCTAAAGACATTTTTAACAAGGTAAGCCCTTTTACTGTCTTGTGTTAGATAATCACTAACATTCACCGAATCTGAATTTGAGTTTCCAATATATGTGTCTGGTTGGTTTCTATGGAAAGCAGGTTAGACTCAGCAATCTGTTTGACAAAAGTCCTGAATGGATTACTGTGTTTTTGAGGATCAGTTTTCCAGTATAGGTATCCTCTGCACAAATTAGACTATCAAAGGATAACATTAAGACTTGCAAAATATAGAGAGAGATGTCAAGACTAGTATAGAATTCCGTAACCTCATGTAATTTTTAGCTGCCATTTATATAAACAAGAATGCTTGATTGAACTTCTATTATCCATTTGTTTAGGAAAAGTCTGCTGGTCCTGTAACTAAAGAAGAGCTTGGAAGAGTTACTTGGACTTTCCTACACACTCTTGCTGCTCAGGTACTCTCAGAATGCAGCTTCTCTCCCCTGAATACCCTGCACGTTTATTTGTTAAAATTTAACCACTCTGTTGATGATACTATGTTGAGGGGTTATTTTTAAACCTTTTGTTTTCTTCTTTTTTCCTTTCAGTATCCTGAACATCCAACTAGACAGCAAAAGAAGGATGTAAAAGAACTGGTAACTCTGCTATCCTCACGGCATACAATTTAACCAATGCCAGTTAGACTATTTGTCAAAACGATTATTTCAATTTGATAGAAAACACATGAATTTATTATTATATTGGTGAATTTATCATTCTTGAGACTGCATATTTTAAATTTGTCTCTCAATTGTTAATTAGATGAAGCCTTGGGTGAATTTTTGTCTAAATGCTAAATGAACCAAGAGCAGTCCTTGACACGGTAAGAGCTTAGAGGACCTTCTTAAAGATATTAGAAATACTAAAGTTGATCTTGAGTTCTAGTCTGTGATTTGTCTTGAACAAAGAGCTGGCATTTTCTATAACTTGTCCCAACCAAAAGTGTACACCTGCGGCGGGGGCAGGTTGTTCTAGTTTAGTAGCTGGTTCTTGCCCTGTTATACTGTTCTAGTAGTTGCCATTGATGTGACCTGACTGCATTTAGACCTGGCCAGTCGATCTTGAGGAAAATCTCCTTTGTTTTCAGTTGCATTTCTTTGGACATGAACTGTCCATTTTGGAGGAAACTGATACGCAAATGATATATTCTTGTGTGGTTGAAAATTTCAGGCTGCTATGCCATTTTGGTTCATTCCCTATATAACTAGATGTGATAATTTTCACTTGTCACTCTATTCTTGTTCATCCTTTCTAAAAAAGAACATTGGACTGATTTCGGTTTGCTTATAAGATTATTAAGATCAACTAAAAGGATTGCTTTGGCATTCAGATGGCAATTTTATCGCGGATGTACCCTTGCCAGGAATGTGCAGATCACTTTAAAGAAGTCCTAAGGTATGCTGATGCTGTTTTTTCCCCCCTCTTGCACCCTTTTCCAAATGGTGTTCTAGGCTACAGGTGTTGTCTACAGTCTATGCTCCCTCATTCTGGAATGGTTCTTTTCTACACATTGCTTCATTATACTACCCGTCCAATTTCTCTTTGATACTCTGCTACAATGGACACTTTACTGTATCTGCTTTCTCCATGATGCTATAAACTACAAAAGGGGGATTCTTAATCTATATTTTTACAAGGGTTTCTAACATTGTTACGTATGGCTGCATTTATGTGTTTGGCAGAGCAAATCCTGTACAGGCTGGATCTCATGCTGAGTTTTCACAATGGATGTGCCATGTGCATAATGTAGTTAATAGAAGGTAAGTTGAGATGCCAATTGCACCTTTGATCTTGAGTGTAGACAAATTGCCACCCTGGCAAAACCATGTATTCTTGCTAACACTTGGGTGATTTTAACAGCCTTGGTAAACTAGTATTCCCTTGTGAACGAGTTGATGCAAGGTGGGGCAAGCTAGAATGTGAGCAACGTGCATGCGATCTACTAGGGACTACAAATTTTGATGAAGATTAGTTTACCTCTGTACTGGAGAACTGTAATTCAAAAACCATGCTGTGAGTTATAGTTAAATACACATTATTTGTCAATAACAGTTCGTCGAGTCAATATCCATTTGATTTTATTGGTTCAACTTTTGATTCATCATTTTGATGGTCCTCTGCTGCTAGCATTTTGATGCAAGACAAAAATTTAACTCAGTAGGCTTTTCCAGGTTCCCCGTCTCAATTTCTTTTCACATTCCATAGAACTTCTTGCAATTAATCCATCTAGCAAGATGGGATGTGTAACCGAGGAAACCTTGTTTAGCCTTGTAACACTCTAGAGCATGAGAGTTTGTCATAGAATTGGCAGCAAGAAAACTGCACTGAAACTCTTTCTTGCAATTTTTCCATCCTGTGAGATGGGAGAATCACTGAGGAAATCTTGCAGGCTGACCAAAGGACACCCAAAGCTCTTGATGATAGTTGTCTTAGCAGCAAGAAAACTACTTGGTATATAAGAGGGAACATATCAAATTAATAGCTTTCAATAGATGGTAGCAAGACAGAAAAATCAAATCATTCACAAACTGCTTGTCAAGAAAATATAATCAAGGTTTCTTCTTTTGCATTTTGATTCAACAGTTACATAAAACCAGTTCAGTTCCAATTGGAACCAACCCCACACAGCCCTAGGCTGAAGAAAAATAACCACTGCCTGAAGCACCAAGATGAAATTTAGCTGACTGATAATGCATGTCAACTTTCAAGAGAGAACCGATGCCTGGAGTACTAATTACTAAGATAGAAGTTTAAGTGCCTGAGGATGCACCCTCAGCTTGATTGCCTTGTGAACATCGGATGGAACGAAATGGAGGTGCCTCACCAAATTTCAATATATAGGCAGTCTCGTAAACAGGTCTCAGTTGCATAATGAGTTGAGCATCTAGATACGAGTCACAAGCAAAACACCAAACTGACAGATCACTGTAATCAAAAGCAAACCAAAAATAAAATTCAAATACCAAAACAAGAATGACAGGTGTAAAGCTGGTTAGAAATCATAGACCACAAGACAAAATGTATACTCGTACATCTAGAATTTAACACATTCTAAACGATTATCGAATTTTTAACACATACCTATAACTGAGAGCCAAACAATGGCTGGTTTGCTGAAAATGTTGTAACATATGCTTATTCACAAAACGGCTACAAAGCACATCCTTACACGATAAGCACAACCAGTTCTCACTTGGATGTTGGCAACTTAAAACATGTAATAAAATAATTTCAACAAATTAGAAAATTCAAAACATCTAATGTGTCTACAATAATTCCTTTTTTTTTTTTTAATAAAAAAATTAAATGTTAGGGTTTAAGAGAGTGGAGAAAGATTACCTGTTGCAAGGAGTATCAGGAGTTGGAATGTGAGAAAGATCAGACGAAAGAGAAGCCAAGTGATCGCATGATGTTCGGGCTTCGACCCAACCCGATTCGGCTCCGTATATTAAATCGCTCTCATCGTCTTCAAATCCCAGCTCCGATTGTTATTCACAAAACTAGGTTAGAATATAGAATCTAATGCTTCAAGGATAAAATTTTAATAATTCACTATTTGCGTTAATAGCTAGAAATAAGATTTTCTATATGTATACATATTTTGGGGGAGGCTTACCAGAAGAGAAGTGGAAGAGGCACCAGCTTGATTTGCCATTGATGCGTTTGTAGTCGCAGTTTTTGAGTAAAGGCTTGTGAAAGAGTTCCAAATGCCTGAAATGACACCGTTTATGGCCAATCATTTTTAGAGCAAACTATATTGTAAACATTATAGATTCGAAGACGTTCCACTAGCCTCCTGTAGATTAGAGCCACCCCCAACACCCGCGCGTTGTTGTCAATAAATCTATTATATATTATGCTTTACTATGTTAAATAATTTAAAAATATAAACATAAATAAAAATTAATTATTACTAATTGTAAAAATTAATTATATTACATAATATATATTAAATTAAATAATTTTTTACAATTAATGTAAATTAATTTTATTTACGCTTATATTTTTTAATTATGTAAAATATTAAAACATACAATATATATATATATATATATATATATATATATATATATATATATATATATATATATATATATATATAATTGAGTTTAAATATATCTTAACAATATTTTTTATTAAAACATGCAATTAATTATTTATTTAACAAAATTAAATTAAAAAAAGTGTTTAATCAATTTATATTTCAAGAATTTTTAATTTTATTTAATGAGTAAAAAAAAAAAAGCAATCATGAATTATTAAAAAAAATATATTTTGAGTAAATAATAAATAATGAAAAATGAAAGCATTAAAATTAGAAAAAAAAAAGGCCGGGTTGGGCTGACACCAAGACTTTCATATGGGCTTGGAGTAAACTAGACCCAAACAGCTGGACTAGAAACTCAATCCGGTCAAAAAAATTCTAAAGACTTGTTTGTAATACTAATTAACGTTAGAGATTGTATAAATTAATAACTTAGAAAACTAAAATGTAAACAATCCAACAAATTGACATAATCACTTATTTTTTTCGAAAACTGGCATCGATCTAGTTTCAGTGTAACATGAGCTTAGTTATTGAAGCACCATTTTGTTTTAGTATATATTATAATTATAATTTTTCAATATTAATGTTGTAGAGTTGTAATTGAAAAAAAAATTCCGATCTAGTTTTTCCCTCCTGTTGTTGAGTGTTGAAATTTGGATTCAGTAAAGCATTCGCTTATTTCTTAATAGTCATAATCATGAAATAATAATCAATTAAACAGCAAAGCCATAGGGTAGAACTTATAAAATACAACGTACAAACACCCTTATTAAAAAAAAATGATAGCAAACATCAGAATATGGAGATATATGGACATACGAAGGCAAAATAAACCTTGACTTAAATATTTTTCTTAGATTATAATATGTATGCAAAATACAATTGAGACTAAATGCATAAATAAAATTCCTCAATCCTATGAAATTAATTTTTCTTGAATGGAAAACAAGGAAATGCAAACTGTAATGACGACAAATTTCGGGGGTGGTCACTTGTTAATTAGTTATATTTATTATTTACCCGCTCCCAAAAAGAGAGGTAAATACGGTTAACTCTCCATGTAGCACCACCACCCATTTTTCCTCAAACATTCAACATTCAACGATCTTAACCTTTACAAACAAAATTTGACCTCACATTTTCTGCTCTCTAATTTCATCGCATGCTCTAGGGTTTGCTCGACGGTTGTTTATTCCAACAGGAGACAAGAAAAGGGTTTCTTCTTGTCAAATATTTTACATATATGTTGACATATATAAATTTAAGTCACGTGTCGATTAGATTCGACATTATAAAACGTTATACCTTAATTAGAATGATGCATTTCTAGAGTCTTAATGAAACGATACGTTTGGATTCATAAACCAACTAATATCGATGGATACGGATTTAAGGACCATAAATAAAACGGTGCGTTTGGGTTCACAAACCAATCAATGTCGACGAGATAGAGGTTTACAATGAAACGATGTGTCGATATCGACGAAATAGATATTCTATTTAGTTTCACAAATCAACGGATATCGACGAACAAAAAAAAGGATAAAACTTGATAACCGTTTGCACTCAAAATTGAGTTTCCGAGCGGTTATCAATTGACAACGGTTTAAAAAAAGGGAGAAGACAAATGAAGGAGACGAGACAATAAGAAGACTTATTTGAAATTTACTTTTATCCTTTAGTTAACCCTACCTTCTTGTAAAGTATCGATAGCGTTTATTCTGCTTTTCAATAACTTAGGATTTTTATTTCAAGTATTAACAAATGACAAGCATCCAAAACTGTTAATGTAAGTGTTGTATCTTTTGATTTATAATATTTATATCTCGAGTTTATCACCTTTTCTTTTTATTGTCAATTTTATCATTCAAATCGAGATATCACATAAAAGTCCTATTGGTTTACTAGGCAGCATTGAACCCTTCATTATTTCCTCGCGAAGTACTTGGTTATAAATTAAAGTGTCAATTTACTTCACATTTAAGACCAAATTCGATGAGCAGGAACAATATCTATATATGTTGCATTGTCATGGCTTATGTGTGTATATATATATATATATATTCTGTCACATTGTTATCATGCTATATTTTGTCTTTTAAAGCAGTATTTTTGTTGAAATAATTTTATTTCCATTTATAAATAGGTTCTTTCAGTGGAGAATACGACGGAAAAAAAGGTTCAACAACTTGATTTGAATCAACAGTCATTTGAAGAGCCTTCTACAAAGATCCCTATGGAAGATGAATGTTCAGTGGAGCTTGAATGCAATGTTGCAAAGGAGTTAGAAAGGGTGAAAAAGTTGTAGCAAATTGTGATTCTCAGCTTGAGCTGAAACAGAAGGAGTTCCAAAGGATGAGGAACTTGATCACAGATTTTAATCGTGAGTTTGAGTCCAAGGAGATGCAGTTGAAAATGCTGCAGGAGAATTATTCTGCTGAACTTTATTTGAAGAAGAAGCGGAACTAGATGAAATCCAAAAATATATTGACGGGTGCTTGAAGGAGGTTTATCTGAAAAAGGAAGGAATTTGATGGAACTGAAAATTTGAAGGAGAAGCGTCTTAAAGATCTTGATCTGAATGGCGAGGAAATGACTTGAATCCAAACATCAATTGAGGACTGCTCAAAAGCTTATAATTCAGAAAAGCAACATTTTGAATCAATTGTTACGTTGGTTGAGGAACACTCAGAAGAACTTAAAGCAAACGAGAAACAACATGATGTGATAAACAAGTCAATCATTGAGAGATCCACAGAGCTCAAATCAGAAGAGACAGACTTATGGCTGATTGAAAAATCTATCTGAAAGAAGTCAGCAATACATCAAAGAAAAGAGGATAACTTAGATTCAGTGAGGAAAGATCTGAGATATTATGCCAGGAAACTTGAATCAAAAGAAGAAGAGCTCAAAGATATCAATGAAAGAGTACAAAAAAACACATGAAGAAAGAGAGAGAGTTCAACGCTATAAAAATGGCCACTGAAGACCACAGTGAACAACTTAAAGGGAAGAAGGAGCAATTGAAATCTGTTCAGACATCATTACAAGAACGTGAAGAGGAGCTCAGAAAATGATGGAGCAGGAAAAATCAATTGTGGAAAGTTATTAAGAGCTTGAACCGAAGGAGAAGGCACTTGATTTGGTAAGACAAGTTCTCAGAGAAGGCTGCCATTATTTTGATTCGCTAAAAAGAACATTGGATGAACGCTTGGAAACATTTGGAATGAAAGAGAGGCAGTTTGAAGAACGTGTCATGGAAAAATCTGCAGCTTTCAATTCGCTAAAAAAGACATTAGATGAACGCTTGGAAAAAGCTAGAATGAAAGAGAGGCAGTTGGAAGAACGTGCAAAGGAGTTTGAAATGAGAGAGCAGCAATTCCATTCAATGCAAAAATCAGTACATTTCACTAAAGAAATTAGATGAAAGTTTGGAAAAAAATGGGTGGAAAGAGAGGCAGTTTGGAGTACGTGTAAAGGAGTTTGAATTGAAAGAGCAGAAATTTCATTTGATGCAAAAATCAGTAGGTTCAGTTTCGCTGAAAAAGATGTTAGATGAACGCTTGGAAAAACTCGAAATGAAAGAGATGCAGTTGGAAGAACGTGTCAAGGAGTTTGAGTTGAAAGAGCACCAATTCCATTCCATGTAAAAATCAGTACATTCTGATTCACTAAAAAAGACTACAGATGAACCCTTGGAGAAAGCTGGAATATTGAAAGAGAGGCCGTTAAAAGAACATGCAAAGGAGTTTGAATTGAAAGAGCGCAAGGTCTCAGGTGAGTTCACAGAAAATTTCTGCTGATAAGAAACATGGTTTTATAAATTGTCTCCCTGGTTCACATGTTGATAATGCTATATGATTCAACAATTTACTGTGGCAAAGGAGGGTGCAATTTAATTTTATCTGGTTTTCTAATTTTCATTTTTATAGATTTTATTCAAAATCTCATTGGAAAGAAGCAGCACACTGCAGCTGAAGATTTAGGCTAATCAACAAGTTCCCTCCCGAACTCATCTTTCATGAATGCATTAAGGATGTAATGGCAGATGCCTGGGTCTCCAAAGATGGAAAGACTTCATTTGAAGCACAGGAATGTCTAATCTATCCCATCTCATGCCTTATCATCTACTTCCTAGCTAGCGATCGGTGATCCAATTGTCATTACATTACACACGCAAGAGCATGGGCATGTGCATGCACATATGCTCTTAGTTAATTTGAAAGTTTGTTTAATGAATATGGGACATTGTTGCAACGTAAGGCCATAGACAGAGAAGTAGCTGCTCTAAGATCCATGTTGGAACTCATAGCAGATAACGAATTGGAAGCCAAATTTATGTCCAAGGACATTATAAATAGCATTTCTTACTTGGAAAAGAAAAGGTCAGGGTGGACACACTCATCACAAGCTCCTGCCACTATGGATCAAACGCAACTGCAAGGCAGAAAGAATCACACAGTTGCTTCTGTTCCCATTTTTCTACTGCAGCTACAAAACCTGAACTCCAAGGATCAATTGCAACTTCAAGATAACAAAAAAAGTCTTAGGATAACAGATATATCATTTAATAAATCTGGGGCAAGGAAGCAGAAAGTTTCTGCCCTCATTGCACCACCTCACTTACGCAGGCCAAGCTTCCGGGAGCAGCTGCAACCGCAGGATAATAATAAAAGGCCAAAGATATATGTGTCAGCTGATAACCCAGAAGTTACTTCAGATGATGCAAATTATGGAGGTCTGACAGAGACTTTCTCAGGTACTATGAAATTTAGTGCCTCAGAATCAAATGCTCAACAATAAGCTGGGAAGACAAAACTACTTCTACCGAGTTAAATTCATAATTACACCAATGAGAAATTTTTATGGGATTATTCAACAGACAATATCAACCCAACTACTTTCATTAATTAAGCTTCGAAATTAAGTGCATGCGAACACTTCAATTTACATGCCAAACGCACATTAGAAACTAAATAAATACTTAACATACTTACATTCAAGTACCCCATTTCTTATTTACAGCTTGAAAAGAACTGCAATAACCACAACCATGAGCATTAACCCGTAAAATAAGTTCATCAAAACCATCATCTTCATCAACCCAAAATTACTCTCCATTATGTTAATCCTGGAAGTCAAGCTCCGCACTTCAGCCTTCAGTTCTGCAACATCAACCATATCCAGAACTTGGTTCCGCAAGGCTGATTGAATTTCTGGTAATCTTGTATCCACAGCTAGTGCTTCATTGTCAAAACACAGTTCAAATAAATCACACTTATTCTCTCCGCAAGCATAATACATCTTGTTTTTGTTCTTCTCTGACTTCAAAATCTTGATCATTGCTTCTTTCCCACACAGGCATTGCTTGTGAGTAAACTTCAAATCATTCTCATTGCTTTCGCTTGCACTGGATGATGACAATATGCCCTAGAAGGTTTCAAGAGAACCCATCAATACCACTCCAATCATATTTCCAAAAGATTTATAACAAGAAACGAAAGAAATTGAGATTCATAACAATTATTTTAAAACTGAGGTCCATTTAGCTCACCAAAGCTCCTTCAGGTCCTTCATTAGACATCTTCTCTGATGTCTCATTTGATTTCTTGGTGCTTTCCCCTTCCATTGAGCTATTTTTTCCCCGTCTCCTCCTCCGTCGCCTTTTCCCCTCCCTGTGATTACACTCTTTAGACTCGCAACCTGCAAATTTACTCAACCTTTTTCAAATGAGATATAAATATAGACAAAAGAAAAGGACTAGCAGTTACTGTGGCAGAATTCAACTATCTGGTGAGTATTGGTGTACCATCAGCTTGGTTAGCTTCGGTTCCTACATGTTCAACTGTATGAAATGGCAGAGTTTCACCAAATTTTAGCTTGGAGGCTTTCTCAAAAAGGGGTTGCAGTTGAGGTATCAGTTGAGCATTCAAATATGCATTACAAGAGTAGCACCACACAGAAAGATCACTGTTTTCAAAAGCAAGAAAATACATCACCAACAAAACTTCTCAAATATGTTAGCAGAAGAATAAAGCGTTAAAGAAAAGGAGCAAGCATGTACTCATAGCCAAGTGCTAGACAATGTTGCGTTAGCTGATGATGCTCGAGCATATGCTGGTTGACATAACGGCCACAGAGTACAACCTTACAGCATAGACATAACCAATTTTCCCAGGGATGGTTGCACCTTAAACATGTAAATTGTTGCGCAAGTTAAAAGTCGAAGGAAACAGAAAAAGAAAATCCTCTCATCAAAAAGTTCAATCAACACAAAAGGTAAGAAGCTATCCAATCACACAAATAAAAATGACTACAGGTCATCTTGATTCAAATTATCAGCAAGAATTTGACATGATAACATACAACTGTATTTTGCTAATACAGGAGAACTGGGGTAATGAAGAAATGGGTTGCATTAAATAGGTTCGAACGGAGAAAATATGAGTAACAGAGGCACTGAAAATCGGAATTAATTGCCACCAAGAGGGAGGAAAAAAAAACCTCTGTTTGAATCTGGAAATGCCCATGGAAAGGACAGTGATGAAAGCATCATTTAAATAAAAATAGTGAAATCAACCTATAAAGTTCAGCCTAATTAAACCAAAATGGATTAGTTAATACTTAATCATGATCAAAGGCTTAATTTAGCTAACCTGCTGCAAGGAGTATTAGGAGGTGGAATGTGGGCAAGATCCGATGACAGGCAAACCAAGTGATTGCAAGAACTATAAACCTTGGCCAAACCTGAAACTGATTTGCGTTGAAACTCCATGGTGGCTAGTTGATTTTCCTGTCAAAAGACAACTCTAAATCCCTCTCAAGGACAAAAGAAAACAACAAAAGCTATTAGAACACACTGATGCATTCAGCGTCTGTTCAGAAGATGAGCGAAGAAAAAGGAAATCATAAAAGAAACTACTTTAGAGAGAGAGTACCGGTTGGCGCGTATGTGTGTGTGTGGGTGTGTGTATGTGTTGTGACTATTACCCGTTGGTTCGCCGTAGAAGGTGTAGAAAAGAAGAGGATGACTTCTCAGTAAGCAAGTCAGCAGCAACAATTAAAAAAATATTCCTTCTCCACGAGGAAAGGGGAACATATGTACAACGTAGTAGAATTAGTTCTCTCTTTTTTCCTTTTTCTTTTTTTTTCTTTTTCTGCTCTGTAGGTTTTCCCTCTCTCCTTCTCCCGTAAAGTCCATTTTTATTTATATTATTGATAGGACTATGATGATTTTTATAGGCGGTCAGCATTTTTTATCTTTTGCTTCAATAATCTTGGATTTTAGTTTATTTATTTTTTTAACTGAATTTATTCTCTTTTTTTTGTTCTTTGTATTTGTATCCGTTATAGAATTTGTAATGCTGTAAAGAAGACTTTTTAAAAATATTGGCAATTGATATTAAAAAAAAATAGCAATTAAAAAATTAGTACCAAAGGTATTAGTGAATTGCTGAAATAAAAATAAATGTTTTAACGATCCATTTCTCTTATAGTATTATTTTTCAATAATGAAAAACTTGTTGTTTCTCTAGATTTGGCATTGTATCTTAATTTTCTTGTTTTTTTTTTTAAATGTATGTTTTCAGATGTCTATATATAACATTAAAGCTATTGCTATTCTTTATTTGTTTAAAAAAAAATACTATTTTAAATTGGGTTCAATTGATTATGATGTAAAAACCTTTCTTTTTTTCATATAAATAAAATTTTTAATTTAGAAAAAAAAATAACAATATAATACGTATTAGAGTCACAAGTCACAAGGCGTACCGCAAGAGTATATAAAAACGAGTTTTTCTTTCTAAATAGGATTGTTTTAAATCTATATTGTTAAAATAGAGTTGTTTTCAACTTATTTTTTCAATATAGGATACTACATGCCTCGTAAGCTTCATCTCAACGATTTTTATATTTTTTTTGTCTTGATATATTAATAAAACTCTAATTAAAACTAAAATTTATTTCACAAATAATTAAAAGAATATGGATTTTGATTTTTTTTTATTTTCTTTGACTGATTTATGAAAATTTGAATAACATTTTTAAAAACATTAAAATCTTTCTAGATTGTAATTCATTTTTTGTTTGCTAACTTTTACACACACGTCATATTTTAATTACAATACTATAGACGCGATTTTGAATGAAATGCCTATTATTATGCACACAAGGTGCTCGTTCAAAATTTTCAATGAACTTCTTCTTTATTTATAAAGTGTTTGGGGTTAAAGAGTCTTTTTATTTTTTTATTATTCAATGATTATTCCATTCAAAACACACGATGAATGAGTAAAAAGAGGCAAAAAATTACCCAACATTCAGCTAAAGCAAGCAAACTGATATTAGATAATAAGGGCATTGGTAAAAAAGTTCTTATAACTGAAGTCCACTAGATGTTGAAAAAATGCTTGCTGGTTAATCAAACTCTTAATCATCAAGAAAGGTGCCTCAAAACTTCTCTCGTAACCTTGACATTATTGCATAGGATAATCTAGAGCTTGTTGGAGATTCCTTGGGAGTGAATCAAAATAGTAGAATAATCCTGATATCAAAGTTTTTTTTTTTTAATAATATTCCAAATAAAACTGTTACTTTCCCTTTCACAGAAATTAATGTACCCAACTCTGTCTAGGAAAATGAGCAGAAGATCTTACCATGTATAGGGGAGCGTGCATTCCTTTCGAAACCTGAAATGAGTAACATAAGGCGGTGCATGGTTCTCAAGTTCATTATCTTTTCGTTAGTCGCTGAAGGTTTTGGGGGTGGCCGCACGCCACAAATTGGCCGCCTAAAGGTCAAAAAATAAAAGGTTTTTTATTTTTTATTTTTTAAGAAGGGAGGTTATAACATTTTTTTAATTAATGAAATGCCTAAAATAAAAAATCTTTTAATGTAATAAAATTACTTTTCAGCAATTAAAAAAAAATGTCGTAAATAAAAAAAATTGATATATCGAAAAAGTGCTGTTGTTTAAGAATTAAACTTAAAAATATCTTATTTAAGAAATAAAGATTTAAAAATATATTGATTTAGAAAAAAACTCCTAAATTTTAGGTATCATAGCATTTCACGTTTGTATTAAATGTAATAAAAACTAATCACTATTTATTCTTTAAAATATCTAATTCACATGGTCAGGGAATATTTAATAGAAAAGATAAAAATATTATACGGGAAAGAAAAAATGTGACTTTCGAAAGCTTAAAGAGGGTTGTGAATTAGATAGAAAAAATAAACTTACCAGTTTAAATTCTTTTTTTCAAAATATCACCTAACCAATCTTAATTCAGTCCATTTTTAAAATTTGTAAGTATTTATAAAACTACAATAAAAAGAATAGAGATAGAAAAATGACATCACGATATATAGTCGTTCAGTCTAACACCTAGTCCACTTCTCGAACAAAAAGTCAAGTATTTTTACTATTTTACAGTCTTTTTCACAAATTAGGTCTCATTGTTTACACGCTAAAATTTGTAGGGTTCAATATTAAAGTTTTTATATAATTTTTTTTACGAGCTCAAGATCAAACCCAACTACACGACCCATCAAAATTTCACAATCAAAGACCCAAGTGCTTGAAGTGACACTTACACTTAATAATTATTTTCACTCAAAAAGAGTGGATTAAGAACTCACACAAACAAAGAGAATGTTACAAGATGACAATTTGGAGTTTCTAACAGAAAATAATCTAGCTTTTTTTTTTTTTTTTTGTATAAAAGATTTAATGCAATTAAAATGATGTTTGAAATGATTAAAGTATTACCTTGTAAGAGAGAGAACGAGACTGAGATGCGGGTTAATACCAACCGATTGAGGTAATTTTAGAAGCTTTTCACGTTTTGTACAACAACTATCATCTGATAATCATACTAGATGATATTATTGTTTTTGGTACGTGGCAGCTCAAAAATAAAAGACCAGTAAAATGATAAGCTTGTCTTGTAAGCGACAAAAGTAGGTGAAGTCTTTTCGTTTCTTTTCAAATTCTTAAACATGTTTAAACATAAAAAACATAATGACAAAATAAAAGGAATAATCAAGCCAAAAAAAAAGTCATTTTTTCCCCTTCATTTGAGCCATCTGGTGTACCAAAATGGTCTCTGCTTACGGCTTACTGGTAGACCAAATGATTCATAGAACCTATTGTGCAAAATGAGGTTATGAAAATAATTTTTAGGAAATTATTTTAGAGCACCGTTTTAGATATAAAAGACATTTTAAAGTGCCAAACTAGTCTTTAAAAAGACTCGAGTAACATTTTTGCTAGTAAACACCTAAACTATTATTGAGTCATTTGTTTCCAATATGTTCCACTTCATGATATGCATCAATTCCTTGAAATAATAAACAAACCTATACAATCGAAACTCAAGATAAATATTGATATCCACTAATTATTTTGCTATTATTATATATATATAAAAAAAAACTAAACCAAAACATAAGTTTACTATTCATTACATTACACTCGTTTCAAATACTATTCATCTACGCTCACATGCACTATTCACACAAATCATATACATCATTTCTTTCACTATATAATGGTCTTTTTTATCATTTTCAAACTTTTAAAATATATTTATTATTAAAATTTTTGTGACACTACACTTTATTCTTTCTTTTTTAAATATTATTTTTTTCAGTTCACAAATTTTTAAATTTTATTGCGGTTCCTCTTTTTTGTTTCATTTTAATCACTTTGGTCCTTGTTTTTTTTTTCTTTGATTTTTTAATTAAAAAATTTAAGGCAAAAAGATGTTTAGGAAAAAAATTTACAAAATAAGTTTTTAACTAAAAATATGGATAGAGATAAATAAATAACATTTTTTTAATAAAAAATTATGAAATATAAAGAATAATTAGTCAAATATAAAATTTTGATTAAAAATTATAAAATTGAATGATTTTATTTATTTTTTATTTAATATATTTTAATAGATGCACGATATAACACATGATATCAAAATAAAATAATTTTATGTATTATGATGTAGGTGAAAAAACTTGTCAAAACTATGAGCAATGGATCCTTTTGAGCCAAAACCCTTTTTTTTTTTTCATGTATTTAGATGTGAAGCGATATAATTATTTATTTATTTTATTTAACAATAAAAAACATTTTCCGATCAACTTATAAGAAAATTAAGGAAAACTAAATTTTCTCTTAAAAAACATAAACATAGGAAAGAAGATATTGACCTATCTAGACATTTATAATTCACATTCAGTTTCAAGTTTCTTAGCTAAAAAAGACAATACACTTCTCTCCATTGATATAAGAAATGATTGCACTGGTTTCTGCTTTAGAAATTAAAAGGTGATCTCTAATGCACAAGTTTCGTTTTTTTCTTATTTTTTTACAATGCCTATATAAGAAATAGTTAGATTTTTCCTTCAGATCTCAATAATATAAAAATGTGATCAATGGTAACTAATTAGACGATCCAATTTTATTTTTTTCCGATAAAAGAATAAGAGTAATGCTAGATAAACAATTTTTTTTAGACAATTGTGACATGAATTAATTCTTATGACGAGAGATTAATCTTTTATTAATTATGAAACCTGTGTTTTACCACTTAATTACTTGATACATCAATTTATATGTAATTTTAGTATAAAAAATTATTTTTAAATCATTTTTCAAAAAATAATACACCGAAGTAACTAATAATGTGTTGTAAATAGTCTAATTTACTACCATAATAACATTAATATCCAAAAATTTGGGAGCGAATCAATAAAGAAAGGGCCGAAAACCTTTGCGACAGAGGACTCTGAGCCTCTAACCTGCAGACCCAAATTAGCAGTCACTTGGGGCTAAATCACGAGAAAGGCCCAAACCTGAGAACCCCACGGCCTGTATGGCATACGCACTAGGAAACTAGGGTTTTGTAACACCACTATAAATATTAACTTCCCCTGACGGAGGCAAAAACCTTCGCCTAATTCCAGGATTTCAAGTGGTCTCTAGCGGCTTCAAGGCTTGAGCGATCAGCAGCATAAAGGATGGGTCACTCTAATGTCTGGAACTCTCACCCCAAGAACTACGGCCCTGGTTCTCGCACCTGGTAATCGATACTTTCCATCTCTTTCTGTTTGTTTCCCGAGAAAATGAAGAATATAATCTGGTATCAAATATATGGGTTCACTTGCTTGGTTCTATCAGTTTTCCTTGTTATGCGCCTTTAATATGTAGTTGGCTCTGAAAGATAATTTGTTTGTTATTTATAGGAAATTGTACTATTGATGTCATGTCTGATTATCCAAAGAGCTTTCCCAGTTGATGTTTGCAACTGGGGATCTATTGTTGTTGTGTTTGCATATTTTCCCGAAATAATTATGTCCTGTTTTGGATGGTTTATAGTTTATGAGCACTATTAGCTAGTGCTTAAGATGATGAATTTAGCTATTTGCTGGGTATAGTTTGATTTCGAATTTCAATGGTTGCTAAAATTGATTTTGGTAAGATTTTTCTGGTCAGGATTTCTATGAGGATCAATGCTGTTTATGACTGATTTGTTTGAGTTACTACATTGAATGGTTTAGATGGAAACATTTTTTAGCTATTAGCTAGTGCTTAACATGATGATCTTAGCTGTTTGATGGGTAGGGTTTGATTTCGAATTTCAATGGTTGCTAAAATTGATTTTGGTAAGATTTTTCTGGGCAGGATTTCTATGAGGATCAATTTTGTTTATGACTGATTTGTTTGCGTTATTACATTCAATGGTTTAGATAGAAACATATTTTTTTTGAATATTAGATAGAAACACAAAATGCTTCTTTATATGTTCTAATGTTTGTTTTGTTGTGTTACTGTTAATTTGTCAGCCGTGTGTGTGGGAATCCCCATGGTATTATCAGAAAGTATGGTCTCATGTGCTGCAGACAGTGCTTCCGCAGCAATGCTAAGGAGATTGGATTCATCAAGGTAAAATCATTGATTTTGTGCTTTTAGTTTGGTATGTTAAATGAATAAGGTTTATTTTTTTGTTATTTGTTCTCATTCTATGCTTTTCTTCTTTTTCAGTACCGCTGAAGAAGATAGCTTGTGTCCACTAGACAAGAGCAGATGGGTTTTTCTCAAGTATGATCTGATTAGCAATTTTATGTCTGAATGAACTATTAAGACTGTTTTGTTTAGTTGATGTATTGTTGAACTTGGGTTGACGTTGGAAATGGAATATTTTTGGCTACTTGATAATATTTTGGAATTATCTCCTTGAGCATTTTTTGTTTCCTTTTCATTATTGTTTTGCATCATGTTCTAAGCGAAGCACTTCTTTTTGACTTTGTCTTATGCCCCTGTCCATATCACAATACTTGTCAAATGATCTGGTTGTAACTGCCATTTATTGGTAGCTGAGGATTTTAGCATTATTCAGATATTTTGATCATGGTTTACGGCTGGTGGTCTTCACAAATCCTCTTACTCTGTAAGAATTTGAGTGAGAGTATCTGCATTGTAAATGTGGATGAAAATATTAATGGCCTCTACTTTTGTTCTCTTTTCTTTCCTACTTCCCATGGTAATCTAGGGGGTTATCTTGAACACTTTTGGAAGCAAGGGGAGGATATCTGCTCTTCAATGATTTAGCAGGTCAGAGACCATCTTCTAAACAATGTTGAAGCAAATCAAGCTCGCAACAAGAATATTGATCAAGTCTTCTGTGAAGTCAGAACATCTTCCCGGATTTTGTTTTTCGAGTCAAAAACTGTCTCCAAATGATTTGAATAGGAACTGGAATATCGTTTAGGTTCTCCAATGTTTTTTGACTGATAATCACTGGGAAATTGTGTTTTCTACTGACGATACGATCAGTGGGAAAGCGGAATTGTGATATTATAAATGCTTCACAACTCGAGAACCAACTTTGGAGTTTATGAATAAAAATTGCAACATGTGAAAAAGATAAAATGCTTGAATTTTCTCCCGGATGGAACACTCGCGTCCTGCTCGGGTGTACAACCTAAAAAGCTTCTGTTAAAAAAATAAAAATAATAATTAATAGAAGAAGAGAAGACAGCGGTTTATGAACGAACAAAGATCATCTAAGTTTTCAAGACAGTTTAGACCGATGACCAATGTCTTCTGCTAAATCTGCACCATGAAGTAGGTAATCATTCAATTCTTCTAGCTCTTTTCTTCTTGACTGCCTCTCTCTCTCAGGGGCAAAGAGGCCAACTTTTAGAGTTATCAAACAGCAAACCCCCAGTCAGGGAATCTCAATTTGTTCGTTTGTGAATGTTGACATGGCAAGGGTGGCAGTGTTTGGATTCTGGGTTTTGATTTTTCTTGCTCGAACACTTCTCATGGTAAGTAAGTTCTATGAACCCAAGTTTTTATCTGGTTTCATTTCAATACTCTATTCATTAAATTGATTCTATCTTTACATACATTCAAAGTCAATTTTAAAGAGGAACAATCCTAAGTTCTTGGTGCCATGTATCTTTCTGTTTCTCTGCCATAGGGTTGGCTGCATATATAACTGTTGTACTGGTAAAACTACAGAGTCAGAATGCTTTACATATGCATCGCTATTTTCTGATAGCACCAATATAGTTTAGACGACTGCATATGGACTCACTTTTGTTCCGAAACCCTACACAAGTGATGCATAAACTTTCCCTTGCACTCCATTACCATCCAAGCAACAAGCCCCTTGGACCACTAGGTCCTTTATGTTTCTGTTTCCAACAATTTCCTTTCCTTGGTCCATCATCTAAGCATGTGCCTTTCAATCATAAAGTAAAGTAAGCAATCACCAAGTGTTTTCTTTTGATAGCAAGGTTTGCAATTAAAGGACCATGATCTAGGTCTTCTTTTTTGGCACTTGAACGTTGTCGATTTAGTTGTAAATTCCACCTGTGTGTGTTTAAAGATCGCACTCTAATAATGTAAAATCTATTTATTTACTATCGTTTCTCTTATCTCACTTCCTCAATCCACATTGAACGAGCTCTTGCCATTAGAATTTCCGATCAATTATCACTACTTCTATCCTACCATTAGGTATTGTGTGATTGCCTCGCTTTACAGCCTGTGCTGTCCTCTCCGTTTTAGCTGCTTAACAAGCTCATATTTCGTGGTCCCGATCCTGATGATGCTAACATCTCCTTTTTCGTGCTATCATGTCGAATTAGGCTTGCAACTTGAGTGGACTTCGCTTAATCATTGCATGCCTCTACACCAACAGACATAGAAGCATCAAACCCGTGAAAGACTGTTTGTGACCATCCGTGCAGAGCTAAAGAGAAATTGCAAAATCTTACTTAGGTCACCTGTTCTTGAGCGCATTGCTCCAACTGGGCGTGAGTAGGGACTGATATCTTTCTATATAGGAACCCTGACCTAGCACAATAATGATTCCTAATTTTATCTCACACTCATCAAAGTGGACCACTGATCATCATGAAGAAGATAGTATTAGCCGAAGTCCAGTTTCATATACTTGGACTGCAATTATTTACTTCCTACCTACAGAGTCGAGTAGATCACCTGAAAATAATAAATACCACTGCACTCATTTAGAGATGTTGAAAGCTTTGGGCTGAAAAGCTGCAGAAGGAAAATATATAAAAGCCTATTTCAGGTTGAACTTTACATGGTTCGAAACTTAATGACCATGTCAGACCATGATTCTGCTGAACCTAGTTGCATAGCTGGATCAGCTTTGCACCAAGTTAATATAGCGAGTGGTGGTACCTTTTCCATGTTAATGAGTCATATGACTCGATATTGATTATTTCGAGCTCATCGGACTTTTGTACTGATTAACTGAATATTGATTATGACTCGTCATATAAAAAAAGAGGTTCAAATTCTTAATTCAACTCCAATATTGTCTCTTTTCTGATCATTTCTGTTATATCGAATTAATCCCAGATATGAATTTCCCCAAAACTGAAGATGGCATAACACCTACAATATCAATCAAAGAACTAAAGGTATACTTCATTCTTTAAATTCTGACTCAACCCTAACTGTACTCTATCGATGATTTTATGAATCGCAAGAAGGCATTAGTTTGTGCTGAAGGCTGCAAAATCCATTATCTTGAAATATAAGTTTGCTAAATGTCAAATTAATGAAGAATTTTCTTCTTGTTATTTATTTTGATTTCTCTAATTCCTGGAGGGAAGCTATAGACAGAACATAAATTTGGAGGGCTACAGCTGGATTGATCGAGCTCTGTAATCTACTGTCACCATATCCAGACCAATGGAACATGGCACTCCTGTTATACCTTACATTCCAGGACCAACACTGCCATATCACCCAAAGCACGGCAGGTTCAGTTCACCTCCTTCCCCTGCTTACACATTTTATCACCAGCCAGAAACAAGTCCTTACATCAGATATGGTTGTTTTGAAGCTATTTCGAAGTTGTTGTTGTCTGAAGTCTTACATCAGGTAGTCAGCACATATGAAAAGCCGCCCTTCGTTTGGTTTCCTTTTATGATGAAGTCTTAGAGGCAAACCTGTATACTTCATTTTAGCAAAATTACTAGTCTAATTCTTGTTTTTGGCTTTTTGCAATGAAAGGATGTTTTCTACTTATCATTTTCATTTTGCATGGTTAAAAAAATCTTTCTGTGACTCCTGAAACTGAAACCTTCAAGTACGCATTGGTTTGCTTTCAGTTAGTGCCCAGGCATCATTCAAGCTGATAAGGTTTAGCCTAACAAATTTTAACTACTGATGCATGGTGTGAAGTAACCTTACAGGGTCGCATACACTGAAATCACCTACATGAGAAATAAAAGCTCAGACAAGCTAAAAGCGACGGCAATAATCTCCTTCACCAACCTCCTTGACTATTATTTCTTCTCTTTCAAGGTAGTTTGTGTGCCGCTTTCGCATTTCTTTCAAGCACCAATCAATTATCTCTATCATCGAAGCACGCATCTGGAATTCTCGTGAATGCTTCATCTCTCCAATTGGATCATAGTTATACCACATTTTCTCCTTTTCACCACCTTTAAGATTTCCTTTCTCATGATTTAACCGAGTTTTGAACCTTATCCTCACTTTCTGGGATGCAAATCCTTGAGAGAATATAATTGTGTCATCCCTAAAACTATTGATAATACAAAATCTCCTAAGCATTCAAGTAGTGCATCTTTTTCATTTTAGAGGCACATGCTAAGTTATTTATTTAATAAGCCACTGAAATAAATTACTTTAAGATATGTTTTCATTCCTGAGTCTGGTCCAGTCCAACTGAAGATAGAAAAATACTGAAGGGAAGTATTTGTGAGAACCTGAAGGTCACCCATCACTGTTCTAATTTGTAATGGTTGAAAAAGGAGGTTGTGTGAATTCTGCAAAATGTCGTACTAATATTTTTTATCCTATGTTTTCTTTCTACTTGCTTTTGAATCCTTAGTTCTAAGAAAATTCTAAAGCACATTTTAATGCATGCACAATTGGCTTTCCCAATTGCCACATTGTTTTCTTTTCTTTTTAATTCTCTTTAATAATAAGTAGTTGAATGCTTTTATATGTGGGGTTGAAGGGGAAAGGTGAAGCAATGCTGGAAAGTAATGGGTCCAGACAAAAAAAAAAAAAATCATACTTCCAATTATATTATCACTTTCAAAGTGGGTTAACTAATACCAAATTAAACAAACGTCACTTAAGTTGTTGTATTACTTTTAAATTAATTGAAGCATGGAGTATACTTTAAGTCACATGCCTCCTTCAAAAAAGCTTTATTATCGTCATCTCCCTTTATAGCCATAGCTTAACAAACGGAGTTCTTAATACATCTTCATATTCATTTTGTTTTATTGTGAATTGGCTTACACATGAGTCGTGGACTAATTCTTACTTGTGTCGGTGTCTAGTTTTTAATCAAACTATCATCGTATGTATTAATAAATTATTTCTTATCAATATATAAAATTTAAATCATTAAAAAGAGTTAAATTTTGTCATTTTTGTTTTTGAATATAATTACACTTATCCTTAATATAGAATAAAAATATCTAAAAAAAAAAAAAAACAATCGTATATTTTTGCTTGTACAAGTACAACTGACCTGTGGAATACAAACATAACTGCAATTAATCAAACTATATTTTTGCTTGGAGCCGCCGCTCCCTCCCTTAGCGGTCCCCTTTCAATTCTTGTGCTTTTTTCTTGGTGATGGCCTGATGGGTGAAAATTTATTCATAGTCCTTGTAGTTTTTAACTTCATTTCTAGATCCACGAAAGTTACAGTGCACGATGAACAAACAATTAACCAAGGCTTTGGTCGTGGTGTTTTTGATGTTTTCGAAGATGACTTTATTCATTAACCATTATTAATTCCTTTCTTGTAACTCTATTTGGGACATGAAAGATTTTTTTTTTCTTTATGTGCAGATACTTGGGTTACACAAGCTGAGTAATTTTTCCATCCTTCCACATTTTCTTATGTAAGATCTGTTTACTTACACAAATTTTAGCATGCAGTTCAGTCGTATTCAAGTTATGTTGAAGTTATATATGATTGGAGGACTGTAGCAAAATCAGACATACGACCCTACACCTCTTGTTTCCTTTACAGTTGACTATCATTACTTTCGCTTTCTTTTTGGGTCACAACTAGTCAACTAGATTTGGCTTCCAAGGGACCCGATACCAAATTGTAAATAACTTCAATGGAAAAAGAAATTTTTCTGAAATTTTCAGGGAAGTTGACCTTGTTTACATGTAATTTAGTGTTTCATAATTTTGAAACATAATTGTTGAATTCGGGTAATTAAGCTGACTCGTATCCGAAAATATTTTAGTTAATATCTAATGGAGCATCGAGAACAACCTAGATCTGAGAAAGCAAGGCTAGTGGCTTGTAATCTGGACAGGATTAGGACAAAATTAGGGGAGAAATTCTAAGAAATAAAGAATTAAAATGCGTTAAAAGCAAGGGTGGGGTTTTTAGAGAGGTTGAGAAAGATAGAATGAGATGTGGCATCTTATTTATATAATTAACATAGAAACCATAATTATTAACTAACAAATGGGTTGTATAGCTTAGCTTGCAAAAATCAACAAGGCGTTCTTGTCGTTTTTTAGAACTTTTCTTCAAGTTTGTAGCATTTTCATATTGGTGACAGCAGCAAACTCATTGTCTGCTTGAGAGCTCTTTTCATCAAGGCTGTCTCTCTCAGGCTAGCTCAGGTAGCCCCTCTCTTTCTTTGCTATCTGTGTTCTTTTAATCTTGTTAAATTTTCATCCCCAGCATTGTATATTACTGATCTGGGGCGTTAATCCCACCCCACCAATGCTCTCTTTAACCTTTTAACTGTTTATTGTTGCGCCATGACAAATGTAAAAAAAAGCACGTGTGATGAAAACACCTTATAAGGTTATTGTCTAATTAATTACTACCATGAGAGGTTGCCAAAAAAAAAAAAAGGGTTGGTTTTTGTTCTTTATTTAATTTAATTCATTTCATTTCATTTATTCAATACCTATCGGCTACGAGATTCTATTCATTTTCAGTCATAGAATTCAAGTCTTAATGAAAGTCACGAGAAATATATATATATATATATTTGTGTTGTCTTTTTCTCATATGAATGATTTGCTTTTGTTCAGATGAGAAAGATGGATTTAATATTGATGTATGAAAAATTGACTAAAAAATACCATGTTGCCATGAAACCAAGAACAAAATGGGTTTTATTCCTTTTAACATCCAAGTGAAACCAAGAAATTCGTTCTTATTGCAGTTGTGCAGTCACAAGTTTTCTTTTTGCTTAAAAAAGAGAAAATGGAAAGTTTCAAAAGCTACGAGCTTTTAATATTCCTGTAGTTGTAGTAGGCCTTGTGGGTGTGATGTTACGATTATGTAGTCATTATGAGTACTGTTTAACTACTCAAATAAATAATTACCTGGTGTGAGCTCAAGCTTATTAGTTTATTACCTACCTTCTTTGCTAATCTAACAACAAAGAAGTGACTGCCCAACAAGCGACTTGCAAAATGCCAAGTTCATGTATGTGAGAGATACTCTGCCAATTTTACAATTATTTGTACACACATAAAAAGTTTCAGACAAAACAATTCTTTTCTTCGGGGACGGCTATAGATGTGGTTGCTTGCGAATCCCACTTGGCTTTGTTTTGAAGAAGCTAGATTCTTTTTTCAACTGTTAAATTATGTTCATTACTCATCAAGAATACTGTTTAATCATGTTCATTTGATGATACACGAGGATGTCATTGCTCTGTTTTTTCAGTCAATACTGGTTTTAATCATGTGAACTCTTGGGACCAAAATATTGGTTCACAGTTATCATAAATCAAGCAATGTGATGATAAAAATCCAGATACATGACCCCAGCAGCCCAGCTTTTTTCTTTTTTCGTTTGTGTGATCTACAATTGTGAGTGAATACTCAATAGTGTGTAAAACAACCTGTAATTAATTTACAAAAATTAGTTAAAGGAGGGGAATTGATAATTTGATAGATCAATTACTGTCACTAACTAGTTCCTTTTTTTATTTTTATTTTGTGATATTCCGATCAGCTTTTAAGTGTTAAGACATAGGCTGCGTAAATATGTATTTTCTTGTTTTTCTTACAATCAATTAAGAAAAGTGTTTTACTTGTAAACAGAACATGAACTAATAAATCTTTCATTCATGTGAATAACTTAACTTAATAACATGGCATGGAGCATCCGTCACAGTCTTTAATTATTCTATGAAAAAATAAATCAACAATCATCTGTTTTGTGTTTTTTTCCCCTAAATTATGAAAGATGAGCTCTGCACGTACCTAACCAGTAAGAGAAATTAAATAAAGATAAGTTTCCTCATGTGTAATCTGTAATGAGACAGAAAGAGCAAAAAAAAAAAACACAAATACTAACTCTCCCAATCAAATACCAGAATTTTGTAGTACAAAATTAAGGCGTGTAGAGTAGAGTAGGGCAGAAAAACCAAAAGAAAACCATACTCTAACTATACTTGAAAGTTTTATCATAACTAAAAAATGACAGAAACACAATTAAATCATCATCACTTCTCTCCAACGATTCACCAAAACCCATACCCAAAACATATACACACACTCACATAAGCACGCCTGTGACTATCCTCTCTCAAATCTTACATCTCTCACCTACTCTCTCTGATCTCTCTCTCTCAAAACCCAAAATAGTAGTAAAAGCTAGAAATGCAGACTGATCCCTCACTAATCCGTTTTGGGTTTCCTATTTCTTGCTCAAGATCCTAACTTTTATCAACTTTTTTGCAGGATTTAGGCACGAAACCTACAATGTTGTGTCTTTAATGTGAGAGAAACCATAAAACAAGAAAAACCAAAACTTTTTTCGAGAGGCAATGTGAGAAACTCATAAACCAGATTTGTCACACGCAGAATGGTGGCTGCCATCCCTCAAGCAGCAGCAGCAGCTACTGGTTCAACTGAAAAAGCCTCTAATCCAACAAGACACCCACTTTTACCTTCTGAGAAAGACCAACAACGAAACAATGGTAGTACCCACACTGCAACAAGGAAACCCAGAGGCAAACAAGTCCCTTCTAGGTACCTCTCTCCCTCTCCTTCCACTTCTACAACAACAACAACTACTACTACTACCACTTCAAGTTCTTCGTCTTCAAGTTCTTCATTTCCAAAGAGATTTGCTTCACCATTACTATCAAGGTCTACCAATTCTGGACCTTTACACACACCATCAACAACAACTACAAGTTCTTTTCTTTCTGGGTCTAAAAGATCCCAATCTGCTGATAGAAGGAGGCCTGCTACTTCTACAAGGCCAACAACACCAAACCCACAAGGCAATGCAACTGAAATGTCAGCTGCAACAAAGATGCTGATTACTTCAACAAGGACTTTATCAGTTTCTTTTCAAGGTGAGGCCTTTTCACTTCCAATTAGTAAAGCTAAGTCTGTGACACCACCACAAAATAATGTAGCTAGAAAAGCCACTCCTGAGAGGAGGAGAGCTACTCCTGTGAGAGATCAGGTTGAGAATTCAAAGCCTATGGATCAGCATAGGTGGCCAGGGAGGAGTAGAGAAGGGAATTTGAAAGAGCGGAATCCACTGCTGTCTAGGAGTTTGGATTGTAGTGTTGTTGTTGGTGGTGGCGTAGATAAGAGGGTTATTGGATCTGGGTTTATGGGGGTTAAGTCATTGCAGCAGTCTATGATGATTGATGACGGCAGGAGGTTGAGCTTGGATTTAGGCAATGCTAAGCAGAACCGAGATGCTATTTCAGTAAATGAGTCGTCTTTTACTGGCGATCTTACCGCTTCTGACAGTGATAGTGTTTCCTCTGGTAGCACTTCAGGAATGCCAGAAATTGGTAAAAAAACTGGGGCTCGTGGCATTGCTGTTTCGGCAAGGTTTTGGCAGGAAACTAATAGCAGGTTGAGGAGGTTGCAGGATCCAGGTTCACCCTTATCTACTAGTCCCGGTTCTAGAATGGGTGTTTCACCAAAAACTACTCAATCAAAAAGATTTGGTAGAGACGGTCCTTTGTCATCTCCACGAATGATGGCAGCTTCGCCTGTTAGGGGAGCTGCACGGCCTGCATCTCCTAGTAAGCTTTGGACATCTTCAGCTTCATCTCCATCTAGAGGGATGTCTAGTCCTTCAAGGGTGAGACCAATGAGTGGCAGTTCTCCTTCGATTCTTAGTTTCTCTGTTGATTTAAGGAGAGGGAAGATGGGGGAGGATAGAATTGTTGATGCACACATGTTGAGGCTTCTGTATAACCGTTATTTGCAATGGCGGTTTGTAAATGCAAGGGCAGATGCTACCTTCATGGTGCAAAGACTGAATGCAGAGGTATGGTAACTGACATATCATCTAGTACGTACCGTGTTTTCAATTTATTCATCTGGGTTCGCTTTTTTTTTTACTTGGTTTATATTTTGTGCATGTGCTTTTCATTAGTAATAGTTGATGTATTCATTTTGTCATGTGAAGTTGAAAATAATGTCCATTTGAAATCTGAAAGTGAATGCTTAATGAAAAATGCTATTATTTTCTTTCACTGGAGGATAAAAAAAATTTGCTTCCAAAGTCTGAACAATGGAGGGAAAACCATAAATCTAAGCAGGTACGTTTCTGTGTGTATTTTGGAGAATTTGGTGGAGAGGATAAGTTAGGGAATGAAGGACTTTGATGTAGCCGATTTGCAATGGTGCTTGAAAAGGATAAGTTACGGAGTCTAGATGGCTTTTGCCTGCTATTTATTTAAAGGAGTGCTACATTACTATTGGTAAGGACAAGCTTTATGATGCAATTGAGGATTTATGCTAACTTAAATTCCCAAGAGCCAAGGTGACATAGTTATCTTCGTGCCTAAGACGATATTCTAAACATTATAATGCTTTCTTTGAGATAGGAATGGCCAGAATTCCATTCCCTCACTATTCCTAGGTGATTTGCATCATTTACACAAGATCTTTGTAGAGTTGTGGGGCTTAGGCATGCCATGAGTACCTTAAAGAAACATTTACTGTTTGGATATGTTATCAACATGATTTCAATATACAGACCCATGCATTACTTTGGATTACCTTGGATTCTTCGAGTCCATGCTAGAATGGAAAGCAACAGTGGTGCAGAGAAAGTGGGCACTAGCAGGGTAGAAGTTGTGTTTGTTGACTACACAAGTGTTCCCTTGTTAGATGACTATGGGTGCGTAAGAGATTGAAAAAGGTTCAAAGGGATATTTCTGTTGGAAGAGTATTAAATGGGGAAAGTGGAAGAGGTACACAAAAGAAGTTCAAATATCATTTTAGTAAATGTGAATATGCATATTTTAAAGAGGATGAGGAAGTTGCTACTTTGAATGAAGCATTTTTAGTTAAGCTATTTTGGTTTTATGAACAGGGGAAAGGGCAGTTTGAGGAGGTAGACAAGACAAGTTCTGATTTCATTTTAGTAAATGTGAATATAAATTTTTAGAAAGGATAAGGAAGTTGCTACTTTGAATAAAGTCGTTTATGGAGATGGATGGCAGACTCAAACAAGGGAAGTGGATAAATACTCTCTATTTTCAGTTCTTGTGGTCTTGTGGGAGCTATTAGAGGAGCTTGTGATATTTTTCATTTTCACTGCTTGTGGTATTTGGGTATTATCAGAGATGCTTTGACTTGACATTGAGTGCAGAAGAGACGTTTTAAGATCCCTTTTTCTGTAATGCTTTTTATTTAGCCAATAGTTGTCAATTACCTGCATTTGAGAATTATTTCTTGATACCGTTATAGGAATGCTTGAAGGCTTCAGTATCTGATTATCTTCTAGTCTCCTGGCCTTTAAGGTTTAGAAGGTGGTACAGGGTTGATAATTTGTGCGAACACTTCAATTCTGGATAGTTTCAGAGTTTGTGGGGTAGGATATGTTGGAGTTTTTTATGGTTGTCCAAGATTGAAAAAGGAAAACTTATCATTTGACTCCTCCTACTGATTCTGGTTTGTTCCTCCTTCCAAAAGCGTATGGGAGGAAAAGGTGTATCCTAAAGTTGGAGCCTAGCATTGTTTCTGTTTGTTTACCAACCTCAGTTGGCTGACAGGCATGTTGGTTAAAGATAGTAAAGTCTAAAGGTTAGGGTAAGTTTAGCTCCAGTTTCTAAAACTGTTTTTTGTTCTTCAAACAAGCCCATTTTTTTAGACTGAAAAACTCATTTGCCTATCTATTCTTGACAACAATTTTCTGAAACTTTGTTTCTCCAAAAAAGCTCCATTATTGACAACAGGAAAAGGTTGTTTTATGTGTTTCCAAAAGCGAGGTCATGAAGAAACAAATTTCCATTTAAGAAAATTTTCTTTAGTTTTTTTCTCCTTTTTTCTGAAATGCAGTTTAGAGAACAGGAACCAAATAGGATCGCCAGCATTCAGCATAAATGAACTTCTATGCACCTCATGGTTGTCTAACAGTACTCCCTCCCTCCTCTTATACTTTCTATCTGGGTTGAAATGATGATTTTTTGTTTGCGTTCACCATGTGAGCCTTTGCTTTAATTCAGGAGCTTGTTCTTGCAATACTGCCTACAGAAACTTCTGTTTGCATACCTTAGCCTAAACAGTTTATTGAAATGAGTTACTTTGTTGCCAAAATTTTAGGATAAATGTAGCAGACACATTATTGTGATTTTTACACTTAATCTTATTTTTTGTACCAGAAAAATTTGTGGAATGCGTGGGTAACGATCTCAGAACTACGGCATTCTGTCACTCTCAGAAGAATCAAGTTACTTTTGCTGAGGCAAAAGCTGAAGCTAACTTCTATACTCAAGGGACAAGTAAGATTAAGCTTCACTTAACTTCTGTTACAGTATTGAACCTCTTAATATTTCTGATAAACTATCTGCATTCAGCACACTGGATTATCTTACCGTCTTTATATTATGCTAAGCTTAAATGTTGATGCTTTGATCTGGCAATGCATAATGGAATTTCAATTTATATAGTGATGTAAACTAGAAGTAACTTGGAAATGCTTAGAAATCAACCACATCATTCTACAGAGATTTAAGATACTGGGACCAAGCACGAGATATGAGACACCTATCTCATTTTCTGGGGGATTTCAGGGAATAGTGAGAATTTTTTATATCTCGTTTTTGGCACCTGGTATAAAACCCGTCATTTTGTGTTCTATCTTATGTTTGTCTTAATTTTGCAGCCATTTCATCTCTTTTCCTGTATTTAACATATCTTTGCTTGAAAATTCACAGCTTGAGAATTAGTAGGAAAGTTAAACCTGGGAAATCAATTTAGCCCTTAAAGATGCTTATAATTTGGTATTTATACCTATTGGACTTAGACTGATCAATCTCTCTCATATTGTAACTTGTTTCTGTCATAGAGATTTTGGATCTACTGTTTCCCTGCTCTTTCCTGCCATATGTACCCCAAATGCCTTCCACTATATCAATTTTTTTAATGTTTGCTTTTATTTGGAACCTGACCAAAAAACAATCAAGACCATAAAATTGTTTCTAAAATCATTTGGGCAGAATTCTGAAAATGTCCAATGAGCTGGTGAAGCATTTAGAGGCCTTGATGTTTGCCTCTATCATAGATGCTTGTAGAGCTTTATCTAGATTTACTGTAGTTTATTGATCATTTATTCAGGAGTAACGTTGTAATATAAGTTGGTCATACACCTTCTATGTTAAGGGTCTCCGATGCCATGATGAATTACTATTTATCAACACCTTCCAAGGATTAGTCATTGATTGTGTTTACTTAGATGAGTGTTATTTTTCTCTTTTTGTCACTGCCAGAAACGCATTTAGTTTTAAATCTTTCGATTTTTCTCATCTTCATTGCTGAAGCTCATTACACTTGGTGAATGCAGATTGCTCATTTAGAAGAATGGTCTCTTCTTGATAGAGATCACTCGAGTTCTCTGGAAGGAGCAACTGAAGCTCTGAAGGCCAGTACTCTTCGCCTTCCAGTTGTTGGAAAGGCACTGGTATGTGTGTTTTTTCAAATATCTAAGATGAAAAACATTTTACAAGCACAACATTAGCAATATTGAGGTTAACAAACTTCACTTTTCTATATTACAGGTCGATGTTCAAATTCTGAAGGATGCTGTTGGTTCAGCAGTTGATGTGATGCAAGCAATGGCATCCTCAATATGCCCGCTATCAGCAAAGGTAGCTCATTCTTGTAATCATAGTTATGTATAATATCATGAACTCAAGAAGGGGGTGCATTAACTGATTCATGTCTTAGTCATGCCAAATATTCTTCTAAAACATAACAGAGGACCTTGAAGATATGAGCAATAAAACACAACAAGGTGTTCTTATTGCTATGTTGATGAAGAGTAAGGATTAGCTTGGTCACCCAGTTCTGACTCTGGTTTGAGGGAGTTTGCTGGATTATTCCCAGTTTGCCTTGTTTGACTAGGTGGATATGTACTGTTCCTAAGTGCTGCTTAGTTCAGTCTCCTGCTGTTGGTATTTTTTTTTTTTAAAGAAAAAAAAACTTTAATACCTGAAATCCCATTCTCCTAAAATGAAGATCACTCTTGTCCTTTCTAGTCAGTGAAACAGAAATTGATTGTTTGGCAATTGGCATCAAGACATTAGCTAAGCCATTCAATCTTGATCTCCTATGACGTTGACTTTCATTCCTGAACCTAATAGTCCCAGTACTGTGTCTTCTTGGTCATGCGGTATCTAGTTCCAACATGCCAACGATCTTATTGAAGTTCATTGTCAACTCCTCCACTTAATGACTGGAAATAACCTGATTTATTCTGGTCTTGATAAATCAAGGGAAAGGGGCATGGAAAAGATGTACTATTGCAAATAGGTTTGCGTAAAATCATTTGGTTGCCGCTTCCTTGGAATTTATAGAGATGCATTTACTCGCACATCTAAACCAATTTTCATTCACAGGTGGAAGACGTGAATTCATTGGTGGCTGAACTTGCGAATGTGACTGCTAAGGAAAGACACATGCTTGAACAATGTAAAGATTTCTTGTCCACCTTAGCAACCGTGCAGGTAATGGTTCTTTCATCTGGCTACACTAAGATTAGTGAATTATTTTCCTCTTTATCTGCTTCTGAAATATTGTGTATGTATGAACAGGTTAAGGACTGTAGCATGAGAACACATTTATTACAACTAAATCGTTTACCAACTACCAGCAGCTTGACAACACGTGTTTAGAACTGATCTCACTTGACCACTCACGCTAAAATGCTAACATTACACCCGACTCTTCTTTTTCTATTTGGTGGAGGAGCACTGAAGGTAATAAACATGGATTGAATAGTTAGTTTTGGCTTCACGTTTGGCATTTTTTGAACCAGTTGTGGTCTTGTATTTCTTTCATTCCGGGCATCTTTTTATCCGAAGATGAATGGAAGTTGTCTTTCACCTCCTGCTAATTAGCTGTATACAATGCAAAAGGAAAGTAATGTATATGTATATATGTAACATGCACGTTGGTTCATTTGATTACTGAAAATTATGTAGTTCTGGAAATCTGAACATGATGTTGTCTACTTGTCGTTCATGATTTTTTGGTTGGAAGTCTTGTGACAAGGCTTAGTAATTAGTTCACTGAACGAGTGAGAACATTGCAAACCATAGTGTCTGAATTGAGGGAAACCAGCCATGGTGACAGCTCTCTGCTAAATGTTTATGTTGTGTTATTTTATAAACAATTATGCATAATTTGTCGGTGCCTAACATGGACATGAATGAATGTGGGCAGAACTTGGCACTGACTACTGAAATTAGGCAGAATCGTAACCTTCATTGTAATTTGCAAACTCGAGAAAATGTGTGGTATGTGGTGCCGAGTTAACTTGTACCTATTCAATGCATTTCTCAATTACCAGAAATGGATTTTGCTATTTCTCTTTAGCGACTGCAATACTCTAACCTGCAAGAGGCTGGAACTCTAGACGCTTCGGAGGAGGATGAGGTACGGTGGTACATTACTAAGCGAAAGAGTTGTGTTTTCTTAACTCATATAATTTCAAGCAAACATATGAAAATTTATCTCTATTTAACATTTAACAAGGAATATTTTCTCAAGGATTTTTTTTTTCCCTTGGTTGCGTAGACAGATGATAGTGCCTTTTCTACTTGTAAATAGTTTTTATTTTATTTTCATACATTGACTGTATAGACTAGGAAGGTCAGCGACAGCTCATGTTGTGGCTGTGCTTCCGGCGCATGGGAAAGTTAAAAGTCCCCAGCCCTACCGCCAACATGAGCTGCCGGTACGGAAATATTAGAATAATAACCTAACGAACTTCTAACCTAATTTTTCATTTCACTTCATGTGTAATAATAACAAAAATAATAGAATACATCAACCTTTCCGTCTTTAGCCGCCTTCTCCTACTGAGAACATTGTCGAACCTAAAAAAGGCAAAACCTTTCTTCGATTCTTCCACTGTTTCTTGTCTCCTCCTATTATTATTGTCCAATAAAACAAGAAAAAGCACATGTTAATTGTCAATTCACATGTCCTGTTTTAATTGTCATTTCTTTTTTCTCTTGGTTTGGATCGTAATTAATGGTCACTCACGCCATGGAGCTGACATTGCATATTCACAGTTGATGTGTGGGAAAGGACTAGAGTTCTAGCTGCTCCTTAAACCATCTTGCTTTCCGTTTCCTTAGAACTTAAATCCCCAACTAAGTATTAAAAGACTTTCTGTTCAAAACAGCTAGTCTTGGAGAGAGAGAGAGAGAGAGAGAGAGAGAGAGAGGGGGGGGGGTGTGGAGGAGAGATGCTGTGAAGAAGAAGATAAACTACAAAACTTAGTGTTGTCCATTAATCATGGTATTGAAAATATTTCAAGTTGTTCCATCATGCATAAGCTTTATGTGGTCAAATTTCGGATCTTATCATAATCATCACTGCATATCCAGGCTGTGAACTGTGAGCATCGCAACTTAACCCTTCAACTTAATGATTTAAAGAACAGGATAATGATTTGAAATTAGGGAAGTGTATCGAGACATGATTTCAACTACATTTGGAATTAAAATGATTATGAGAAAACTTGCATTCCTTTCGATTTGAGTACACTACCATTTGCTTTTGTGGGACCATAGTATTCCAAGAACATGTTTTCGACAAAAATCTTGAATGCCGGTACGGTAAGCAACCGATAAGCATATTTTTGGCATGACCTTTTCCTTTAAGCTGAAAAGATAAATTAAGAACATGAAAAACCGTCATGCTGTGTTATTAAGCTTAAAAGATCTTGATAACAAGCAAAGCCATATTTTTCCTAGATTACAGTCATTTATGTTTGTTAAATGTTTTTTACTAAAAGGTTTATGGTTAAGCAGACTCAATGGATTATGAAAGGAACGACAGAGCCAAGTAGCAAATTGACAATTCAACTTCGAGTCAAGCTTCTGGATTGAGGAGGGATGTGCTGCTCGCTAGCCTTTTGGCTATTGGTTACATGAAGAGGCCAAAAGTAAAATAAATGAGCAAACAAACGAATAGTAGAAGGAATAAGAGAGAGTTGGAGATAAGCTACAAATACATGTAAAGGGACATCTAATGATGACAAGCCAACTACCGAAGGCCTTAGAGTTTGGGAAAGGAGAAGGGCATAATCAAAGAGTAAATGCCTCTTTCACGGTAGCAAAAGCCAGTGGAATTCAGGAATGGCATCAATCCTGCTGGGCATATCTTTCATTCCCTATCCAAAATTAGAAAGCAAAAGGGGAAAGAACTAAAATCCTAGCAATTAATGTACCTAACGCAATGAAATCATATGATATTTTACTACCTTATCAAACGTAATACATGAACAGGAACTTTCTACAATATTATGATGATTCTTTGTGAGTGGGACTAGTAGCATGGACGGTTTGATATGTTTAATGGTTTGGTACGTCGGACAATAACTAAAGGTGAAAAATGACTCAATATTCCAAATTCAACAAAAGTGGATACACTCTTGGATGTCATATAATCCATGGCAATGATGGTTACCCATCACATCAACCCCCCAAATCGTTACCATCTCCAACAAATAGTTATGCCATCTTTTGAAAAAAAAAAAAAAAAAAAAGAGCGAAAAAAATACAGGATTAACGAGAAAGAAAGAGATCAAAGACATAGATGATTTCTTTATTCATATTAATGGCCTCTAGCCTTACAGCTGAAATGCTATTAGCAACCCCTCTCTGCTTAGAATAAAGTGGAAAATCATACTTCATGCTAGCTAAAAATTCTCCTGGGAACTCTCAAGATCTTGATATCCGAAAGCCCTAGAGAAGAGATTAATGTCATACGGGGAAAAATATTGATTTGTACAGTCGTTGACGTATTTGCCAGTTCCGGAACAGAACCACTCCTAAAAATATCTTTACTCATAAGCTACTAAAAGGAGCAGAACTCAGGAACTCCAAAAGGCAAACCAAACACTAAAGCGCAACAAAGAGATGTAAACTTGAAAATGTCCTGAAAAAAACCCAACTCTCACCTCTCCTCTACTGATACTCCAAACCTTGTTGCCGGCCAAAAACCAATTTCCATCTTCAAAGTTGCTTTAAGGGTCTCAAGTCCAAGCTTCCAAGTTACCATGAGTAATAATAGTTCAAATCAAGGAAGTCCACTCGATTTAAGGGAAGGATACTTTTTTTATCATCCAAAACGCAATCTTTAAATTTCTACATATCCAAAACAAATCCTTCGATTATTGCACATCCCCAACAATATTAAACTTACACCTAAAATTAAAATCAAAATCATATGAGGCTGCCATAAATAATTCTAGCATACCATGGACTTCAATGTCACATTACCACGAAATCGATCTCAAAATTAAGTGACCCCATCCCACCAATCAAAGAGAATCTGACTTTTAAAGAACAAACAACCACCAACGAGGAGGATGATTGATAAAAAGGATACAAAGCGAAAACAAGAAAAGAAGTCAAGATCTGAAGCAAGATTTTAAGAGAAGAGAGAGAGGTGCATAAAAGGGAACCAAAAAATGGAAAAGAAAGAATGGATAGAGGGAGGAAGGAAAGAAATACTAAAAAAGAGAATTTCAGAAAAGAAGAAGCAGAGATTCAACAAGATCTCCGAAGAAAGATATGAAGGAGAAGAAATGTTAGTACAAGAGAGGAGAGGCTTTGGGAGCTGTCACAGGGCATTTTTGCCGGCAACAACCCCAAAAAGCAACCTGTCATTTGGTTTTATCAAGGAGAGAGGAGAGTTTTTTGTCATTTTACAGTTCTAATATATTGATTATGGTCCAGCTGCTCCTACAGCTTGTTAACCAAACAGTCTCAAAAGCTTTGGTTCACCTCCCTCATGAAATCTGCAATTGTTCCCGGAACCACTCTCCAATGTTGTGGTTTCAGACTCTTCTGATGGTGTATCCGCTCGCTGGTACAGCAAGCAAAGATCAAGATCAGTCGTCGGTTCACATTTGGCCACATCATCGTCCCTCTTTCTCTTCAATGTTTTTGATCCTGAACCGACATGATCTATTGGCGGCCTAAAACTACCACATTCCGAAACATTATCAAATTCTGGTCCTAAAACTCCCCCTCCAATTCTGGCAGCGGCTCTGCTGCCCCGCGGCGAAGCACTGTCATCACCGCCTTCTGGCATACATGCCAGTTGCCTGTCCAGAGAAGCCCCACTGCTCCACTTACTGGGTTCACTGTTCTCCCCACAGCCTCAAACAAAAGCGATTGAAACAATGCTGAAAAGACCAAAACAGAAACTTTTAGGTTTAATGGTTCTTCAATATATCATAGGCTCTCCATTATCAAGACTGCTTTGGATGCAAAAGAATTGAACTTTAGATCTGATACTCATGCTAGTCTACATACATGGTCTAGAGACTTACAGGGACGCTGGCTTTGTGGCACGGAGGAAATGAAGGACATGAGTCCGGCACGGCCAAAGAACTTGGCAACAAAGACGGTGGCATTAGCTTGTGCTTGGGGATTATTTATCCATTCTATGCATTGTCTGAGAACACAATCCTCGTTACATCCCTTTCGAAGAATTCGACAGCCATTGCAGCTCATTGTTCAAGATTTTTCTTGGGCATGAAAAAAATAAGATTCTAGGCAAAGAAAAAATGGGTTTTTGTTTCTCCGTCACAACTCACAAGTGGTATTGGTAAGAGGGAATAATTGGTGTTTGAGCAAGAGAGAAAGGTTAGGCACAAGTCAGCATATATAGAGGTAAGGTTGCACAAGGAGATATCTCAAGTGGATAATAATTGAAGATGGTTAAGCATATTTTATTGTGCATTAGGTTGAGGTTAAGTTAACTGTGGTTTAATTAATAAGGTTGTGGCGTTAGTGTGGGTTTGAGTTCCAAAGAAATAGGTGAGAGAGAGAGCAGCTGCGTGTTTCCGCGAATGGTTGGGTTTCCTTATCCATTTGATTCCTCCTCCTATGGGGTTAATGGCATCCCACAGTTTTCTAATGTTTGATTACTTAAGTACCCTCGCCGTTAACGGTTATGTGCTGTCATAAAAATTGCTGGTGAATTAAAAATTAATGGTTCTTAATTTCTTGGACATTTAGGGGGAAATTTTTTTTTTAATATTTAAAAAATAATTAGTGACACTCCTTAAATTCACTTGGATAAAAGAAATAGAGAGAAAAAAAAAAAGAAAGAGGTTGAGTATTATAAAATTTTTTAAAAGTAATAATAAAACGTGAAATCCCAAATTACCCTTTATTAGCTTTCTGATTTTTTTTTTTTTTAAGAAAACCTTATCACCTCTCCCTCTCCACCGCCCTTTTTATCAAGATCCTGTACCTTTCCATAATCAACCAGTACATCACCCATCAATGCCGTAGTATTTGCCTGTAATTGAAAAAGAAAAATGCTTGACCGTACGCTAGCAAGGCCACCACCATCATCAAACCAATCCCTTCGTTTCTACTCGAAACCCCACATCATCATCCTCCCACGAGTCCTTTAACCTTCTATATTATAGGCTGTAATGCGAAACATGGTTAAAAGATTTTGTTTTTTTTTTTTTTACTGATGACGTTAGGTTGAGGTTTGATTAATTGAAAAGTTATTCGGTTAAAAAAAAAAAGAACAGTTAGGAGAAAGTGTGGATGGTTTAAGTGAACAGTGTAAAAATCTAAATGAAGAGAGGAGGGGTAGTGGAAGGAAATTAGAGAGCCTTCTCCCTTGGATATGAGAAACATAAACAGAAGAGACCATGAACCGGTGATGTTAAAGGCCAAATCAGCGGCATGATTTAAAGAAGAGCCAAATTTTGTGATGATTTGAGAAAGAATAAATACTAAGTTTGTCAGCTGTTGGTGGGTTTGGTATTGGAGAGATCAAGAAGGCGACGGTGGAGAGAGAGAGAGGCGATTAGGGTTTCTTGAAAAAAAAATCAAGCTAATAAATTTCAGGGGTAATTTGGGACTTTCATTTTTTATTATTTTCTTTTTCTAAATTTTCAAGAAATTAATAAAAAATATTTTTTTACTCACCAACTTTTTCTAGTCCAAGTCAATTTTAACGGCGTCAGGAGAGTCCTGACTGTAAACAAAATATATAATAAAAAGATTTTATTAATTATAGAATGACCTAACTAATCAAATATTAGTAACAGAGGGGCGTTGAATGCAATTAACTCCATTCCTATGCGTGCGTTTCTCTAGTGGATTCGCTCTCTGTTTTCTGCTGTTTTCCTCTTTGTTTCGTATTTGGAGTTTATTGGGAAAGGGTGGAAAGATCTATGGGTAGTATAGTTATCAAATGTTAATTTGGAAATCTTTAGTTCATACAAAGAAACACTATTTAACTAATCTTTATGAGTTATATAATATTGAAGTAATTTTTATGATTTGGCTTGCTAGACATAATTACACTGTGATCAGAATTAAAGTTACTAGATAGATATACCACGATTAGACTATACATAATAAATTATGTTAATCAAAGATAAATGGTTTGTTATAAGTATAGAGGCTTCATTATATGAGTAAAAAAAAAAAAAAGAAGGAGGATTCTAATAAATTTTATATATGCTCAAAAGAACAAGGTACGGAGCTCCTAGTGCAAAGAGGCTATATTTACGAGGGGAATGCGGAAAATGGTAAGAAATGGGTAGGCATTATTTAGGGAATGAAGACAAGATGTAGGCATTGAAGTTACCATCAGTGTTGGAGGCCACACGTGGCATCGTTATCAAATACTGAACCAATAGTTGCTGCATCCATATATATAAATTTAAAAAAAATGTTGTTGTTACGTGTAGTGTATATTCCAACAAGTTAAATAAATTATAGATAAACCAAAGTTTGTGGAGAATGGAATACCAATCCACGAGTCATCGAGAGTTAACTTTAGCAAATCAAGACATAACTTTTGGCTTCATGCATTCAATTGCGCGCTGCAAAGAAAGCACTACGTCTCCAATAGGCTCGTGTTGGAGGGAGGGAGGGACCACTCTATAGCTAGCTTGGTTGAATAAAACCATACGTTGAAGCTACCTTCGTGGTTGGCCGATGCCCAGTCCCTGGTTGTGGGAGAGGGACTACTTTTTTTTACAGTTTCGATTCTATGAACCATACATACTTCTCTCAACCGTCTTTTCCATGGCTTAGAAACACAAATGCGGTTTCGAAAATACCAAAGGCCAAATTTTGACCTCAGGCACTTCACGCTTGTCCAAAAGAAGGAACACAAGGAAGATAAATGTACATCGTAACTTAAGTATAAATTTTATAATATATCATGAGTAATTAATGATATATATAATAGTTATTTCATAGATTCATTTTAAAGAGAGAGAGATATACAAAAAAAAAAAGAAATAGGAGAGAGAAAATAAAAAAATTTGAACGGACGTGGAAATCTTCTTATGACTTTTGATGAGTATAGATGCGATTTTTATTTTTTATGTATCTATCTCTCTTCTTAAAATAAACTCATAAAATAACTACTTGTATATACAATTAGTTATTCTTTGTGTATTATAAAATTTCTCGTAACTTAAGGGATAATTGAAGGAAAGTTTACAAACTTGGACAAATATTGCAAAAGTTAGGAGATTATTCTAAAGCCCTCGGCAGATCATGTTATCCATGTAACACAAAACATAAAAGTAATTAAAAAAATTTAACGGAAAACAGAGAGATAAGATCGAAATCAAAGGGGGTTGTTTTTTTTATAGTTTACCCATATTGAGAAAATGAAACAATTTGACGCTAAAGATGAAAAATGGACCAGATTTTGTCGCTTTGGTTTCTATTTCGGTTAGCCTAAAACCTTTCGCACTTCCTTTGTAATAAACTAACAAAAATACGACTTGCCACAATTTCAATCTATCTTTATGCCACTGGACGTATTCTCAATTTTGTTTTTAGGCATTAGACTGACCATTTTCTTTGAGATCAACGGCTAGCAAAACTACAAGCTTTCATTTTACAACTAATTGAAATTAATAGCAAATTATTTAATTGGTAACTTTCTAGTAACCATTGATTCGATAGATTATTAATACCATATTCGGGAAAAGTACTTAAAGCCGAATCACATCTACCCGACCTTTGTTGGTAAATAGAAGAGTCATAAACACATTTCATATTTAAATTGCACAAATCAATCAGGATTTGTTTATTTGAATTACGAATTTGTCTAACGCGAATTGATAAATTAAACCACTTTTGTTTTTTTACCCGGTAAGAGTATTTTCGGATCAATTTTCACATATTTCAAAATTAATTACTCTTTAAGCTTGGTTAAGGAGCATTCTTCAACGCACAGACTTTAAATATTTTAAAAATAAATTCTTAAAAATGCTAACTATAAGCATAGTTTTTTCGATCCGGCTTACTTATTAACAATCTACCACTGCTTGTGATTAATAAAAAAAAAAAAAAAAACACTATCGTTACTCAAGTAATTACTAAAGTCACTCAACAATACATAGATCAATAAATTGGACTACTCTTATTCCTGTAGTGGCTGCTAGAGTCACCCATACAAATTACAAATTCCTAGCTAGACTTCGATGGTATCCTAGAGAAAACAAGTGGGAGAAAGAGGTTTTATTTATTTTTTATTTTTCGACTTACAAAAAAGTATGCAGAGAATTAACCGCCCACCAAAATTACTTAGTTTATATTTATTAAAGAGCTATATGTTTGTTTTTAAGAGTTTTATATGTTTTTTTTCACATTTAAAACTTGCAGTTTTCGATTTTTTTATCAAAACTCTCTATTTTTTTTAGTTTGATTAAAAATTTTTATTTGTTAAGATTTGTTGTTTCGGACTCTATGTTATAATTTCATCAATTAGTGATCGAGGTATAGTCGAGATTTTTATTTTACAATGTTACATACCGACCATCGATTAGCAACTTTATTATAGACTATCTAAAACGATAAATCACAAAAAATACGAGTCTCGATCAATCCAAAAAAAAATTGATCTCGAGTCCAAAAATTTCGAAAAGTATAAGGTCTGAATATAGGGTAAACTCGAGTTTTATATTAAGTTAGTTCTTTGAAGTTAATCTAAAAATATTAGACTTGGTCACTTTAACATAATACCCGCGTCAATCTTCATATTGATCTTTACTATGATGCAAATTATAATGTCTCTCGAGAAAAAAACATACAATATTATCATGTAATGGTCCATTTGTATTTGACCATTCTCAAATTTTGGTGTTTTTTTTTTTTTAAATGATGAGGGTTGTTTTTGTGTTACGTGTCAATTGAAACTAAATTTTCTTCCTATATGATCTCAAATGTACATCTCTTATATTGACACGATGCATTTAGATAATTTTAATAAATTTCTATAAGTGTTGGTCTTAAAATTTGAATTCAAAAAATCAAGGAAATGAGCATACATTTTAACCACTAAACTAATCTCTTAGGTATTGTTGGTAATAAGGAATTGAATGGTGGGAATGAGAATAAAATTAAATATTGTTTCATTTCCATAAAAAGGAGGCAAGAATAAAAATAAAAAATAAAAATAATTTTTTTCTTTAAAATAGTGATATATTATTTTTATTTATTATGCATCAACTATTTCTACTACCTCCACTTTCACCTCCACCACCACCGTCACAATTGACGGTGGTGAGAAATAAAAATTCTAAAAAAAAAAAACCTATCATTATAGTTGATGAAATTATTTTTATTCATTTTAAAAATTAGATATTTAAAAATTTTAAAATTCATTTTGATTTTTTATTACTATTCCAAACAGAATATGAAAATGCAAATATCATTTTGATTTTCTAATTTTCATTTCTATTTTTACATTTTTATTCCAAACTTTTATTTTTGATAACAAAACAATACCTTAGGATTAAATTGCAGCTACCTTTTGCCTTATTTTTATCAATTAACTTGTTAGAATCAATTTCAAACTTTTTATATTAGATTCTAATCCCTTCATTTGAACAATTGATGCAATGATCTAACATTCTAATAAACACATATCTTATATGAAAATAGATCAAGTGCATTTTCAAACTTTATAGTTGTTCGGTTGAAAGAAATAAAGTAAAAATGATAATGAAAATAAAAAATAGAAATGAAAATGAAAATGAAAATTATATAGAGAGGTGGGAGTAAAATAAAAAATGAAAATGAGATTCTTTTTCCTTCAAAATAGCGATATATCATTTTTATTTATTACGTATTAATTACTTCTATCATTATCACTACCTCCACCACCATAATAGTAATAAAAAAAATTGAAAAAAAATTATTATTATTATTATTCTATCACCATTCTTTTTCTATCGATACCTCTTATGGTAGTTGTACTAATTTTTTAAAAATATATTATTATTATACTATCGTTATTATCACAATTAGCACCTTCTCCTTCTCCCCTACCTTTACCACCATAATCATCCCTATCATTTTTATTATCATCATATTTAATGAAAATTTTCTTACTTATCTTAAAAATCGAGATATTAAAAAATGAAAATTTCATGTTGATTTTTTATCAATATTTCAAACACAATGTTGAAATAAAAATGTCATTTAGATTCTTTAATGTTCATTCTAATTTCTGCATTTTCAGTTCAAATTTTTTATTAATTTATAATAACTAAACGACACCTTAATGTTCATGAAAGTATACTAATCTTTTTTTTTTCACAAAAAGAAAATTGTCCATGACGCTTAAAAACATTATGCATTTATAGTTGAGAAAACCATATATAGAAATATTAATGCATATGCAAGTAAGAGTTTAGAATATAACCTGAATAATAAATTTGATTGATGCTTAGAATTAAAGGATTTTGCAATCTCAAAAAAAGAAAAAAAAACTAACTTAACATCAAAAAAATAAAATATCAGAGCACTTCATATTCCCAACAACTTAGCTAGTGGAAAAATGCAAAGGCTAAAAAAAAATAAAAAATATTTCAAAATTTAAAACTCGCATGCCAAATGTTAAATGGCAAGGTTGTGTTTTCATAATTTTCCTTTATATATATATATATATAATGTTAAATGGCAAACACGTGTATGGAAAAGTAGCAGGCATTGAAAGTGTTGATTAGGTGGAGAGAAAACAGAATAGCCCTTCTAACAACCAGTAATTCTCTCTATATGTTGACACGTGCCCATTTCAATTAATATATACTGACAAATATGTAAAGTAGCATGCATTGAAAGCGTTGATTATGTGGAGAGAGAACAGATTAGCCCTTCTAACATCCAGTAATTCTCTATATATGTTGACACGTGCCCATGTCAATTAATATATACTGATAAATATGTATATCCATTTTAAATTATATATATACACACACACACACACTTACTTGCCTTATTATTATTATCAGGGTAATTATTGTTATTATTTGATACTCGCTCTCTCAGAGAAGCTGAGTCGTCTTTTCTTTTTCATCCTCATTTATTTCTCCTTTCTTTCTTTCTTTTCCCTTCAATTTTTTCTTGTCTGTTTCTCCAGTCTCGTACAAACTACAAAGTGCTACAAAAAGAAAATAAAGGAATGATTCAAAATCCAAAAGTCGACCCATATTTAGTGATCCAATCATTCATTTAAAGTGTGGCCCAAGTTAGCAGTCAAACTGCACGCACCCCAATTAAACTGAACAATGGGATCTAAAAAAGCCGGCCGAATCTGGCTGTGTAAATTGTAAATTAGTCTATTCAGTTTCTGAATCAATTAGTCATTTTTTTTTCCAAAAAACTAATTATTTAATTTTTATAATTTATAATTTTTTAACTTAATTTATTTTAAAAAATAAAAAATTTAATGAGAAAATATGACATTTTTAAATAAATTAATATTAAATTAAACGTGATCAAGAATTGTTAAAAGACTAATAATTAGTTTTTTTAAAAAAACTAATTCATTTATTTCTAAAAAATAAAAAGACTAATTTATAATTTACTCAAGCCCGTACCTTACAGTTTTTCTTTCTCTTTTTCCTTTTTATTTTGAAAAAAAAAACACTTGCAAATGTACAAGTTGCATTAAATCTCTAAAATATATATATATATATATATATATATATATATATATATATATATATATATCTTGATTTTAATAGAATCACTCGTTATGCTTGTGTTAATTGGACGTAAAATGATGAATAAAAATTCGATTTTAATAAGCTACATGGATCATGTACGAACAGCTTATACTTTTCAATTACTATGAAATTTGATATCTTTACACCTCATTAACGGTTATCTAAAAATAGTTTCATGTTTAGGCTATACATGAGTAACTTTGATCCTCCATTATTTATGAAACAAAACCCGACGGCCATTGGCTGTGTAGTAAAAAGGAGGTATCCCAACACCCATCCCATGCCAGCAGGAAATTTTTATTCTATTCGTTTTGTTCTTGCTAGTATCTGTGATATACTAGGCTACAGCAGCAATAATAGTCAATGATTTCTTCTGCCCTGCAAATCTGTTTAAACAAAAAAGGAGGGGCCGTCATTGCAAAGTATATATGCTTCAGTTTGCTCAATTAGAAGATAAAACGCTACTGTTTCAAGTTGTCATAGTCATTAATTAACATGGACAAAAGCCAAAAGAAACATGTCAAAAAACTACTCTGTATAGCTAAATTCTACTAAGAGACTGAATGCCTCCTATTTCTGGAAGGTGTGGATTTAGCTTCTTCCATGTTAGCAGAACCAAGACTTTCTGATGAATCCGAGCCACTGTTCTCGCCCTTTTCTCCTTTGCTTGACCAGAGCTTCGTAAAGATCTTCGATTTGAGCATCCCTTTCATCTTGTGACCGACAGCCTTATCTACGCCATTTTTACCATTAGCCAATCTCAAGGAAGCTACCTCCTCCTTTAGAGCCTTGAGCTCCTCGACGGTTGCCACAGCATCCCAATCTTCTTCTGTGTTAGTAGTGGCTGACCTTGAGCTCCTTTGAGATCCATTGTTCAGATCCCTGATGCTTTTAGGAAGATCAGGGGTGCTACTGCCAGATGAGGCAGCCACCCTGACCTGCTCGAAGAAGAGCACCTGCACAACTACACGCAATGGTAGTCTGTCATTCTGCACTGCATGCATGCATGCATCAACTGATAGTTTCTTGCAGTCCATCAATTTGCATATCCTCTTCCTCTCACTCTTGCTGATCCCTGGGTGTTCCTGCATCAAAGAACAGCAGAACTCTACATATCAGTAACCACTAAGCAATAGAAAGCAGCCCAGTTTTATGATTGGCTACGCTCACTGGACATGATTTCTTTCCACCATGATCGTGGATTTGAGGAGTTAAAACATGCTGTTTAGTATCTTATTTTGAAAAAAAAAAATTATGTGAATTTAAAGAAGGTTTCAAGATTACCTTAAGATACATGTCAACTGCCCGGTAAAGTGCATCATGAGCAGGTCTAGAGATGCCAGATACCATCTCAGCAAGCTCAACAAACTTCAACAGGGGGAGATTGGGATCCTTAGCTATTTCAGCTAGGTATCCATCTATCAGTTTTGCCACCATGAGCTTGGAAGCATCAGATAAAATCCCTGGTTTTCTTATCTCCTGAACCTCATGGCCTTCTTCGGACTCAATCTCAGCAATCTGATCTTGCATAAGAAACTCTTCCACCATTTTCTTTACTGCATCAGCATCATACATCATATTCTCCCCTTCCGCTGCATGAATCAAAAGATCATTTACAGAAGCCTCTTCTAGTTGCTGCCCTATTCTCCCTATCAGCTGTCCTTTGGTTGTATTGCCCAAGTCAACATATATGGCTGCTTTTAATAGCTTCAGCAAAAAACTACAGGAGACACTGCCTCGCGCAGCAGGCAACAGCCACACAATGGTATCAACGGTTGATCTATATTTTGCTGTGTCTCCACACTGAATCATACCCTTGCTGAAACCTGGCAGCCTTCTGTAAGCATAAGCTTTCAAACCTTCTCCTATCACCTCATCAGAAAGTATGGCTTTGTTTCTGATTGCCATAACAACACACTTAAATAAACCAATTTCCAGCTCACATAAATCCTCAACCCACCAGTCCTTTGGCACTGATCGGTTTCTCAGACCATTCCAGTTTGGATCATTCCCATTTTCCTCAGGGAGTTTTTTTCGGTTATACGAATAGGACCAGTCAACTTTTGAAACATCAACACAGGCCTTAGCAGCAACAGCATCAACGCAATGGCTGATCACCTTCAGTTCCTCAGATAATGGCAAAAGTGATCTTGTGGTCTGAAGAACAATGATTGAATCCTTCCAGCTGCGAAAAATGCTAGAGCTAAGGAAGACATCAATTTTGTAAATGAGGTTCCCTTTTTCGATAGTTTCATGCATTCCCAGGTATTCAGCCGCACATCGGGTAGCAACAACATTGTAAGCATTGAGGGTTACAGTCATGCCATAACAAAATTTGGCACATATCTCAAAGGCAGAAGGCCCACCGGGAATATCAGAAATGTCAACCTCATCGCTGTTTTCTCCGTTGGCAGTAGTTACCAACTTCTGCAAGTGAGCACTTTTGGACAGAAGAGGAAACTGTATAGGAGGATTTTAAATTAATTAGCATGAAAACAATTATAGCGACATAGAATATTAACACAGATTCCTAATGGCATGCCAACACAGTTCCTAGTCATAGTACTCTACCCGGTATAACTGTAGCCTTAGTCCAATGATGCCTTTGGCAAAAGGTTAGATGATTTATACAACAATAAAATTGATTGCATTGAATCAATTAGCCAAATCTGGTATCCTACTATCCTTGCTTCAGAAATTGCCAAACCTAGCTGAGCTAGGTCAGATCATTGTCTTGCCATGTCAGAACCAAAAACCATATTATACACTCATGTATCCCGAATAGATGTGCAAAGTCAGCTACATTGGATGCCCGTAGTGGCATGTATTGCATCATGAGATGCTGTGTATCAGAGGCAGCACACATACAGACTCTAAGATACAAATATTGGATGAAGTTACAGAAATAATACTGTAGTCATCAACTAGAAATGCCTACTGGATTGAAAGATCATGTGTACCTTATGCAGATAAAACTTTATATCCCCCACGTTAACAATGATATCAGTTGCCAACTCGGTAGCCACATACCTGCACAACACACAAAGTCTCAGTAACGTCAGCAAAAGTCAAAAAGATGTATAAATTTGAAAGTATGCATATTGCCAAGTACAACCACATTCTATTCCAAACTCCTTTTTTTATTTTTTTGAACTATTAAGCTTCACAAGCAGACCACACTTTACAGGGGCCAAGTACAAAAATTCAAGACCTGATTGGTGGGAAAACAACAGAATAACAAGCATTCAACAATAACTTTGGACCAGAACAAATTTCAATTTTCTTTATGTGATCAGAAACATAAGAACAATCGCTCCTTTTGAACCACTTGACATTGCAAAGCAGCTCCAATCTCCACAGAAGATAGAAATCATCAACAACACTGGGCTCATGCATGAAGGAGAAATCATGCACAAATGGAACTAAATACACAGGCAAAGCATTTTAAAGATTATTTCGTTTTGTTAAAGCATCAACAGTATTAACAACTACCACAGAGGCTGAATAAAATCCTCATTTGCTTCACTTTCCAGCAATACAAATGTTGTATGACCTTACAGTAGAGAACCCAAACTTCATAGTTCTCCAAAGATAATTAAACAACCAAAGTAGTAGATCTACCGCAAAATAGTCGCTGTGCAAATTCATCAATAAGAGGATTCACTTAAAAGAAACCAAAATGAATCAAACATAAAAGTGACAACAAGAATTTTAAATAAAATTTCAGCAAGAAATAAAACAGAGTGTAAATTAAGCTTTGAAACATCTCACCTAATAGTATTCCCATCAGTCTGAAATGAATCTGGTTTTGATCCAAGTTTCATGAACTTCATCTTGCCAAACTAAAAGATCCAAATACTGTAGCACTTCAAAAGAAACCTTGGCTGCACGATCACTCCTAAATCAAACACCTTATGCTATACGCTTGCCACCACACATTCCCAATGAAACATCAACATAACCCAACTCGAGGAAAAAATTCCTGAATTGGAAAGGATACTCCAGGTGTGGGGACCAAGTTTCTCAATTTTAACAGGCTTCTAGGCCTAAGTGAGAGTCAATAAGGATCTGAAGAGGCGGTGAACAATATATGCCAAGTAAGGTATGACCGAATCTTGACAGCAACCGAGGCAGGAAGTGTGTGTGTCTGTGTGAGAGAGAGAGAGAGAGAGAGAGAGAGAGAGATAAAAGGGATAGAAAGAAGATGGGATTGTGTAGTTTTTCCACTAAAAGGATCTCTTAAATAAAATGAAAGCCAGAGAAATGGCTGTTGCCTAAATCGGCGGCAACGCCCACGGAGTACGGAGGCAATGAATCAGCCCAGGAGACATAGCCAACAGGCACTCTACACTAAAAAATTCACTAATTAGAGACAACCCACAAGCATAAATCTGACTCCACCTCACTCTCACACTATTTCTTTATCTTTCCATCTCTGATTACTCTGTTACTTTGTTTTCTCCCTTCTTTATTTAAAGATTCATATCAATAAGACCGATTCAGCTTAATTTAGTTTCAAGTTCCAAACTTGACGTGTATTAAGAATATGTATATGTTTACCGTTGAACTTTGAAAACCTGCAACAGAAAACAGCATCTTGGTATCAGTTGAAGAAACCAACAAAAACGCAGACAGCAAGCATCTATCTTCATTTCTTTTTTAAAAAGGAAAAGTATGGGAATAAATGAGATATACACACAGTAAAAATGCTTTAGTAATGAACAATCAAACATCAACTACCAATAACAAAATTGAAACTGAAATCAAAGGAATCTACCAGAATATGTAACAAAAATCTAATTTATTAACAAACATCTAGTTAAATAATTAGACCCAAAGATCATGATATCGTTGTTATAATGTAAAACCCTAAAACCCCACATGTTGACATATGAATATAACCAACTTGGAGACCAAAAGACAAACCCCAAAAGCCACTCTCCGTGTAAATCCCAACAAAATCCAAGACTACCCCTTAAGTTCCAAATCTACAAGGCCATAAACATTACTACCATATTCCTAACCAATGTAGATAAACCCATAGAAAGAACCCATATCAACAACATAAAAAACAAAACAGGCCTTGAAAGGCAAAACTTAAAGATACAACAACATCCCCTAACAAAATAGATAGAAGTCTATAGAAAGAACGCTAACCGAAAAATTGCAATATTAGTGACACCCAAAAGATGTCAACTTTGATTCTTAAGTAGCGACAAAAATTAACCAAGAAAAAATTCTGAAGGAATCACCCAGAAATATCGCCAAGAAAACGAGTTGTCACTTAGTTACAGAATTTCAAAACCCCATAAGTTTCCTTACACAAAAACACAAGTAGAAACAGATGTTTTATCAAGCATGCGTGTACCAACATTCCTACATTGAATAGTTAATACATCAAATCAAAAATAAAAATTTTGTCTTCGAGATTCTTTGATCGTTTTGATTTAGTTATTCTGAAAGAAAGTGAAGAGAAGTTCATTCGGTTTTTGGAGAAGGGAGCATTAAAGAAGAGGGCACTCATGACTCACCACCACCTTTGCTCAGTCATGCACGCCAAAACTGACACACAGCTAGCTTTCTTGTTGCCACTCCACTCCCTTTTAATAAATGACCCACCTTTAACCCGTAGTATTTTGCTTCCTCGATTTACACAGTTACTTGTTTACTAGTACCATCACTCTTCTCTACCTCTCTCATCTCTCTCTCTCTCTCCCTCTCTCTCACTGTCAAAAGAAAGGATGCAAATTATGTCCGTCTGACTAAAGTTAATTAAATGATTATTCTGCACCTAAAAAAGCAGAGAAGAAAAAAAAGTGTCGATTATGTTTGTGTGTGTGTTTTTTTCTTTATTGAGATTCAACTGTACTAAATTTCTGGTGCATTATTGCAAGTTGGGTTGATGGGAACTTATCTTTTAATGACATTATGTTTTCATACTTTATTACAAAAAACTGAGTACTGTCATTATAATCAAATTTTGTGGTAAAATGCTGTTTCACATGCTAATTTTCTTTTCACCCATAGAAATGCATTGTTTAGTTGATTCTCGGGAAAAAAAAAGAAAAAGACATGGGTTAAGGACATCTAGTGCTAACTCCCCTGAGTCTTTTTTTTTTTTTTTCCTGAAACGTGTAACCGAGAGTCTAATGTGTATAAGATGGCTGTCTTACTTCATAAAAAGTTGAGAAAAAAAAATCAATATGTGCCCTTGAGAGGGTATATTTAATGTTTGGATTGATATTTCGTATTGGATCACTTTATATATGTGTGTGTGTTTTTGCTAAAATATAATTTAATTAAATAATAAAAATTCACATAATAAATAAATAAATTTATTATAAATTAAGATGTATAAAGAATTGATTTTTTTTTTTATCTTGATTGTTAAGAAATTTAGAGATTACGATAATGTTTTAGTATTTAATCTTAACATGTGAAATTAGTTGGTTTGAAACTATCCTAATTGTTGAAACGAACAAAACATTAAAATTTAAGAAAAAAGGATAAATTTGTCAAAAACATAGGGTAGCCTCATTTTAGTTCTCAACCCGGACAGCCTATCAATTGCATTCCCACCAAAAGGGATGCTAGGAACAGTTCTTTGACTCTCTCCATTCAACACTCCCTCTCACATTGACCCACGTTATTTTAAAAGATAGTAAGATAGAAATTGATAGCGTCAATCACCTTGACCTTTTCATTTATTATTAATAACAATTTTAATTTTAGAAGTAAAAAGTCTTTAAAGAACACCTTATGACAGCTAAAAAAATCTGAGTTTTCAAATATAGTATTTATTTATGGGAAAATCTAATTTTCATAGAGTTTAAGAAAAAAATTACTTTCTTATTTTTTTCCTTATTCTTTGGCTATAAATATATAATTAAATCTTGACGAGAATGTATTGAATTACAAAATATATTAAATATATTTCGTCTTTTAATTAGATGAATGATGACGGTGGATTTGATTAGGTTTGCAGTGGGATTCTTTTTTTTTCTAGCTACAGTTACTTACTTTAAGGAAAATTTTTCAATATTCTTATTCTTTCTTTGCAAATAAAATGAATTCTATTTTTCCAATTCAAAAGGAAAATCAGTTAAACTTCAATCATCTTGCAAGGCAAGAGGGAAGAGATCACAGATGGCGAATGGAGAATTGAATAATAGAGGGGGAAATTGAGATAAAAGAAAGACTTTAATTTTTTTTTATATAGAAATAAAAATAAATAACTTAGTTAATAATGATATAAGTTGCCGGTTTGTATTGGATTTTTTTTAACATGCGTGGCTAAATAAAAGGGAGAGTGTCCAAAAGAGAGGGCCAAAGCAACTGTACTTGGCATTCCCTTCCATGGTTCCAACCAATGCTTTTATCAATTGGATCTCCAAAGTATTAGTAACTTTCAATCAGATCCCTTCGTCCAGATACATCAATGTATCACTCAATTTTTTGAAGAAAGCTTGCCGACTTGGTGTTTTCTATCAAAATGTTCACTGTGATTTTCAAGACACTTGGACCGTATCGGAGATTTTGATAGGATGGGGACCCAATTGATTAGAGGATAGGTTACGGATGCAATTAAAGCTGCTGATAGGCTGGGAAATAATCTGATCTCATCCCATAGATACCTAGATATATATTCTTTCTCTTATTATTATTATTTTTATTTATGCGTATTATCCTGTATACTAGAGCAAAATGGGTTTCACTGTAGCATAAACAGTGTCGATCACTGTTTATTGCTACAGTGTTTTTGTTTTTTTTTTTAATTTTCATTAATTTTTTTGGCTAGACTCGTTGGCACCCCCATTCGTTTACTGTTTATTTGAACAGTAAACGACTTCCCTCATTTTTTTTGTTTTATAAACATTGAATTTTTTAAAAAATTTTCATCCATTTACTGTTCACATGAACAGTAAACGGCTTGCACCATTTTTATTTTTTTCTAAACATTGAATTTTTTTTTAATTTCTGTTTCTTAATAGTATTCGGTGTTAAAATTTTAAAAAAACCAACAATTAATTGGGTGTTAAAATTTTAAAGAAATCAACAATTTATTTTCTTTATTATTTATTTTTAAAATTGAAAAAAAAATAAGAAATAGTTAAATACAAAATTTTTTATTAAAAAATTATAATTATTTTTTATCATAAAACAGATTATTAAATTGAAATAATTTTTCTAAACGATTTTATATATTTTATCCAACCAAACAACATAGCGCAGGTAAAAAATCTAATACTATATACTAAAGAAAAACTATTTTTCACTATAGCAATGAACAATGTTAATCATTGTTCATTGCTATATTACTTTGACTTTTTTTGTTTTTTAAGTTTTTATTTTTTTTTTTGCCAGCACCAACTGGCCTTCCCCCTCCCCCTCTTTTTTTTTTTTACCCGTTTATTGTTCATTTGAATGGTAAACGGCTTGCCCTCTTTTTTTTTTTTCTCTAAACACTATTTTTTTTTAATTTCTGTCCGCTTACTATTCACATGAACAAGTACACTACTGGCCTCTTTTTTTTTTTTCCTAAACATTGAATTTTTTTAATTTTAATTTCTTAATAATATTAGGTGTTAAAATTTTTAAAGAATCAACAATTAATTGGGTGTTAAAATTTTAAAGAAATCAATAATTTATTTGCTTTATTATTTATTTCTAAAATTTAAAAACAAAAATAAGAAATAGTTAAATATAAATTTTTTTCATTTAAAAATTATAATTATTTTTTATCATAAAACAGATTATTAAACTGAAATAATTTTCTATATGATTTTATATATTTTATCTAATCCGTAAGCATAGCATGGGTAAAAAATCTAATCTTATACTATTATAAAATTTCCCGGAACATAATAAAGAATGCCCGAGATTGCATTTAGAGGAATTAATGCCAGCATTTCTTAACAAATTATTCACAATTCAAACCCAATTTGAAAAAATGAATAGTTTAAAAAACATGAAACAGCACTCAAAAACTATATCTATATGTTTGATAATACGGTTAAAGTGAATCATGTAAAAAACATCAAATAACACTCAAAAACTATGAAAAATCAACTCAAGACACTTTTTGACAAACATTTTAAAAGGCACCCAAACAAGACACCAAAGGCTGCCTAATTCTTTCGTGTTTACCCAAATTACTTGGTATCGTCTTGTTTCCGGTCTCAATCCACTACCACACATTTGCTATCTAAACAAATACCCAAAGGTCGAAATGTTAGGTGCAACTCTCATCACATTTCTTTGTACACGGTTTTTTTATATGTATAGTGGCATAGCCTCAAGTGCCCAAAACCTATCCACAAATTCTCAATTGGAGTATTGGATCCTTAAACTATTATCTTTTCTCTCTCTCTCTCGATTGGATTACCAATGCATAAAAAACTCTTGATTAGGCCCAATTTCTGTTAAAATTATGGCCCAATTTCTAAAATTATCATAAAATTTTAACAGAAATTATCAATCTTCTTCGAAGAAGCATTGTAAATTTTATGCAAAAAATATGAACTTTTAGTGGAAACATTAACAGATAGGAGAGTCCAATTGAAGAAAAGAGTAATGGATGGTTAGGTAGGGGATTTATATAAGGCTACTCCATACGAAAATATTGGTTAAGAGTAAGTAAGTGATTTGTTGGCACGTAAATCAGGTTATGCCAGACAGACGGTTGCTTAAACTAGACTCGATTGGTAAGCAACTCAAACTTAATTATATGATCGTAAACTTTGCTTATTTAAATAAGGGAAGCACTTACAAGAAGATTCTTGTACATCAGCTACATTTAATTAGAATTAGGCTGAGCCCTGCTTAGCAGAGAGATTAGCTAACCAAATTGGCCTAAACATAACTTGATTATTTGCCAGCTTCGTACCCGAGATGCCAAGAATCCCACCCAACCCTCAAATGACCAGAAGAAACAGTAATTTACATTATAAAATTAACCAAGAACATTTCATATTCCATTTGGGCACATCCCTATAAAAGTGCTAGATTTCTTTGCAATTTATAAACACCTGACTCTTTCACTCACACCACATTTTAAGGTCTCCACTATCTTTCCTCTAAAGACTAGAAGAGTATCTGAATTCTGAACTCATACACATGCTGCTGACTGTACCACTTTAAATACTGCTAGATATTGTAACCCTGAAAAAATATAAAATAAACAAACTTGATTCCTTAAGAAACACTTGATTCCTATTGCTTCAAGCCTATTATTTAAGATTTTTTTTTAGGCAAAATTGGCCTAAAAGTCATTGTGCGGTGTTGGTTTTAACAAGTAATTAGTCAACAACTTATCATCACGCGCATTGTTTTAAATCATGATAAATGCTTAATCTTAAGCATTAGGATCTCAAAAGAATATAATCTCTAGTTTTGATGTCATATGCTTGTTGTGGAAAATAGATCCCCTGTGTCATCTTTGACCCAACCACATGTTTTTTTCTCCTCGTTTGATATGCTTGCTCACATTTTGCTTATCGCTAATTGCTAACACTTCATTTTTGAGATCATTGTCTCCCTAGCTTAAAGAAATCCCTAATTTTGAGGAGAATCATCTTCATATCTACGAAGAGCCTAGTGTCCGTAACTTTTGTAGAGAAGGAGCAAATAAGTTGGAGACAATGTATGAACAATATCAGAATAGCTAGGAGGATCCAATATTTTCATTAACTGCTGCAAGATCTTGTGATTAAAGATTAATTGCAGACTAGCCAGCAGCTAGCTAGTTGCTTTCTGCCTTTTTGGCCCAACTTAAAAGCAAGCACATTTACAACTCATGAGTGTGGTAACAAGAGAGAAAGAAAGGGATTGCTGTACTTGATTGTCCAACACAATGCACATGGTGGCGATGCAATATTGTTTAACTAGATCACTTTAAGCAGCATCGTATTAATAAAAAAAACGATACCCTAATCATGATAACCATTGGCCTCGATGCTTAAGCACAGTCTGGATCAGATTAATCTAATTATGATAAATTTGCATGTGTCGGACTAAGATGCTTGTCGACGCTACGCCGCGATGAAGTACTTTGTATATCTATCTATATGTGATGTAAAATGAACCAAAATATGGTCTTCAGGACCACCACTAGTAGCAACCTCCCCTTGTTTTGCGTTTGGTTTGCCAATAAGAATCAAATTGGATCCAGATTTGCATATTAAAACTTGAAAAAGGTACAAAAGCACACACAAAATCAGCACATTGCATGCACACCAATTCTACTTAATTATATAAGCATGGCATAATATGCGGAGGAGGTCAGGCAATGGTAATTCTTGGCCTTGGTATGTCAAAAGTAGGAACATATATAAATATATATATAAGTTTATTGAAAACACAGAGACTATTACTAGTGTGAGCAATTATGTTGATTATGATGATACCATGTTGGCGTCATAATACTTTGCATGAAATACATACAAATCTTCATGTTCACAAACTTTATTGATTAACTTTTATTTCATTATCATGCGCTGCAAATAATCATGACTAGTTATGGCTTGAATTCAGGGACATTTACAAGTCAACAAAGCTTATGCAGCTCGCTTTGTGCTACCTTTTCTTCATTATTACAAGAATTATTGGGCTTGAACTACGCGATTGGAGTTATCTTCCCCAAACGATCTCTCCATTTCTTCTCTAATATAAGCACAATTCGAACTCAGGCATTATGTGAACTTTATCTCATGTTACATTTTTCTGGTATAATACTTAACACTTTTAGCCAGTAATAATCATATATACATAAATGCTTAAATATATAATAAGTTGCCTAGGTGCCACGATCGATGGATGAAAGGGATTTTGAAACCGTGGCTGGATTTCTTAAGTAGTCAAATAAATCATAATTGAAAACACGGTATATGAAAAAAGTGATGCATGGCTTCCAATGACACCCAAGAAATACTGGCTTACTTTCGCACAAAATATATTCCGCTGAAAACACTATTTTATGGGGGAAATTATTTCGCCATATATGGCTTGTTTAGGTTGTTTATGGGTAGTGTTGGGAAAAGAAACATGCTTGCATTGGATTCTTGGAATCCATGTATGTAGACACACAAATTGAAGAGCCCTCGACCATTCATGTACCTTTACCCATTCATGCATTTTTCAAGTCTCTCTCAATTTTCTTCTTAAACCTAACGCTTATAAATAGGTTTGGTATCGTTCATTTATTTAATGATTGCAAAGAGTGCACCATCAGAAGAATGCAAACTATCGGAAGGAGAGGGGTAGTAGAGACAGATCCTGTGTGAGGGTGTGAGAAATTAAGGATAAGGGAGACAGTGCATTTTATACCAAACCAAAATTTTAGTTTAATAGGTTTTATATACTCATTTTGTATAAATTATCTGTGAGGATTATTGAGTGTATTTGGAGTTTGAGTTGGAGCGTTTGGAGCTACTACTACTTATATTTATATTTTTCTATAGTAAATATTTTGATTTGTTTTTGTTTGTGGGTATAAGCATCTTACAAAAAACCATATTAAATTTTTGTGTTGTTCTGAGTGTGCTATTTATTTATTTATTTATTAAACTTTTTTGTTATCATCCAATTCCAATCACCTTATCCGGACAGTATAAGTTACTATTCATAATAGGTAGCTTGAGAAGCAAGGACTTATATTTTTCCATGGAAAATTCAACTATCGATTTAAGGCCAGAATGAGAGAAGTGGGAAGGGAAGAAAATGGAAAAGGAAGAAACAAAAATTTCAATTTCTTTTTCTTGCTCGGAGAGATGATAAAAAAAAAAAGAGAGAATGAGACCATATATGTGTGTGTGAATGAAAGTCAGGAATGAGAATAAGTGCCACAAAACTTTGAACAAACCTAATACTTTAGCAGCCAATAATGGTTGCACGAAAAACATTTATGCCAAAATGGATGTTGCCCATGCAATGAGAGCTAGTACGGCTTTTCTTTCTAGCTTTTGTGATCATCGTGCTTACACAGGGAAATGATTATTAAAGAGCTTAATTACCATACAAAAGCCTAAAACTTTGCGACAAAGTTTTATGCTTAAGTTAGACAACCTCATGCCATCAAATTAATTATGAGGCCCAAACTCTCCAGTTTGGTCTAAAAGTGTTTGTGATCTCGTAGGGGTAGGAAAGTGATGATAATGACTTTTACGGCCGGGATTACATTTATACAACTACGGTGAAATCTGCTAAAGCCACAATTCAAGCGCGCATCCATTTGACAAGTGAAAAAAAAAATACATTTTCTAACGTGTGTAGATTGACTAGCTAATAGAAAAAGTAGAGTTGGACCCTCGCCCGGTTTTCTTAGAAGACCGCCTCCTTGTATCATGTATATCTTTTCTTTTATGCATGCCAAGGTGGTGTTGTGGGGGTGGCCTTATCCGGTCTTAGCAATTTATACTTGGTTGCTTTGGGTTGTACGTGTTCTTAACTAGAAAAGAAAGAATACATCTAAGTCGCCTAATTAGGATGGGAGAAATGAAGAAGAGAAGAAAGGAATTCTTTTATTGTACTCCTGTTTGAAATACATATATATATATATATATATATTTTTAAGATTGCTTTGTCATTTCATTATAAACAACTTATTTTGGGTTTTATTTCGAATTTTCTTTTAACTATTGCTCTGCCATTCCTTTTTATCGAATTTTTTTCCTGAAACTTATAATATGGGATGAATTTTGATATCTCGGAATCGGAAATGTATAACATAAAATAATGCTTCGTTTTTTCTTTTACAGATAATGACAATAACTTCAAGTGGTATGTTGTTCTCTTTGCTGACAATGGACTGTGCCACTGTGGCTGCACTCTCTCCATTTCGGCCCAATAATTGTGATTGCCCCACTCCTCCCACTCTCATTCTATTGGGCCGGATCCCTCGAATGAAACCCAATATTTTAGCAAATGGACATAAAAGTGCCACCAAATGGGTCAAGACCCACGAGGATCTGACAGGAATAGCTTAGGGTAAAATATAAAGCCTGTTTAATTAATTTGTTACTTATTTTAAGCACCTGGGTACTGGGGGCCTGCACCATTAAATGACATAAAATTATAATACTACTTATTGCTCTTCGTTTTCAGCTGACCTAATGTTTTTTTCCACTTGCAAGTAAAGTTGCCAAATTGCACAACAATTTTGATCTGATCCAAGCACCAGAAAGCATCCAAAGGACTGAATAATTTAGTCCCATAACTCCTATTCGTTGAAACAACTAAAAGAATAATTCAGTGCCCCTCTTGGTTATACCTTTGATGTGATCGATTTGGCCTACCAAAATGGAACGCAGACGGCAGACCCCTAAAACTTCAGTATGCTTGGACCCAAAACAGTTACAATAATAGAAAGAAGAGTAGTTGAAAGGAAGCCTAGCTAGCTAATTTTGGAGTGCGATGGCGGTTGAAAGGATCAACTAAACACGTTATAGCACATGAGGTGCATGTATGTTATGCATAGCAAGACCGGGACGATTCTAATGTTTTTTTAAGATCCAGGAAGAAAGTGACGACTCATCATTTTAAATTGCAGCTTCTACTGTTGACGGCGAGAGGCCTAAAACACACATGAATGGGCGAGTTAGGAATCTGTTAAGGTTCATGACACAAAAAGGACGATAAGATATGAAATTCGCTTTTCACGGCTTAATTATTGTACGCGAAATGTCACACTATTTGTTGATTTTGGTATGTAACACTTTGTTCATTTAACTGTTAAATTTAACCTATTTGTAGATTCTTGTATATGCTGTCAAATTTCAAATTTGCTAAATGATAGGGCGAAATTTTAACACTTTCTTCATTTAGCTAGATATCCATTTCGATTGTCAATGTTATCAGTGTCGTAGTTGGTAACCTTGGGCAGCTGAGAGTGAAGTGATAGAATTTTTTTGCGGTTTTCTAAAATATACATTAAGCGTGAAAAGCCATTTGATATTGACAGATTAAAAATAGGGGAAACGATACCAGAAGTACGTAGAATATGGAGAACAAGTTACACATGGTAAAAATAAAAATGGAATAAGTACGATGTCAATAGCAGGCACAGGATGACGCGGATGATGTTGTCAAACAAAACTTATCAAGAAGTTAGCCCACAAAGATAGTTACAGACTTCATGTTAATTTTATTTTTCTTAATTGATTTCTCTCACGTGGACATGAACTTCACATTAAGGAGTGTAATTTTGAGGCCGCTCAATTTACTTTTAATAAAATTATGGATTTGGATTTTTCTCTATGAAATTCGATCGCGTTGCCTTTTTAAAAATTTGTAACAAAGTAGGAAATTTCATAGCATTATTATACGTACCCTGCATCTAAAAAAGAAAAAGAAGTGCGAGAAAAGCGGACATAAATATCATTCTTCATGTTTGTGGTACCTTCTCTTTGGTTCCTACCAGTCATTTTGATCAACTTTGAAGAATTTTACTGTTTGGCAAACATGCATCTTTAGAAGTCCAAATCATCTAGAACACCAGTCCATCTAAAAAATAATCAATTGACATTAATTTATTTCACTATGTATATACAACTTGATTTATGACCAAATACAACTCTCTAGACCTTTTTTTCTTTTTTTTGTTCCTGCTTGAGTTACGTTATTGCCTACGTAGAACTTGCTCGTTCCGGGTACATGCTGCGTAACACAGCCAAAAACAACATTAAAGTATGGAAATCAATGGCTGCGAGAGGTAGAAGAATATTCTAAGCGTCGTAATTAACTACCAATTAAATACTTGCTCGGATTTAAGGTTGGCTATGAGTCTTGTAATTAACAGTTTGCAAATGGGAACTAATTAACAAACATTTTCATGTGATGGTGCTCTACTTTTGTGTTCATATTTACCTCCCACACGCAAAGAACTACAACTTTTGCTTGTTTTTTCCTCTTCTGTTTTTCAATAACTTAGAAGCGTTAAAGCTCTTCAATGAAGCAAAACTTTACCCTTATTAAAGTATATATTATCTTATAGTACGTGTCACCCCAAAAACTTATACTTCACTCTTAGCTTGTATTCAGAGCTTGAGTAGCTTTCCAAACCAAGGAATATTGTTGATGTTTCCGAGTCCTAACTGTAAAGTCGTATGAAGAGAGAGAGAGAATAGTTTCTTTAATAGCATCTCGTATTTTTCATCCAGTGAAGGATTATAGATCCTATCCAGATGGAGAGGTGTATAAGTAACAATTGTCAAGGCCGCGTTTGGATGATTAGGTATTAATAACCCGGCACGCATCAAATTTTGACCCCTTCAATCATTTATACCCAGTATCCACTTTAATTCAGGGACTCAGGTCCATGCTTGCCTTCTATCATTTACATCCAGTATCCCCTTTCTGGGACTCGGGTCCATGCTTCATATAGGTTATATGGGTTAATGATTCGGTATATCATGTTTCGTTTGTCTTAATTATGTCTCGTTACTAAATATTTCATTAATTCTGTTTTGTTATTGTTATTTTACATCTTAATTTTATCCTTAAAGTTTAAATTTTCAGGTAATAATATCAATTTTTTTAGCGACATACGCAAATAATGTTGATGTGTGACAATTTTTTTTATTTTTCAAAAAATAAAAAAAACATTTAAAAAATAAAAAATTTCAAAATATTCTTTTTTTTTTTTTTAATTTGTCTTTTGCTGATATGTTCCTTCCTGTGTTACGAAAAAAATTTCACAAAAAATTTCTTTGGATTTGGATTTAAAATAATTTTTTATAATAAATTTCTGAAAAAAAAATTGCTTTTGTTCCTTCCAATACCCACACAAAAAAAGTTCTTTTTTGGCTTGGATTTCAGAGAAAGCAAAAGGCATGGAAAAAAAATGGCATTTTGAGATTTTTCTTCCATAAATTTATTTACTTATTTAAAAAAAAATTCATATGTCAATATAAATTTGAGAAAAAAAACACAAAATAACTGTAAAGGGATGAAATTAATAAAAAATTTAATAAAGAACACGATTAAACATCCCAAATCATTAACCCTTTCTTATTTTGGTGGTGCATTGAGGTGGAAAAGGAAATTTGTCGTGAATGCACTATTCATAGTTAATCTACAACTTGTTTGGAAGAAATTTAATTTTGATATAGAAAATTAAACAGGCTCGAAAATATAATAGCTATTAAATAAATAAATAAAAACAGGAGTTATAGGACAAATTGATCAATAATATTTCCATGTGTAACGGCGTAGTTTGTGTGTGAACGTTTTTGCAAGAAAAATTCAAAGTTCGTACCGCGTATGGGGAGAATGTAGTCAATAAGACAAAATAGAAATACAGCACAAGTAATTAATTAGGTTGGTCAGATCTAAGATTTTTTTTTTTTTTCACGGATAACAGTTATATGACATCTATTTAGTAGTTTTTTTTTTATATAAAAATAAAAAATAAAATGTATTAGCACATAATGGATTCATAGGACCCAAGTAATATTTCAGCGCTGGACCACCTAATTTGGTTTGGTCCGTCGCGTTGAAATTTGTTTTATCAGTGTGTGTTCATCTGTTTTTGAAAGGAATTTAAGGGCTTCCTATACACGTGGAGCCTTATTCTCTTCCTAAATCTACATGTGAAATTTGTTTAGATAGACCCAGTTCATGAGGCAGCACTCGCTGCGTCCTTAAATTTCATTTTATTCTTTCAATATTTGCACGAGATTTTGTTCAAGTTTTTTTCTTTTTTCTCGCATATTTAAAATTTATAAAAAAAATTATTTTAATAGGATTTGAACCTATAATATTTTTATAAAAAATTATTATCATTAAACTACAAGCTGAATGATAATTTTCTTTTCAAGTGAATTTGACATCTTTAACCATTAGATTGCCTCCTTAACGGCGTAGATTTTCACCAGCTGACAACAGATGATTGGATAATTAATATTATATTCAAGAGTTTTCCTTGTAAAACCAAACTTTACTGTATCGTCTACTAAATAATTTACCTGTGGAAGAACTTAATGGATTTTAACACTTCTCTCTCAAAAATCTGCAAGCATTTCATTTTAATCTCGCGGACTCGAGATCTGTAATCCAAAATTCTACTCTGTGTACATATAATCGATCCCTTGGGATGTGATTTTTTTCTTTTTTGGGGTCAAAATTCTCCCTTGCAATATGCATTAGGTATCCTGCCTAATAAACACGGGATGGCATTTAGGATTCCACATCTATTCAGTGGTAACGCGTAAATGAAATCCACACAGATATGCAAACTCCCCCGGCAACACCCTGCAGAATCAGGAACGAACCTTATACAGTACGAGGTGCCATGTAACTCACGTTTACACCTATAAGCGTCCTAAGCCACGCAAAATACGTTACATCATCATGCCAACATGTGCACTAAAGGCATAATCCACATGGGAGGTTATTGGTTTAGGCCATCCCATCACTCTTAACATGGGATGGTTCTTTGTTTGGAAAGACCATCAGTACCACAACGAGTGCCCTGCCTGCTCGCTGGACCTTCGCTGTTCACGCGGCAATGACTTGCTTCAATACGAGGCCACGCAAAAAGGACACAGAATAGTATAATAAGACTTGGCTTGCTTGAATGGGTTTGGCATTTTACTGTGTACCAATATTTGTAATGAAATGAGCTTAGCTTGATTTCAACATTCACATGCCGCCATGACCCGTGAGTCCGATCTTTACCATTTAATTACAAAAAAAAATTATCTTTTTTTCCTTTTATATTTTTGGGACATTGAGACTAAAATACAAGGCCCGATATTCTTCATATTAAGTTTACGATTTCGGTGAAATCGAATTTACCCGATGGCTGCAGGTTTCTTGAACTTCCTGTGGCACTTTGTTTGAAAAAATAGAAAATTAAAATGAGAAATTGAGCTGCAATTCGTCCTCTTATACACCTAAATTAGGCATTTAAAGCGTGTTTAGAGACTTCAATCATCCCAAAATAAAATATTGAGTAAAATTGAAGCATGTCACGAAGAAGAAATCCTTTCATATCCACGAGAATAGTACTGGCTAAATAGTAAAAGAATGAATTAATTTTCAATACTAGAATAGCATAGGAAGTCTACAAACAATGAAGAAATTCCCTATACAGAACCAATTCTTCATCAAAGCAAATCCCAAAAGATAACAACAAAATATAGTAAAAAGAAAGAAATCCAAGAATCTTCCTAATTAAACCTAATCGACAATTGTAGAAATTCAATTTTGCAAAGAACCCACATCAGTCTTTTCTTGCTTAAGCGACATCATTAATCTTGGTTTTTTCCCTGGCAAAGGACTCTCCACTTCTTGATCTCGATACAGTACTTGGTGACCAATTCTTGAACCTTCAAATTCAGGCAAAGCAGGCATGTTCAGGTCAAAGTCAAACCCACCACCGCTTCTTTGACTTTGACTCTGGCTTACGCCACCGCCTCCAACAACACCACCGTCTGAGGTAGTGATTGCAGCACTAGTAGTACTACTGCTGTTGTTGCCTCCAATAGTGCCTTCATAGTGACAACGTTTGTGTCCGCCCAAGGCCTGTCCAGTAGGGAAAGTCTTGTGGCAGATAGAGCACTCATGGGTCCTACCACTGGTGGTGGTTGCAGCAGCGGTGGAGGTTGATGGATTGTCGATAGCTGTGGCGGTGGTGGACTCAGAGGAGGATTTCCTATGACTGGCTTTGTGCCCACCAAGAGCCTGGTAAGAAGGGAAAGCCTTGGTGCAAACCGTACACTTGTAAGACAGATTCAAAGTTGGTGGTTGGGGTGGTGCTGGGGAGGCGGTTTCTTCGGTGGATGTGGTGGTGGAGCCGCCACGAGCAAGCATGATAAGGCAAAGAGCGAGGTACTCTTCCTCAGCTGAAGGGGATTCAGAACGAGGCCTCTTAGAGCGTTTCCTTTTAGTCCATGTGTCTTCATAATTGAAAGGAGTGGCTGTTGTAGGAGAGTTCAGAGCCTCAAGAGCCATAGTAGGGATTCTTGATATTGATTTCTTGATTTCTTGCGTTGAGGCAAAGAGAGGAAAAAACAAACAAGTTTTCTAAAGGGTTAAGGAAAAGGCTGAGAGAAAGAGATGAGTGAGTGATGAGTAGGGAGAGGGTCGGTTTATATATAGAGGAAGTTGGGGTGGAGTGGGATAGTTGGTGGGTAGTGAAGTCGGTCAACTAAGCAAAAGAGTGTAGAGAGGGGTGGGATATGTGGAGACTGAGCTATTATAGACAGGTTGTGGGTATGACTAATTCTAATTTCCAAGTCAAAACAATGCTACGCCTGCCTTTTTAACCTATGATGACCCATGAAATAGTAAGGAGTAATTTGAGTCATAGGCTAACTCGGGGTCTTTTGGTCGTGCGGAGCACGCCTTATTGGGTCAGCAATGAGGCATTAATAAGGTAGATAAACTTGTAAAGATAGTATTTTTATTGCTTTTTATATTTCGGTTTTGTATCTCGCAAGTAAATCTTTGGATATCATTCCATTTAAGTGACTTGCTCCTTCCCGATTTCTTTCCCTTCTTAGAATCGTATTAATTTTTTTTCAAAAAAAAAAAAAGTATATTAATTTTCTTAAGGGAAAAGTAATAGCAAGTCACTAAATTTTACTGCACGTGGCTAAACGAAGACAAATTCACAGTACCACGTGACCTTACTTCCTTATGCTATCTGGTTTCTGAATCATCATACTGATATTCGTTATCAAATGGTATTTCTCCTCTTCCATGTAGATTTAAGTATGGCATTAGAACTGTTACAAGCACATTTTTTGGTTTTTGTTTTTTTTTTTTCTTTGACACGTCTGTTAATCTCATACTCTCATCTCCTTACAAACTGAGAGAGAATTTATTTATGTATTGGAATATGAATGTTCTGTATTTTTTATAAACATTAAAAAAAAAAAGTAAAATAAACCAATTACTTGAGCTGGTATTTTTCGCTACTACCATAGACTGCTCACATAAAACACATTAGTTAGCATTAATGACGTAGAGGACCCGTGTTCTCGTTGATTCTTCTATATCTTCCTTGCAGATTAAGGTCTTATTCATCGCCCTCATTTCTTTTATTAGTATATCTCAAACATCTAAACGTCTCGTGGTATTTGTTCCAGCCAGTCTTCCTTCTCCGGAAGCAAACAAACATCCTTTGCTCCGCTTCCTAGTTACTTCTACTCTCTTGACCATTTACACTCACGCGCTGATAAGTACATGGGAACTAGTTGCCACTTTTAACTGGCCTTATCTAGGATTTTGAACTTTATGCTTGGTTTTGGTAGTTTCTTGTTGGTCGGCTATCTAGAAAGACAGCTCTCTAATCTTCGCCCAGAAACATCCAACTCTTTGCCACGTGTATAACCGTATTCCCATGGTTATCTCTCGCTTGTTTTCTGGGGGGCAAAAAAAAGCAAGTCCCTTCAGTCCTTCACTCCTACTATTAAGTTACCTACTAGCCCCTCGTTTTTCTCTCTCGAAATTCTATACTTTTATTACAACACTTTGAGCAATATTTCAGAATAAACGGTGTGAACTAGAATAATCTAGATTTCATATCTTTATCTTAGCTCATCCCCCATGACACAAAACCTTTTTGCTACAGTTGAGGAAGATTTTTTTTTTTTTCCTCCGGGTGCTGTTGATGTTTACAGGTATAGAGATCCGAAATTCACCAAATAATATCATGAAATTTTCTTCTTTTTTTATCCTCAAACAAAAATGTAGTTTTTTTTTTTTTTAGGTGCTAGAAGAAAGTATGTAATTGATAATATGTATTACAATTGATAAAGTTGAAAAATTTTAATAGATAGCGTAGATCTTTCACAACGTATAAGTTTTATTAATATATAGATGATAATTATAATGATTGAATACTTATAAAATAATTTTTTTTTTAATTTGATAACCATTGAGCAAATATAATAGTATTATGATTGTTGTCTAATTGACAAAAAATATTTGGAAGCTTGCCTTTTATTTAGTCAGTATATTATTTGTTCTTTTGGTAGGTGAAAATAGGTGTAAATCTCTTGATCCATGACCAATCGATTGTCAAAGCTTCAAATTGTTCGTCTAGAGATTGTCCGGTTAAATTTCATTTATCAATTTTTTTTTCACAAATAGAGTGATGGATTGAAAGTAAATCATGATTCTTTTATCCATCACTTTTGAATGAAATTTAAAGATACGCAAGGATTTTAAATATACCAACACTAAGAATATTTCTCTATAAATTAACAAAAAACTATCCCTACAAAATGATTTATGGACCAAAAATGAAAATTTGTATTCTTGCATTTCCATTTCATTGCATAATATTTTTCAATATTCAACGTTTTTTTACCAAACTCATATTCATTGAATTATTGTGATATTCTAATATTTTATAATGTATTTATAATCTGCTATTCTAACATACGTAAAACTTGAAGTTGTCATTTAAAGAAATGAAATTAATAAAAAAAAAACCATATGACAAATATGAATTTTAAGTTCTAAACTTCTTATTTTTGTTAATGATGAAATAATTCCTCATAATAAATTTATAGACTATCAATATACACACTATAAATTATGTTAAATCAAAACTTGCATGATTTGACAAATTGGAATCCAAGAAGATGAAAAATAGTTATGATAGTTCAAAAAAAATCCACATATATTCCATTTTTTTTCCAGTCACATATTGGAGAACGAGATGAATTGGATCAAAACCTATTATTTTTCACTTTTTGAAAATAGTATGCTATTATCTTACAAAGAAAAATAAAAAAAACACAAGATTGCACATCACGAGAAAACCGTGATAGAAGATCTGTGGAAATCAATATGGGAACCTCATTAATACCGTGTTTACTGGCTAATGATGTTTTTAATCTAAATTTTTTATTGAAACATCATTTATCATGCTTTAAATATAAAAGCACAGAAAAGAAATCAGAGTTGGTAAATTCCCCGCATTTCCTTCAATTTTTTTAAAACACAAAGGGCGGCTTATAAGGGTTATTTATGTCAAACAGCATGATAGTTAGCTAGTACAGTCTAGCAGTAGCAAGAGAGAGTGGACTTCTTCTGTACCTTCACCGACGCGCAACCGTCAGGGCACACGGCAAGGAACGCTCCAATATTGCAAAGTAGACACGTGTCAGATCGTTTTGGCTTGTCTAACAAACAAATAGAGATAAACCGACAAGCAATTGTTGATGACCACATTAAGCCATCCTTTGGCCAGGGATCTCTAGGAAATTGCCACGTGGAAATTTCTGATGTAGGTTTTGCCACGTATAGCCTTTCTTTCTGTTGCACCTCCCACACCAACACTTGACAATTCTAGTGGCTTTTCTTTCATCGGTGCCAAACACCCAAAAATAGAAACAAAGAGAAGGGATATAACACTCCATGTGTCAAGTGTTTAAGGCTACCTTAATTATACATGTCAATGTGGACAATTTCTTGAGGTGACTTAACAAGTTAGTTGAGTAATGTCATCAATGGTTCGGTAATTAGGCCAATTAATGAGATGCCGGAATTCTTTCGAAATCAATTTATTCACATATTCCCTTGGGATGCTTTGGTGTCTTATTTTTATAATTACTGTTTGCACGATAAATGAGCTGGGAGTATTGTGAGTTCGATAAAAACAAATGAGAGGTTAGGTACAACTTAATTAGGGCATGGCAAGCCTGAATGGCCAGTTTGATAGATTTGTAGTTGAGTTTCACGTGTATCATCAGGGTTGCTGTGACTTGCGAGCAAGATTTATAAAATAAAGCACGATTTGTATTCAATAAATAAATGCTTGCTTTTTGGCAATAATATGAGTAACTGTTTCTTATTAATTGTTTTGGATTGAAAAAGAGCATGCCTGTGGATATTACTGTTCTGTTCATGAAGGCGTGGGTGGTAACTATCATGTACGTGTGAGAGGGATATACTCAGCAATTGTCTGTGCATGCACCGAGAATTAGATGAATTTTAGGTTCAGCGACGTGTTTAGAGAATCTTAAACACCTAATTAACCAAAAAGAGGCATTTAGAATTACTATTCACATTAGTATTATTGAACGTGCAGTTGACTCCTTGCAATCATTTTCCTAAAATTAAGCGTATGGCGAGATTCCTTAGGCTAGAGCCAATTTAATGCTAACGATGCTAGCATTTAAGTGAATGATTTTTTTCAAATAATCACCTAAAGATTGAATCCATTAAAAAAATCAACAAACTCCTTCACCCTTAAGCCAATTCTTAGAAAATTAAACAACAAAAAATTGGATTGTATGAATAATAAGTTAACCTTTCAATAAAAAAGAAAAAGAAAAAACTCAATAAAGAAATTGGGGTTTCATAAATTCGATGGCTTTATTGCTTTCTTAGAGTCAATATTCTATCTTTTAGATGCGTGGAACAGAAATGAACACGGCTTCTTCATTTCTGTTTTGTGTGCTGCCAAGTGCTACTCAAACTGGAGCGAAGCCCGCATATGCCGTGTCAGAAACTGGCATTTAGGAGATAGCTTCGTTATTTTTAATGCGTCAAGCCAATGAACATTCTAGACGTCACTTTTACAGGCTTTATCCGATAGAATCGGAAGAAAGAAATGTACGCATACACACATTGCTTTGTGTTCCAACTTAGAATAGCTGGAGTACCATGTCCATGTTTTTTTTTTATTGAATGGTTTTGATTTCTTAGCAGCAAAGGGTAATGAATGAAATAAGATCCAATTAATAAATGTCGTAGCCGACAGCAAATACCTTAAGGAAACCAATTGCTTTCAAATTGTAGTGGGAAAGCAGAATTTTATGCATCTACAAAGGGGTTTAATTTTCTTGGCTGATCATCATGTAATGGTCAAATCATCTCTTCGTACCCACAGTTGGTTGGAAACAAGTTGGAAGCTTCAAGAAGGCGAGGACGAAATGGGATGACCTATTGAATAGTGATGTCAACTAATTGATTTTTTTTTTATTGAAACAGTTCGCTGTTTTCTGTTGAATTACCCTTGTTGGGTTTAATTAATATCTGTACTGAGTTTGTACTAAAACAAACTAATTGGCCAAGTTGTGTTTTCCCTATATATATATAAACCTTTTCTAACGAAGACTAGGACAAGGCCCAACCTAATTGTTGGTCAAGTTACTTGTTTAAGTTTGGTTATGGAGATCAGAGGGTACATCATGTTGCTCTTGCCTTACTGATGGCTGTGGATTAAAGTCCAAAGTATGTGGGAATATTAATATTCTACTCGTATTTTACTAATTGTCTTAGTATTATGCTAAATGTGGAGTTTGAACCATAGTTTTACTAAACCAAAGTTTGAATTGGTGGGAAGTCAAACATAAGACCGATGCTATGCTTATATTTTACATCGCACGCGAATTTTTTGAGTGGTACTTATCTTCCTTTCTGTTTGTAAATTTTGATTTGTGAATGGGTTGCGTGGACTCTTCCAAATATTCAAAAGGAGAGAACAGTGAGTACTGAACAGTGATCTAATGGACCATTGACGAGAGGCTGGATGCGTAATGCATGTCGTTCAGCTTAGGCCGTTCTGTAGCTGGCTGGACCATGGGCATGAGATAAAGTAGTCGCTCATCAATCATCATTCATCAACAAGCATTATTTTTATATTTTAAATCCAGCCTACCTTAAGTTCAGAAAGGCCAGGTCCTTTTTAAATCTATTTTCTGAACTAACAAAAAATATTGAAATTAAAAGCAGATTAGGCCCAAACCCATTTCCCCTATGGTACTCTCCAATGCCCATGCTAAAACTAAATCAGGAACAATTATAAAATTTTGAATTTTAAGAAAGAAGAACCAAATTGGAATTTTCTAGGAGCTGATACAGAAATTGAATGATGATGACCTAAGTTTCTATTTTACTATTTATACGAAAAATTGGCTAAGTTGTGTTTTCCTTCGTTTTTTCAACTATTTCTAACGAGGACGAGGATAAGGCCTGTGTGTCAGGATTGAGACTTCAGGACTCAGCAAGTTACTACCAAATTCATGGAATCATCTGCTTTGTTGTAAATTGTATATTACAAAGACCTTTCCAATTGAGAATTTGTCGACTGTTGACTTCGGAAACAATGGAAGTGGGCTGGATCATGAGCCAAGCCTAGTCCAGTATATGGGCTAATCAGTAACTAGCAAGGATGAATCCAGCCAACTACGAGTTTATTAGAGTGGCCAATGGATAATTACTCCGTGAACTTTTAAATAAGAATTGGGAATAATGGGCCAAAAGCAGCTTTGTTGTTCTTCCTTAAGCGCAGGCTCTTCTAGCAACATTTTGAACCAGACAAATTTGTTGGATCAGGTTTGGCCCAAACACAATTACGAAGGTACTCGACCTCCTCTAGAACCAGCAAAAAGAAGAAAAGAGAACCTCAAGCTTCCCTATCGTCGCTCTCTCCAAGCAAAGAGAAATCAATAATCACCCACTCTGTCTCTCCGGTTATACATGACTATGGCAACTTCTTTACTATCTCCACTCTCAGCTCCAAACCCAGAATTGGTCTGTCCCTCTGCTGGGTTACAGAGGTCTTCCTTTCTGCCAAGCACGAAGCTCTTTCTATCAAGCAATTCAAGACAACCAAGGGTGAGTAAACAACAAAAATGCTGCTATTACAAGTCCCCTTCTGCATCTGGTAACTCACTGAGTCATATTCCCAGTCAGTTTAGAGAAGAAAATCTCAAAGATGGAGGTCAGACCCTCTCTTTTCTCTGTTTATCGAGTTTGCTATTGTTTGCTCTATTTATTTATTTATTTAATATGGGATTATGGTCGATTTAGATTCTTGAATCGTTAATAGTTTTTGGGTTTTTTTGACGGGATTGTTGTGTTTTGTGTTGTAGAGTCTTTAATGGAAAAGAGAGCAATATTAGGCTATTTATTTATTTGATATTGAGAGACTGCTTTTCAATCTTGGTTTAGACAGTGTTGAACGGAGGAAAGTAAGCCCCAGTTGTATTAGTTTGTTATCACAATATATTATGCTGGCAGCTAACTGGTACTAATATCATGGTAGGCGTCTAGTTAGGAGGTTAGTAAGCTTATTCTGTTAATGAGAAGGGAAGATAACATAAGATTTGTATTGAATTTGTAGTTTTGAGTGCTTTTATAGTTAATGTTTAGGTGCTGCAATAAGCATTTGGGGTGATAATTTTTTTTAAGAGAAGACATTGGAGTTGAACTGCGAGAATTATAATCTCAGCAGCCTGGTGGTGGAGGAATTGCAGCATTTAGGAAGAAGTTACTCAAGATTACTGATACCAGTCTTAAAAAGCCACTAAGTTATATTTTGTTCAATTTAGTAGCACCTAGAGAACAGTTGTGAAGCTCGTGGTTGATGTTTTAAAGGGGTTTGATCTTTTAGTTTCCTTCCAAGAGAGCACAGCGTGAACTATAGTTTAGAGGCTTCATCTTCTCTTCCTCGTGTTTCTTGCTCCCTTGGGTTCTTTCTTTTACGCATCCTTCACATCCTTTGAAGCGATCTAGTAGCAAGTGTGTTATGGGTTACCCCAAATGGAGAACTTGCTGTTAAGATGATAGCATAGGTGTTTGTGGGTTGTTAGGGGTGGTAATTCAGTTGATTTTTCCAGTTCAATGTTTCAACAGTAATCTTCCTTCAGTTATAACCTCAACAAGTCATAATTGCATTACTATGAAATGAGCTACTGGATAACTTTTCATATTTTTAGAAATAGATTTGATGGTTTTAAGGTTACACCATCAATATATAGACCAACATATTTTGAATGGCATGACTTTATTGACTCCAACTTATTCAAGATGAGACCTCAGATTCATGCCATTTAGCTGAATCTCTATGCTTATTTGGACAGTTATCTTTCTTTAGTTTTATGAAAAACAAAGTGGCCTTTTGTATTAGAATTTGAGAGCTGCGATGGTTCTAGTTTCTTTGATTTGTGAACTTCCCAGCAGCTCCAAATCTGTGTGTTCTTCCAGATACATGATAAGCTTCAAATTCTAACTTCCCTTTCTCTTTATCTTATCCTCTGCAGTGATGGAAAATTATAAAAATGTACCTCAATCTCTTTATGGTCTTACTCCTTCACAAATGGACATGTTTATGACTGAAGATAATCCCATTCGTCGTCAGTCAGGAAGAGTCACGGAGGTTCTTTCTTCTTAATTGCTCCTTAAATCATCTTTCTAGTTCAAGATGATCTTATAATTATTAATTGTATAATAGTAATTTTCTTATTGCTGGCTGGAAGTTGATTTTATCTACGCTAAATCTCATTGTGGTTAGTCTGAGAGATTTTTATTTTCTTACCTTTTCTGACAGGAAAGCATTTCATCTAGAAAGAACTATCTGGATCATGGAGGGATGTATAGTGTATCAAGCATGATGGATCGAGGTCCTTCAAAATATAGTATGAGTGTAAGCATGTACCGTGGAGGGGGCAGAGGGTATGGAAGACCTGAATCTGCTCCACCGGATTTGCCTTCTTTGCTCTTAGATGCTCGGATATGCTACCTGGGAATGCCAGTAAGCAACGATTTTTATATCTCATTACTATCCTCAGAATCAACTAGAATTATTGATCTATCTTGCTTTCCTTCTTTCAGACGTGTATCTTCTTGACATGTTTCCTCTGATAACTGCAGATTGTACCAGCTGTCACAGAGCTTCTTGTTGCTCAATTCATGTATTTGGATTATGAAGACCCTTCAAAACCTATATATCTGTATATAAACTCATCTGGGACACAGGTTTGCACCAGATTTTTTTTTTCTTTTCTAGCAACATTTTTGTGCCACTCTAGATAAGCCATTGACTTGTGTTCTAATGATGCCTGAGATCGTATTCATTGGTTGGATATGTGTAATTATCTTCCCTAATTTGGTTTCTTAATGTTTAGAATGAGAAGATGGAGACTGTTGGATCTGAAACTGAAGCATATGCCATTGCAGACACCATGTCTGTAAGTATCATAATCTAAAATGTTATCTGCACAAAGCTCATCATAAGATCTTTTCAGTTCATGCCACGTGTTGGGCCAATATTGTGTGCGTTTGCCCACTAGATTATCATTTATTTTGTCACTATAAGTTTATGCTATGGATTAATATTGTGTGTGTGTGTTGTGTATCTGCATGCAAGATTTTCAATTATTTTGTTAATTCTTTCTTCATTTGTTTAATATGCTTGAAATTTATCCTGTGCATCTCTTTTTATTTGCCTGAAGTACTGCAAATCAACTATCTATACCGTGAATTGTGGCATGGCATATGGTCAAGCAGCAATGCTTCTATCTCTTGGAGCCAAGGGTTATCGCGCTTTGCAGCCGAACTCGTCCAGTATGATCTAAACTTCTCTTTAAGGTTAAAAAGATTATCATGACTTGTTTTGGAAAATCCAATTGCTATTTGGAGCTATGGGAACAGTATATTTATCTCGTTACTGCACGTCTGTCAAAAGTTTATAATTAGAGAACCTAGTTGTACTTGAATCTGGTTTAAAAATAACTTTTTTCATAATTTTCAAACCATGTCATCTAACTGTTTGGACTATATGGCAGCTAAATTACCATTCTTGAGAAAAAGAAAAGTGGTATAATAGTTATCGAAGAGTGTTTACCGCTGGTCATAGGAACCTGTGGCTTAACCTGATGATCTTGGCCCAATTTCTGGTCCTCCAGGAAGGCCATCATTTAGGTTTCCACCCAGCAAATGCATCTCCTAGCTGTTCAGAACCTTCAAAACTGTAATCATTTATAAAAGAACCTGTTAAAAAAAACCTGCACCTGTTTGCTTTCCTGATCTATTTGATGACTTTGGCACTAGTGACCAGCCCATGCAGCCTGTTGATTGCTCATTCAAACAATAGGGCCATGGGTTTGGCACCTGTTTCAAGTAAATATAGATGGTTTTGAGCATGAACTTCTAATAATTTGATTCTGAATTGCAGCAAAATTATATTTGCCTAAAGTCAACAGATCAAGTGGAGCTGCAGTAGATATGTGGATCAAGGTTCTCTCTCACCCTCACCCTCTCCCTCTCCCTCTCCCTCTCCCTTTCTTCCCCATCTTTTTAATGAAATTTTTTCTCAGGCCAAGGAATTGGATGCAAATACTGAGTATTATGTCGAGCTGTTAGCAAAAGGAACTGGGAAGCCGAAGGAAGAACTTGTTAAAGACATTCAGCGACCAAAATATCTCAAAGCTCAAGAAGCCATAGATTATGGGGTTGCAGACAAGTTACTTAGCTCAAACGATGATGCATTTGAGAAACGGGTAATTTTTTGCTGCATTTGGCTTTTGTTTTGTGTTGGATTTCATGTTTAGTGCAGTGACAATATGCCTTCGATGTTCAGGATTATGATGCATTGCTTGCTCAAACAAAAGCCATGAAGGCACAAGGCGCTGGTCCAAGAGCAGCTCCATCAGGATTTAGGTGATGACAAAATATAGTGTAGCCAATTATACAGAGGAAACTATCAAGGTAGGATGCTCTTTTGTTGTTGGCAGCGCTGGTCTCTGTGGCCAGATAGCTCTGGATCCGTATGCGTAGCCCAAAATGCTGTATACAATGTGTATCTTGGCCAAGGGCTATGTTAAAGTTACATGTATAACAAATTAACTATAGGCCACTGGTTCATAACAGTAATGTAATGCAAACAATTCCATAGTTCTGTTTTGATATTCTTTGACTCCAGTAGAAAATTTGGCCTTTTTCGCCTAGAGATGAGTTCTCTTTTTTGCAGGGTGTAAGCGAAATATTTTTCACACCAGTCCCAGTGGCTGTTTTAGAGCACAAGCTTTTAAGGACTGTAATTTAGAAGCAAAGCTGGTGCTGAACTGCCGATTCAAAATCAGCCAGTTTTTCAGGGAAACTGGCTACAGATATAACATAGTGCAAGTTTGTGATAGTTACATTTCATTTTATGATTTTGAGAATTTTAGACTCAAAAGTCATTATGATGGCTTTTAAGTCTTGATTAAGAGGTTAAAGTAAGGCATCCCCATGTGAGGATGTTTTCCCGCTATTTTAGTCCGTTGACAATAATAATTCAAATACATAGGTACATATTTCAATGTCTGAGTAAATTATAAATTAGTCCCTCTTTTTTTTTTTTTTTTTGGGAATTGAATTAATTAGTTCTTTTTTATTTAAAAATTAATTATTTAGTTTTCTATGCTTTAATTATGTTAATAACTTAATCTTTTCGTCAGTTTATGTTGAAGTAGTGATTAGGATCTTTACTGCAATATTTTTTCTCAAATTGTCTTTTTTTTAGTATGCATTGTTTCTTTCTCTTTTTTCTCTCTCTTTAAGCACCGAAACAAATCTGCTTCTCTCTTTTCAGGTCTTCGCTTTTTATTTTATTAATCTTCATTCTCTTCCTTCAAGTATGGAAACATATCTTCATGTATGAGTATATATGTTAAACGATAGTTTAGGTATTGGGTGTTGATTCAACAGATTTGACAAAAACTTAACAGTTTTAAAATAAAAAGGATCAATTAATTTATTTCTCGAGACAAATTTATAATTTACTCTTCAATGTCTTCGGCCGAGTTTCAAGATTGAAAAAAGGAGGCTGCCAGCATTTATGCAAGGTTTCTGGAGCACGAGAAACCAACAGAAATTAACCGCAACCAGACTAAAGGGCTTCAAATTAACAAGTCCATAAAAGTGAGGCCCATTCCAGAATCAAACATAAACTGAATAGCAAATCCGCAAGAAGGTGCAAAAGCTTCTCAAAATGCCAAAAGCAGCTCCCAGATTGTTACTTATCAATCTGAAATTCTTAATATTAATTTGCACTGATACAATTTGTGGAATGTGGACATTTTTCCAAATTTTAAATTTATTTGATGGCTCTCCTTTTCATAAAATGGATATAATTTTAGTGAATCTTTTCTTTTTTAAATTGAAAATCTGTTTTACAGCTGAAAAATTGGTTTTTAAATTTTATCCAGGATGTGTCTGCAGCTTTTCCTTTTAAATTTTGAAACTTATTCAATGTGTATTATTTTTATACTTGAACACATTTTTTCATATGCTTAAGGAACTCTTTTTTTCTGAATCCAATATTAGATTCACGTCTAAATTTTAATTGGTGAGTTTTTCCATAGTTTTGAATAATCTTTTTCTTAATCAATTTTGAAAATTTTCAAAGTACATCTTTTTAAACGTAAACATATATATGGCTTTTGTCCAACTCTATTTTATAAATAAGAAATTTATTTGGCAGAACTATTATTAGTATTTATAGATCGTATATGAGGATGGAAATGGGACAAGTATAAATTATTTTGGTCCTGAAATTAATCTTTTTTTTTTTTTTTAACTTGGTTTTATATTTATAAGTTTTTAGTCCTCATAGTTTTTATAAAAAAATTTGGTCCCTACTTTATAAAGTTTGCGCAGTCAGGCTTTTGCATGCTAGTTTTTTTTTTAAAAAAATAAAAAATTATTAGGTATTTCTAGGGTATAAAATAAGTATTCATATATAAAAATTGTATTAATAGGTATATATTTTTATCTATTAGATATTTTAATTCGTATTTATTAAATCGGATAGAACAATTATCCGTTATATATTCGCTACATATCCGATTTATTGTCATCCCTATTCACGGAATTGAATGAAAAAATAAATATATAAAAATATGGTATACCAAAAAGTATTTGTATTTGGTCTTTGCTTCTTATATTTTTTTAAAAAATAAAAAATTGAGACTTATTATTATATGTATATTATTATTATTGTCCTATAAGATTTTTGTTAAATTTTTCTACTCTTATTTAATAAATCTTTTTTAATACTTATCCGATGTGCTTCCATATTTTTGAACAATCCTTTCTTTTTCAATTTCGAAATGCATTTAATGAATATTTTTTTCCCGCATGTCCATATGGTTTTCGTTGGATTTTTTTAGAGTAACTATTGACACTTGTGTGCATTTATGGTTAATTTTTTACCGCAAAACTGTCCTTGTGAATGCCTACTGATTTAACTAATATTTTTAGACAAACCATATAAAGGTTTCGTTGTTGGGCACTAATCCAGGTGCTTAATTTCAAGTAAAATATTTAGCTAAGCTCGTTATTTATATTATGTATTTTCACCAAATCGTCAAAAAAAATTATTATCTTATTATCAATTCGATTCACTGAGCATTTTCATTAATTACATTCTTATATTGCTATTAGAAAAACTAATGAAACTAATATCATTATTATGTGCAAATCTCATAGAATCTCGCACGAAAATAAAACCAACAACCCATCGTTCAAAGAAGCGGCGCGTGAGGGCCCATTAGTGGTCGAAATAGACACATTCAACATTGTTGTAATTGTCTTCTCTAGACGATTATGTCTAACATGCACGTGTTATTGATGGAGTTTCGGTCAGTAAATGATGGCGACCATCTTCCTCCCCCTGTTTGGCCTTTTTCTTCCATTCAGGGTTAGATGAGGTCTTTTCGCTAGGTGGCAATGTGTGTGTGAGTGGGAGTTGAGATAAGGTATATATGTACGTGCTACTTAAGCTGATTTAGGGTTTCTCTTTTCATGAATTTTTTTTTTTTTTTAATGAGTTGTCTAGGCAGGACAGCCATACCTAGTCTCATATGTTTGGGCCTAATATGTGTGTGGGCTAGGCCCATATCCCAGAGTGCATGGGCTGTCAATGCCTCTCTCTCTCCCCTTCTTTTTTTCAATTGTATTTTTTCTTTTCTTTTTTTCCCTGATTTTTTATTTTTTACTTTTGTAGTGATAAAAATAAGGTGATAACAGTGATCGTCAAAATTAGAAATGATAAATAACTTTGGGCCAACACTATTAGTGTTTACAACCAGTGACATGACTAAGATTCTCTCTCTCTTAAAAAAATAACATGAATACGAACTTTATAAAATTTATTTAAGTGCCATTTGGTTCATGAAATGAGATGAAAAAGTAAGTGTAGAAAGTGAGATTCCAGGCATTATTATTTTTGGATAATGCTTTTTATATTTTTTCTTTTAAAATTTTGAAACTTATTTTTTAATGAGTATTCTTTTTATTTTTTTTATATGGTTTTTATTAATTCTTTCTACTTCTATTACAACTTGACATTCACTTCTAAGCTTATCCACTATGCTTATGTAGTTGTGAAAAGTCGTTTTCTTTTGTGATTTTAGAATATTTTATGTGTATTAATTGTGTTTCTCTCGTGACTATGAGATTTATTCAACAAACACTTGCCACGTCTCTTTTATAGTTTTTTTTTTTTTTCAAATCCATTTACTATGCATGATTTTTTTTTCAAATGATATTCATTAAAAATTTTCCTTTTAGCCTTTCAAATTTATTCAAGATACACATATCCGAGAAATTTTATAATAGTCAAAGAGTAACTAGTAGCATGTATAGTAGTTACTTTGTAGATCTATTTAGAGGATATATATATATATAGGAGAGAGAAAATTAAAAAAAATTGAGCGGATGTGAAAATCTTCTTATCATTTTTTGTGGATCCGGATGTAATTCAATATATTTATCTCTTTCTTTTAAACAAGTTCATAAAGCAATTATAGTACATGCTATTAATTACTTTTTGAGTATTATAAAATTCATCCCAATCAATCTGTATAATTAGCGTAACGGTTTTGAATGATATTTTTTTATTTTAAATTTACTCAATTTACAACATTTCTGTGTGCCCATATAATTTTTGTCAAACTTTTTCCTTTTTTGACTTTAAGATTTATTCAACAAAAATCACTTATATATAATTTAATATGTCTATTCTTCTCCTTTAGATAAATCTATAGAGTAATTATTGTATATGTCATTAGTTACTTATTGAGTATTATAAAATTTTTCTCTATCCATCCGTATACTTAGCGTAACGGTTTTGAATGACATTTTTTTATTTTAAATTTACTCAAGTTACCACATTTATGTGAGCGCATATTGTTTTTGTCAAACGTTTCCTTTTTTTACTTCAAGATTTATTCAACAAGAACCTCTTATGTGTATTCACAGATTTTCTTAACTATATCCGGCATATATGTGAATTTACCTACCATACTCGACATATCAAATCCTGCATGTTAAAACCACTAGTGGTTTGATGTTGTATCACAATCTGTGTTCGCAAATAAAAAAAAAAAAAAAAAAAAAATTTCCTTTTAAAAGCCAACCCATCCCCTTAGTTTGTCTCTGAGGTTGGTCTAAATTTTTAAAAGCCTATCAAAACATTTATGCAGCTTTACTTTTCAGTTCTAAGCTTATGTTTTGATATCGGCATTTCATCTAAACCTCCAGAAAAATGTCTTAGATGAAGAAAAGATGATGATGATATAATAATATCATCATGATTTTTTGACTTTGTCGTTCAGGTTGGAGAAGAATACCAAAATGCTTGTTTAATGGTGATTGTTTACAAGAACCACATCTCTATCTAGAGATCATTGCACTTATTTTACCAGAAATAAGAACTTGTAATCGGTTACATCTACCCATATGTTCTATTTCAAGTTTTATTGAAAAAATAAAGAAGAATTACTTTTTTCCAATTCAATGCCCATATGGTTAAGTTTTTTTAATGATATTTTTTTTAGTGCTATCAAATTGAAACAGTGTTCTTATTTTAGTTTTGAATAGAATGCTTGTTTATATGGCCAGATTTCAAGATCTTCCCTCGAGATCGAAGGATTTATCAATAATCATTATAGATAATTTTTTTCTCTCAATTTCTTTTATAATATCTGAAATTGTATATAATATTTAAAGTTATATCAATTACACCGTTATATTGGTATTTAGAAAAACAAATGGAACTAGCATCTTTAATATTACAAAAAAAACAAAACTAAAACTATTTATTACTATTTATTATACTATTTGAAACACTCGTTCACTTAGATTCATTCGTATTATTTATCAAAACTCGGATGCATTATTCTTTTCATTATGCAATGATATTTTTGTAATTTTTAAGACATTTACTATAAAAGTTTTCATGACATTATATTTTGATTTTTTTTCAGATATTATTTTTTTATTTTGTACATATTTTTTTAATTGATTTTGATCTCATCTTTTTATTTTATTTTGATCACTTTGATCCTTGTTTTTTTTTTTATCTGATTCTTTTAATTAAAATTTTTAAGACAAAAAGATGTTTAGAAATAAACAATTTATAAAAATCAAGTGGGTTAAAACCACTAGTGGTTTGATATTGTATTACAATCGATGTTCACGCATAAAAATTTATTCTAAAAACCCAACCCTTCCCTTTAGTCTGTCTCTGAGGTTGGTCTTAATTCTTAAAAGATTGTGATAATGGAATGATATTATCATGATTTTTTAGCTGGAGAAGAATACCGAGATGCTTCCAAGAACCACATCTCTACTTAGAGATCACTGTACTTATTTTACAAGAAATAAGAGCTTGTAATCGGTTAGATCTACCCATATGTTTTATTAAAGGAGAATTATTTTTTCCGTTCAATGACCACGTAGTTAAGTTTTTTTATGATACTTTTTTTAGTGCAATCGAATTGTAACAATGTTCTTATTTAAGTTTTGAATAAAATGCATATTTTGTATTGCCTAATTTCAAGATCTTACCTAGACATTGGAGGATTTGTCAATAATCATTATAGATAATAATAATAATAATAATAATAATAATAATAATAATAATTCTCATTTCTTCGGTAATATCTGAAGTTGCATCAATTGCACCCTTATATTGGTAATTAGAAAAACCAATGGAACTAATATCCTTGTTATTTATCCTGTAAAATATGAGAAGGCCCCGAGGACAATTGAAAATTACTTTTTTCCAATTCAATGCCTATATAGTTAAGTTTTACGTTATATTTTTTCATTGCAATTGAATTGAAATAATGTTCTTATTTTAGTTTTGAATAAAATGCATATTTTATTGCGCTTGATTTCAAAATCTTCCCTCGAGATTGGAGGATTTATTAATAATCATTACAGATAATTTCATTCTCGCAATTTCTTTGATAACGTCTAAAGTTGTATCAATTACGTTCTTATATTGGTCATTAAAAAACCGATGGAACTATTATCCTTTTTATTTATCCTATAAAATATGGGAAGGTCTCGAGAATAATTGAGAAATCAACAAATTTTTTAGAATTTGTTTGTAATGGATGGCATGCAAGTAGACTGCTAGATAAAAAATAGGTCTGTAACAATATCAAACAAATAGCCCACAGAACATATGATATGATAAAATGCAAGAGCGCGTCAAATATACAAAATCAATAGCTAATAAATAAAATATTAGATACTTCTTATGTATTATACATAATATTATTAGAAACAAAAAACTAAAGATTTAGGATGGTTTACTATTCACAATACTATTCACTCATATTTACGTGTATTATTTGCCTAAGCTCATGTGTACTATTCATTTTTATTATGCATTGATTTTTTTTTTTGTTGCTTTTGAGTTTTTATTTTTAACATACATATGCAAATTTGACTTTACATTTTATTTTAGTCCTTGATATTTCTATAATATATTTTTGATCCCTAAATGACCAAGCACTCATGCTTGCTTTTTTTTTTTCAGAAATTTATTTTAGTTATTTTTATTATTAACTTAGGTGCAAAAACTATGAAAAATCAATTATTATTTTTTTCAATTTTTCATACAAGATAAAAATTATAAAATATATACGATATGTTTTTAGATTTTAGAATAAATATATAAATCAAATTATATTACTTTTATCATTTAAAATCGATCTCTTCAATTTTTCGTTTTTTATGAAAAATCTCATAAAATTAATTTTATTTTTTTTTATGTAATTTTATTTGTTGATAAATATAGTTTATTTTTCTCTATATATGGATTTTTAAATATATATTTTTAAATAAATAAATAATCAATCAAAAAATAAAATTCACGTATTTTATTTGCTTATTTTTATACAATCAAATTTATCGAAATTAATTTTATAATTGTTTTTTATTGCAGTCTATTAACATTGATATATTTTTTACAATTTAAGTTTTTTTAAGTATTTTTTTTATTTATGTTGCACATTCTAATCCATATACTTAGTATAGTCATTACACACACATAAAGATTGGATAATTGGGTTTATTAGAAATTAATTATGCATCTACACATATAACACCAACTATTTGCTATTTTTTTTTATAAATATTCTAAAGTTAATTTCTTTCAAATAAAATATTTAAAATAATATTTTAGAAGAACCACCAAGCAATTCAAATATATTTTTCGTACTAATAGTATTGATTATTTTTAAATAAATATATAAAAATCAAATGTACATATTTTCAAAGAGTTAATCTTCTCATCAACATAATTTTATGCAAATTTTTATATTAATTTTTTTTATTTCTTCAATGTAATCTTATGAAAAAAAATATTAATATTTTTTAAAAAATTTATATTTAATTTAGATTATTGTAGGTTTTATTTAAAAAAGAATGCATAAGGAGGAGCAAATCGTGTTTTTTTACCTGCAAAATTTATGAAAAAACATAAAAAAGAATAAATTACATACAAAATTTTGATTGAAAATTATGAAATTAATTTTAGAATATTAAAAAAATTAATAGTAAATAATTTGTATTATATGTGTAGATGCATAGTTAATTTTTAATAAAACTAATAATCTCAATTTTTTTATATATCACGACAATATTTAGTTGGTTAGAGTATATAGTTTAAGTCAAAAAATAGTTTTTAAGAAAAACTTAAATTCTAAGAAATATATTGAAGTTTGTAGACTATAATAAAAATAATTAAAAAATTTATTTTGATTATATTAAAAAAGAAAATAAAAAACATAATTATAATTTTCTAATTAATTATTTTTTTTAAAGAAAAACTTACCTTAAAATCCATACATAAAGAAGAAAATAAATCATATTTATTAACAAATGAAATTACATAAAACGAAGAATAAAAAATTATTTAATGGGAATTTCTATAAAAAAAAAGAGCAAATTAAAGAGATCAATTTTAAAAACTAAGTGTCGTATTTTTTTAACTATAAAATTTATGAAAAACATAAAGAGGAATAAATTAAATACTAAATTTTGATTAAAAATTTTGAAATTAGATGATTTTTTTAATCTTTAATTTTATGTAACCAATTGTTTAATAAAAGTTATCAAACTGAAATAAACATATTTTGTTTGGCTTGTAACGCACCGTAAGACATCGACTGGTTTTAACTTATATATAGAGGGGTCCACTATTATATTACTAATAAATCCCAATTTCATGTGAATAAAAAAAAAAACTTGCCTATAATTAACAGTTACAAGCAGTGGCATGGCCACAGTTCTCGCACTTTCACGTTCGAAGATTGTTGTTCCTCTTTTAGAAGAAGAAAGCCTATAATCGTTTAAATGTTTATTATTTATCAGCTACTGCAACCTTCCTGCTAAATGGTCTAAACAATACTTTATTTCATGCGGATTTGTGTTTTTCAAATATTTCAAACACAATTTATCTTGCTAAAGCAAGTTATTTACTCTAATCATAATAATCTCACTAAAAAATAGATGGCATGTGACCCAACTACTTTTTTTGTCTTTGTTTTTTTTTTTTTTTTTAACCTAGGAATTAAATGTTTGATGGGTCTATTAGAGGAGATAAAATGTTTATGGAAAGTCTTGCAGGTGTACAAAGTTGACAGGTTTTTGCTATTCTTACACTGCTAACACACTCATATAGTACTACTGTTCACTTAAAGGTATTTTTGTGATTTTAAGATAGTAGCATTTTTATTATTTTAAATATTTTTAAAGGCATTTATTTTGTTCATAGCACTATTCATCCTCTTTTTAACGTGCATTGAATGTTTTTTTTTTTAATAGTAATCTTTAGGTTTTTTTCAAACATTTTTTAGTCCCTCATTTTTTCGTCAAATTTTATTTCGATCCACAACTTTATTTGTATTGTGATTTCATCCCTCATGATATATACATATACATGTGTTTGTGTACATATGTGTGTGTGTGTATTATCTTACATTTTTTTTATAAAAAAAAATAGTTTACAATATATATAAATTTAATCTAAAGATTAAAAGTGTTTTTTAGATAATTTGTCTTAGATTTTTTTGAAAAAAAAAAAGTTTTTAGCTAAGAATCCATGGATTTTTTAATTTTCTCATAAGTTTTTAGTTAAGAACCTGGATATAGAAGAATAAATTGTGTTTTTTTTAACTAAAAAAATTATAAAAAACATAATGAATAATTAATTAAACATAATTTTTTTTCAAAAGTAGTTTTGATTTTATTTTTAACGTGATATATATTAATAGACTCATAATATAATATATATCATCAAAGTAAAATTATTTTTTAAGTTTTGTTCGATCGAGTGTAAAACGAATAAAAACTAATATATATATATAAAGGATGAGGGCGAAATCAGTATCCTAAATCCTAAATGTGTTTTTGTAGTGATAACGAGTAAGACAAAGATTAATATAAAAGAAGAGATGATACATCTTCGCAAATTTGGGTTTAGGGTTCAATTTTGAGCCTTATCCCTTCTGATTTTTTTTTGTAACGTGTGTCACCTATTATTGTTTGTATACGTGGCACGTGCGAGACTCCAAGCAGATATTTCATCTTTTCTAACTGAGCCCACCTCATACTATGTTAATGTCTGATTCAGGAACAAATTAATAATTGATTTCAATTAACTTAAATTAGACAATACAAGGTCAGATTGATTTAATTAAAAAGACATGGACATAATTGACAGGCAATATATATATATATATATATATGAGTAAATTATAGAGTTAAGCCACATGTAGAAAATATTTTGAAAGGAACTTGAAATATAAGTCATTAAAAAAAAAAAAATCCTAAGGATTTGTACTATAATTGCCTTGTTAGATTTATGGATTTTTTTTTCAAACCTATCTAATTAGTAATTACATTCTTGATTTCGGAATTCAACGTATGCTATTTTTGCATGCCTTTGGAGTTTTCGTTAAAATTCTTTTTCCTCTAAGATTTACAAATAATGATAAAAATTAAAAATACACGTGTTATTTTTCACGCACTTGTCTTTTATGAAAAACAAAAAGAAGGTGGTGATACGATGATATCGTCTTGCATTTTTTACTTTTCATTCAATCTGAAGAAATGAATATCAAAATGTTTATTTAATGGTATTGGCGTCTTGTTTACGGACAACAACCATCTTTCTATCCAGAGATTATCAATCCATGTTTATATTGCATGCTTTCTTTGATAAACAAAGGAGAATTATTTTTGCCTTTTCAATTGCATGGATGCTTATATTTTTTGTGATATTTTTTCCGTGCAATTGAATATTCTTATTTCTGTTATTAAGAAAATAAATATTAAAATCTTCCCTTGAGGTGGGAGGATTTATCAATAATCCTTATGGATGATCATTAGCTCTCAATTCTTCGATAATATCAAAGTTGTATCAATTGCATCCTTACATAGGTTGGATTATTTAATTTTATACATTGAGCTTCCATTGAAGCCACATGATCCATCAACTAACTTCGACCTTCGAGCTGAATATTCCAAACAATCCTTTATTTCTTGCTACGTATTTCTCATGTACGGTTAAATGTTCCAAACATAAGTTATCTCGCTAATACAAGTTACTTATCATGCAGTTAAGTAGCACGACCCAGCTCTGTCACTCTCTGCTTTTTTTTTTTTTTTCCGTCCTCAATAGCTTTGAATTCACTTGTTTATATGTACTTCTGCTAATTCCAGAAATATAAACATAACAATTTATCTATCGAAAAATGAGTACTTATGCTGCTATTGAAGGTGGAGAAGACATAAAAAAAGATACTATATAGAGCAAAAAATTTAAATTTGGCTATGACTCATAGGAATAAATCAACAACAGTTAGATTTCTTAGCAGTAACTCATGATGCTTCACAATTAAGAATCAATACATGTCTAGGCTAGCCAATCACTTCAACCTTCTTGCTCCTAATCTGATTGCGATGCGTCCCATAATCATAGTACCGATGACTAGCACTGGATGCTACTCTTATGCATCTTTTTCCCAACGAAACATGACGTTTGCATAAATCCCATTTACATTACTACCTGTGCTTTTCATCCCCAAAAACGATTAATTACTGAATAACTCGTTAGGCAGGCTCCTTTACCTAAATGCAAAACTACTTTGCCCAAAGATTGGACTTCACCATGCAAGTCACATGGTTTACCCAGCACCCAGTTGAACGACATAGATGAGTTGTGAAACCCAGAACACTCGTGCACCTGAGATGAACAAGCCCAATCAGAATCTGCATACCAAAAACTAGGTCGATGCACCTTGAAATGCACAACAGCTTAGGTGGTCTACTGTTTGTATTCAATGTTAAGGCTGCTGCATCCATTACAAATCCCTGTTAGCTGGTACAACCTTCAGTAACTTGGCAACATCATAAGACCTGAAGTCTTTGCCATAACATAAGCTAAGGTCCAGGGCTGTCATTCCATCCTGAGAAAAACAAGCAAGCAATTTAGAATTCCCTAGAACAGTTTTTCCTTCAAATACACAATTGCAGACATGTACCTTAGTTCTTCTGGTCTTGTCTGCACCATTGATCAACAAAATTTTAGCTATATCTCTGTTTCTGCTTTGGACTGCAACATGTAATGGAGTCCATCCTTCCTGTAAGAAAGGTTATAAGATTTCTGGGAACCAGAACATTATCAACTGAACAAGGGTTCAGGAAAAATGTAGAAACTTATACTCACATCATCTGCAACATTGACATCAACCTCATATTTTATCAGCAATTTTACAGTTTGCACAGCACCAACTTGAACTGCATAATGCAGAGGGCTAGCACCATCCTATTACAGGGATAAATAAATGGCAAGCAATGTTCCTTAGAGATGCTAACAAAAATAAACAAGGGCAAAAAAAAATTGGTATAATCAAAATTTTATCCTCACCCGATCTCTGACATGTGGACTAGCACCTTTTCTCAAAAGATGACTAATAACAGCCTCCTTCTTACCGATAATTGCCTTATGCAATGCTGTGAAACCATCCTATGCCAACATTTTCAACTTAAGATCTGTGCTCGAAGTAGGTTAGGAAAAAAAAGACAAATATAAGATATAAACATAATACCATTAAGAAATGAACTCACATTATCATCATCATCAACATCGAGTCCATCGTCAAGCAACTTGTCCATAAAATTTATCTGTCCCGATAGAGCAAGAGTATGGAGTGGATTCCATTTTGCCTGAAGGGAAAAATTTGTATGTTTACTACCTATGTTTTTTTTCATAGCCAATATTCTCTAACAAATGGCAATAACTAATACGTCAAATTTCTATACAAGTTCTCCTCTTCGCTAAAGAAAAAGTAAAATTGAAAATATATTTTTCAGCAGAAAAATTAGCTTTAAAATGTTTTCATAGCTTACAGTTGATAATTTGCGAAGATTAGGAGATGCGTTCTGTTCTAAAATTGCTCTTTCTTCTGGTCCCAAAAGTTGTTCAACCTCTGCAATAATTACAGAACAATGTAAAATTCATTTCAAGGATAAATTTTTTTCCATCCCTATAGAAATGGGGATGTTCCACTACACTGGACATGGATATTAAAATAGAACAAGAAAAGGCAGAAAAGGCAACACCACCTTCGACAAGATCTTCTCTGTCTTTGTTTTGTGCGGTGGAGTTATTGATAGTGGAAGTGGCTGTAACAGAATTCTTTTCTTCCTCCCAGTCACTCTCAAAATCCATGTCATTTTCTTTCCCTTCTTCTTCGTCTTCTTGGTCATAATCACTGCCACTTCCATCGTCAGGATCTTCCCAAACTCCGGGTTTTATCTCCGACGAAGATGATGACGGCGCCCAGTTTGACTCAGCCGCGTAAGCACTAACTCTTAAGCATTTCTTAGCTATAAATAACCGTAATCTTCCAAAACTTAAACAGGGAATAGAAGAATAGTTGACATAAGAAAATCGACGGGGAAGATAACTGAAATGACAAGTTACTGTAACTCCGGCGACCGCCATGGTCGGCTAAAGTAAATGAAAGGTGGGTAGGTGCGGAAAGAACGAGATGAGTTCGCCTGGGGAAGAAGATAACAAATTAGAGTTTGATGAAACTCCAGACGACGTGTAGGCTTTTCTGAGAAGGAAGAATTTTGGTTTTTATTTATTTATATGTAGCAGATATTTTGACGGGGCGTGAACTACAAGTCATTCAGAAAAGGGTCTTAATGATCCTACTATAATTGCCTTGTTAGATGCCTTTTATGGATTTTTTTTCTTTTCATTTTTTTTTCAAATCTACCCTCTATACATTGCTTGATTTCGAAATTCTTTTTTCCGTACCTATACGATTTTCGTTAAAACTCCCCCTTTTTTTTTCTCTTTTTACTCTAAGGTCTTTAAGTAATGTTAAAGACAGAAAAAAAAAACTTGAACACATAATTAAGCTTTTATATCTATTCTTTTTAAATAAACATAAAACTCATTATGAAAATTATTCATATATTCTTTCTTAATATAAAATAAAATAAAAAGGATTGCACCTCCAGATATATTGAATGTTATTGAAGTTTTCTCGTATTTTTTGTTAATATAACATTTTTATTTTATTCAATGTGATTTTTAGATTTTTTTTTCCAAATCTATCCAGTTTGTACGGATGTGGAGTCGACTAATAAAATAACAAATCAAATAACTTATGCTAAAACCACCACTAGTTTGAGGGATCCTGATTTAGGTACTCCCTACTAAAACTCTCACTTCGAGTTTGCCTCTAGGATTGGCTTGAAAGCTTGTCAATACGATTTCAAACGTAGTATTCTTTCCGAATTCTAAATTTATATTTTGATATTGACTTTTCGTTCTAATCTTCAAGCCCTTGAATTAAACGAAGAAGAAAAAGGTCATAATATGATGATATTTATGGAAGAATAATATTAGATTTAAATTAAAAAATTGAATCAAAATATCAATTCCTATTCAATTTTGAACTCATTTTTTTTTTAAAAAAAGGAACAACTAAATTTATTTCAATTTTTGAAATCTTATGTTTTATCCTTTAATATTGAAAATAAAATTAATCATTTTCGAAGCTATGACTTAATCTTTTTAAACAAGTGAAAAGACCAACTCACTTATTATTGAGTTAGCAACTTATTAAAAATGGTTGAAAGATCTTAATAATTAATATTATATCTTTTTTATTTAATACTATTAACTATGTTCTTTTTATTTGCTAAATAGCTTGTATTTCTATTATATATCGTGAAGTTAATAGTTTATTTAAACAAATATTTATTATCTTTTATATAAGCTAATTTAGATCATTTGAATTAGAAAAAAAATTTCATAGCTCATAATATAATTTTTTAATGATCCATTGTTGTTATTAAAAAAATCGGTTTTCATGAAAAACCAAACCTGAAAATCAAAATTTTGGTTTTATAAAAAAAAAAAAAAAAAAAAAACTGAATAGAAATTCAGTTTAGCCTCGGTTGTTTTTGTTGAATTCAATTAACCAAAAAATTAAAACCGAATACTCATCCCTAATGATATATACCATGAATTTTTTAGTTCCGTCAATCAGTTCGGAAATATGAATGCCAGAATACTTGTTTAATGGTAATGGTATCCGGTTACAACAATCATATTTCTATCAAGCGATTATGGTGCTCATTTGGTCAGAAATGAGAACCTTGTAATTGGTTATATCAATCCATGTTCGTTCGATATTTCATTCTTTTTTGATAAATAAATGAGTGTCCTGTTTATGCTTTTTATTATGTCACTGGAATGATATTCTTATTATTTTAGTTTCAAATAAAAGGCATATTTTAGCGTGGCTAATTTCAAAATCTTCCCTTGAGTTTGCAGGATTTATCAACAATCCTTATAAATATTTTTTTCAATTACATTTTTATATTGACCATTAGAAAAAGTAATATAACTAATATCCTATAAAATATACCCAGGTCCCTGGGATAATTGACAAAGCGGCGTATCTCGTCGAAAACAAATCTACGATCTAGTTCTTTGATTTCTTTAAGAAAGAATTTTCTGGTTCAATTGGAATTAAATCATTAAAATTGGCTTGCTCACTCTCCCACCTCTACCCCTTTTACTGTTTTGATCGAGAGAATTGAGGTTTGTGGTTTGAGATCACTGACTTTTTGTTTGATGGGTGATTTGAATTTCTTTTTGACTGGTGATGGGTGATTTGAATTTCTTTTTTATAAGTTGAGTGGGTTTGACTCAGTGAGTCAACATGGTGTGAAGATGTGAGAGGGTAGTGGTCGATGTGATAGATGGTGGCACCTGTAGATTAATCTTTTGACCTCTGAGGTTATGGAGATGAGCGGTGGTTCTGGTGGCAGGTTTGATGGTCCGCGATGGTGCTTGTTGGAGGCACTGGTGGTGTTAGATTAGGACTTTTTCATTGGGAGGCGGAAGGATTGCGAAGGGTTTGTTCTATAACCCAAAATTCAAAGATGGGATTGTTTCCCCTCTTTGCTACACGAGTGTGTGTTTGATTTCGATTAACACATATTTTGGTGGATGGGTTTTGATTGATTGAGATTTTTTAATCATTTAACAGAAAAGGAAAAAAAAGTTAACGAGGCGGTGCCAAATGCTTTGTGATATGTCGTAAATTATAAATTAGGTTTTTTAGTTTAAAAAAAGAATTAATTATTTAATTTTTTTATTAAAAATTAATAAGAAAATATAATATTTTTTTTGATAAAATAAATATTAAATTAAATACAGTCAATGTTAATTAATAAACTAAATAATTAATTTTTGAAAAAAAAATTATTCATTCATTTTTAAAAAATAGAGACAAATTTATGATTTACTCTATCTTTTATGGATTTTTTTAGTCAAATCTATCCACTGTACAATCTTGATTTCAGAATTCGAAGTTTTCTTTTTTTACGTACCAATATAATTTTCGTTAAAACTTTTTTTTTAAACTCTAAAATGCATGAATAATACCAAATATTAGGGGGAAAAAAAACGTTAAGAATACACAGACCATTACGCTATTAGATCAATAATAGAGAAGGATATATTTGACAATAATTTTATATTCATCTAAAGGAGCAATAGACTTGTAAGAATAGATAGAAAATTTAGTATAAAATATAAAGACAAATTGAATTTTTATTTTTTATTTTTGTTTTTCATTATAAGTAGTTTGCACAAGTGAATTTACTCAGACAAACCAAATAACTTATGTTAAAATCACTAGTGGGTTGATGTTGTATCATAATTTGAGTGTCCATGGGTAAATATTTTATTTTAAAAGAGCAACTCTTCCCCTCAATTTGTCTACGAAGTTGGTCTTAATTTTTGAAATCCTATCAAAATTTTTGTATACGTAATCTTCCTTTTGAATTCTAAACTTATGTTTTGATAGTGGCATCTCATCCAAACCTCTAAACACTGGCCTCATATGAAGATGAAAATGGTAATGATAATGATGGTGTTATGATTTTTTTTACTTCATCAATGCATATCAAAATGCTCGTTTAACGGTATTCATTTACAGATGCCACATTTCCATCCAGAGATTATTGTGCTTATTGATAAGAAATGAGAGCTTTTAATCGGTTACATGTATTTATATGTCCTTATTTCTGGGTTTTTTTGACAATTAAAGAAGAATTAGTTTTTCCAATTCAATGTCCAGATTTTTTTTTTTTTTTGGGTGATATTGGTCTAGAGAAATTGAAATGGAAATCATATTCTTATTTTTATTTATAAGATAATTCATATTTCAGCGTAGCTAATTTCAAAATCCTTCCTTGTGATTGGAGGATTTATCAATTATCCTTCAAATTGATTTTTTTTCTCTCCATTTCTTTTATAATATTTAAATTTATATTAGTTATCCCATAAAAAAAAATATTGTGCTAATTGCATCCTTACATTGATCACATTGGAAAAACTAATGGAACTAATATCATTTCCATTTCTATTACTGTATTCCTTACATTGTGCTAATTGCATCCTTACATTGGCATGAATGATACTTAATACTCATTATCTTTCATCCCCTTTTATATATATATATATTATTTCTCATCCATTTTCCTTTTTATTTATATAAAAATAAGGATAAACACTTTTGAACTTTCATCATCTTCTTTTAACCATATTTACTCTTTTTTTCTATTTTTTTTTTTTTACCTTCATGTTGAAACCTATTCAAAGGTGGGAACACGCTCGTGTATTACAAATGCAAAAGAAGATGACAGAAGATGATAATGATAAAAAAAAAAGTGAGTTTAAATTTGGAGTCATAAATTTTTACACAATTTATTAGAAATGTCTATCGCAGTACCTAGGCAGATTCCGAGTCGTTTAAAAGCCGAATTGGTGCACGCTGCATGGCTGCCTCGGTGTTACCTATCCAGCAAGTGACGATTCAATTTCCATCAAGAAACATTCTTATGGCTCAGACTGTAATCCATATCTAAATATTCTCGGCGTGCTTCACTTTTAAAAAGGGGATGAACTTCCAGAGTTTTATTAATAGTTTCTCTATCGAAGCTGCTCGACAAATCCTTCTTTCATGTACTTACCTTTAATTAAATTCCTAATTATGTTTCTGCTCATGTATGATTTGCTAAAGAACGAGAAAAGAAGGGACCATAGAATTCTCTTGCATTTCCTAATAAAATTATAATTAAATCACCGAATAAAGAATTTTGATGCAGCGGATAGTATTAACATATTCCTGAGCTGATTATTGGTGTTCTCTAAATAAATGACAATACAAATCGCCAAAATCAGTGGCAAAAAACAAAGCCATCAATTTTATGATCACTAGACAACCAAAAACCCACTCAAAATTTTATGATTCTTCTCTTACAGGTTGTTCCCCTGGTCAATCAAACCTCCACTTAAGTTGTTCGTGTGACAGTCGTACTATCAGATTGTCACTGATTTCATTTAAACAGAACTGTCTAGACATTACATCCAAAATAATCATACAAAACTTGTCTCAGTTGCTACTCTTGCATAATGACAAGGAAGAGATGCATAATCACATTCAGTTGTATATCTAGGAGACTAGATAGACGAATACTTACAGAATCCAAAGTTCTTAGCACAAACCTATATGATCACTTAAAAGGATATGAAACTACAGGGACAATACTACTTGATCGAAGGATTAGTTCACATCAAGTTTGGAAAGCTTCATAGGAAAGAATAAAGCCTAGAAAACCATAAGATGATACATACCGAAGACACCTAGCTCAGTTATGCTGGGGGGTTGGGGTACGCTTTTGGTTTTGGCTTGACTTCTATTTCATTTACACTTCTTACAAAGATAGCATCCGGCTCATGACTGCACAATGAACATGCAACAATCAGAGCAAAAAAAAAAAAAAAAAAAAGGAAAATGGAAAGAGAGATGGAGAGAATGAGATTAGAGTGATTCTTACGGTTTATCTCCCTCTTCGTAAGTGTAACTTGATGCCACAGCCAACAGACGGCCGTCTCTGCTAAATGAAAGTGCTGCAATACTTGATGGATACTTTGAGTACTGAAAAGTGCAAAATTACAACAAGAACAAGTTATAAGCTTTCCACTAATAAATTAATACTGTCAACAATCCAGCAACCATGTACCTGATACAGTCTCTTTTTGTTGTTCCCGTCCCATACGTTCACAAAACCATCACAACCTCCAGTTGCAAATGTACCATAGCTGCAAGTTGAGTTTGGAAGTAAGATAAGTGACAGAAAAATAGCAGAAGAGAAACAAGATGGTAGTATCACTACATGGCAAACAAGATATCAACTTCAGTCATTGTAAGCTCAGAAATGAAGAAAAGAACCAGGCTAAAATCTTGATCAAGACATAATTACTTAGATGTCTTCAATGAAATTAAGTTAGGCAAAAATAATAGTTATTGACTTCTGAATCCAACAAAAGAAAGGCAATGCTCCTCTTTAAAGAAAAAAATTCATCTAATTACTCAACATGAGAACTTTTTAGCTTGGAGAAAGTTCTGAATGTCTGCTAATCATACATGAGAACTTCAAAATTCATATAAATTGGGGCTTGATGTTCATTTTGCTTCTGACATATGGCATCGTATTGTGGTTTGGGTTCAATTTTCATGAAGAGTAACCTTTTGCCAAGTCAAGGCTCAAGACCAGCCCTGCCACTAACCAGCAGATGCGAGATGAGTCATTTATCATGAGCGAGATACAATTGCATAACAAGAACAGGGAGAGAATATCAATTATGATGACGTACAACAGAGAGTGTATTACATGATGAAGATCAACCTTTGGTGAATATCTAGACTTTGGGCATCCTTCTTATTTTGTCAATCAAAAGTTCATAAATCCAATGCATAAGTATTCAGAAACTTACACAGGATGAAAAGCAATTGCATTTACAGGATAGACAATGTCCCTTCCAGCCTCTGATTTTCGATGGCACTTGAATGCATATCTGCAAAAAGTTCCAACTTGATATAAAACATTGAATGAAAGATGAAGGATTGCTAATACACGGGGCTGCTTTCATTTTTACATAGTTATACCCTACGAAAACACCCATTAGTGCCTGAAATCAGCATGCATGAGGAGCAAAATAGACATTTATCATGCAACATTAGAAGTGTTCCACTGAGATATTTACATAGTCATCTAACCAAAAGACATGAAGATCATAAAAAAATGTAAAAGACGATCAGGGAGAAGAACAAAATCAAATTTGCACTATGCTGCACGGTGCAGAGGAAAATGAACCGTACTTTTTTGCTTGGCTGGCCTCTGAAGGATCAAAAAACTCCATTGCAACTCGCCCTTCAACAGAACTGAGAGCGTATCCTGTATCATGTAATTCAGGTGAATAAGAGTCATCCATGACAGAACTTTAAAACAATAATGCATGATAAATTCGTGAGTAATTAGCAATCATCATTGCATGTATAAGACACTTTTCCTGCCAACAATAGACCTCATTGAACTATTTGAAGCCACGAGGATGCTATTTATGGAAGAGCAGAACGTAAAGCTAAGCTATATGAGCGCATGTAGAAGATTCCTTAGGATGCTTTTCTGTTTTAGTGAATTTCTCGAGATTTAAAGCACAATACAAGAAAATAGAAATAACCTCATAATACAGCAATTCAAGAAAGCCATTGTGCAAGCAAACATAAATGAAGTGCATACAGAATGGCTTTTAATTGGGAGAGCATAACATAACGCTAAGCTATATGAGTATATATACGCTTTGCTGTTTTAGTGAATTTCTCGAGATTTAAAGCAAAATACAAGAAAATAGAAATAACCTCATAATACAGCAATTTAAGAAAGCCATTGTGCAAGCAAACATAAATCCGGTGGATACAGAATGGCTTTTAATTGGGAAGTAGCAGAACTAGCATATGATTTCACCCATCATAAAATATGGCAACAATGACAAGGAAAATGATGTCAGTCAGTGTTATCATAAATACCAGTGCCATTAGGGTAGCAGCGCACACATCGAGTTTGATATTTCAAAGAGGATTCTCTCCTTTGCTCAGGTTGAGACATATTTCGCAGATCGTAGACATTGACGTGTCTTCCTGCAGTAGCTACTACTAAACGATTTCCAACAAGTGATAGAGAGTAAACACGCTCAGGTTGTGGATATGTGCCAACGAGAGTGCGTTCTTGTCCACTAGCTCCTCTGGGATCCCAACACTTAAGTGTTTTGTCCCAGCTACCAGTGATTACTTGCCCTGTAGTCAAAGAAGATGGAAAAATAATTAAGAAGAGGAATCAGCCATAATTTTTTAAATAAAGAGAAGGTTGTCCCCTGATATTCCATATAATTATCACACTGATGGAGTTCTTTGTAGCCTCATTACAAGTTAATTGAAGACAAAGCACAAGAGCAGCATGATATCAATAAACAAAGCAACCAACATAACATAAATTTGAAAAACAGAAGTTTGAGGAGCACATGAGAGTCAGCAATCATAAGTCATTTTATGCGCCTCTTGTAGCCCTGCAAGTTTGTTCATCTTTTGAGCTTAACATAATTTTTAAGCTTCGACTATGCATTAATTAGTTATTCTTCACCTTCCCAGCCTATTTTTCTTTCGATGACTTGTTTCAGCATTTTCAAATATTATTCCGTTTTTCTGTTTCAGGGTCTCAATTGTGCATTTTGCACTTGGATTGCACATTTGCCACCCCTAGGGCCTGTTACTAAATATAACTTCATTATTGCTAACAAAGATATCCGCCTCAAAAGTAATAACCAAATAAGCCACGTATTTAGTTCATGCTGATAGACAACATCAAAACATAACAGATAAAGCTGGACAAACGAGCAGGTGTCAACGAGATCAAACACTAACAAGCTGAAATTAGAGGCAGATTTTTATCTGACCAGCTCAAGTTATACACCCCAGAACTACTTCACTTTCAAAATTACACAGCAAACAAAACTATCATAATCTCCACAGCAACTAACAAGTACAATATACAGGCAATCAAATCAATCATAATTTAAACACACCTACCTGCTGCATAAGAGTACTCAATACAACGAACAGGCGCATCATGCCTTCCCAAAATATCCTCCTTTCCGTAGTTAAAAACCAGCCTACATCAAAATTAAAAAAACTTAACCAATATATATATATAAGAAAATCTCTAGACAAATTCTTCAAGTAATAAACTACTCCTCAAAGTCAATTCTTAAATCCATAGACTTCGAAGTTTAGAGCAAAATCCACTTCAATAAACTTTGTCGAGAAACAAACAGAAAATTAGGGAAAATCAATTAACTAACCGTCGCACAGTATTGTCCGCGCTGGCACTGAAACCAGAAGAATCGTCATGGAAGCAGCAATCAAGCACAGCCCCGCCGTGCATAAACTCTCCTCGCAAAGCATTAGCACTCGCGTCGTATAATCTCACACTCTACCAAAAAAAAAAACAGATATTGAGTTATAGTAAAATATGAAGATTGGGAGGGATTTGATGGAGAGGGCGTACCTTGTCCCATGAGGAGACGAGCAGGTGGTCGCTGTGATTGGAGAACCGGAGGTTCGAGATCCCGTCGGTTGGTGGATTCAAGAGTTCACGGCCGGAGAACGGGGGCGGGATGACAGCTGTCATCGCGTGATTGTACGAATGAAGATTCAAAAGAGAGTGAGGAAGCGGTTGTTTAGATTGTTAGGGTTTTATGAGAAAGAGAAAGAGTGGGGAGGGAAGGAGATTTGAAAGTGCGAGTAGGGTAAAGCCTAAGTATCACGGTTTTTTTTTTTTGGATTATTATTCTGAATAGGGAAGAGGGGAATTTGAATTTTCAAATTCAAAATGAGATGGGGGTAGGCAACGGTGATGTACTGAAGGATTCGTAGTGATCCAGTTTTTCATCTTCTATTTTTCTTCCGTTTCAGTTTTTTTTTTTTTTTGCCCTTTTAGACTTCAATTTCGTTCAGTAAATTATAAATTAGTCCTTCTAATTTTGAAAAACAAATTAACTAGTCTTTCTTATTTTAAAAAATTAATTAATTAATTCTTATATGTTTAAATTTCTTGTAAATTAATTCTTTTGACTCCTTTCCGATTTATTTTAATGTTTTGTTTTGAGGAATAAAAAAATAAGTAAAGAGTAGAATGGTTGATGAAAAAATTTATAAAATAAAATAATATTAAATTAAAAATAGTCAACACTGGTTAATAAATTAAATAATTAAATTAAAAAATTAATTAATTTGTTTCTAATAAATAAAGGAACTAATTAACGACCTGCTCTAGTTTCCTAGCTATAAATCAGTAAACAATATTTACTGCTCTGTTTTTAATTTTTAAATTTTTTGCTAAGTTTGGTTCAACCTTCTAACGATTCTTGTTAGCTGGTATTGCTTGAGACACGTTAAAACCCACATTGATTCTCCACAATAGCCAAGTGTGATGATAAAATTTGAAAAGGCCAAACTCAACAATAAACACCTATTACTATAGGAAACCAAGCTTAAAATATCTTCGTTATATATATAAACACATTCAGTAATAATATATAATGACATAAATAAGTCGAATAATTTGTGAATGATTCAAATTTTAGCTCGTTAGAACTTAGATCGAGCTTAGATGTTAAATTTAATAAACAAATTCAAGCTTTTTTTTTCCTTAAACTTCAATCTATAAATTATTTTACTTCAAACTTAACTAAATTTTATTTGTTTATGTTTGAGTTGGCTCAACCACTCTCATGAGTTTGGATTATGAATAATTTTTTTAAAATTTCGTAATAAGCTGATATAAACTGTAATGAACTAACTTATATAAGGTTGGAGGTAAAAAAAAAACTTAATAAGATATCACAAAGTAACTTAGTTTCACGTTTTGTTAACAAAATTTGTTTTTTTTTTTTTGTTATCGTTATGTTCGTTTTTCTTTTCATTCCAACCATAGACCAACAATATGATAAATTTGTCAACATTCATGCTAAGTTCACTCACAAACTCAATAATAATCGATTTAAATGATGGTCTTCTGATGTAACAAAACTTAAACAAATTGAATCTAAAAACATATTTGGTTTGCATAAAATATTGAACAAATAGAACATATTATATATATAAAATATTTGTAAAATAATAATGTAAAAACTATAATAATAGTATAATAATGATAATGTACTATAGTGACTGCATAATAGTAATAGTGACTGTGATTGTAGCGGCAATAAAAAAAATGATAGAAGTAGAAATAATGATGATAATAGAGAAATAGCAATAATGATGAAACGATAAATATGAAAATAAAGATTAAAATAATTGGATGATTAAAAATAAAATAATATTTGATAAATCTTGTTTAAACTTTATAGATTAAAAATATTTTTCAAGAAATTAACTGAATTTAAAAATCGAGGGTAAAATTTAAAAAAAACAAATCTAGTAAAATCAAAAAAATATTTTCGTATAAAATGTTCCCAAAAATAAACGTCGCCTAGTCACACCTCTAGCTCGTCACGAACTCTCATATATGAGAGTTTGAGCTGGCTTTGCTTCCCTTGCTACTCGTATATGACGTCAATGAGATCGAGGAGGCGGAAGAGTATAAGCCCGATGAGCCTTTTAATCAACTTTTCTCGACCCAATTCCTTAGCCAAAGCCCATTCCAATTATTTTTTAAACTAAAAAAATAAAATCCAAGAGATGTGAAAACGGAAACAGATCTCCACGGCCAAAAATGCAAATCCAACTCAATGCAATTAACTGAAAAGAATAAAAAGAAAAAAGAACAAAAAAAGAGAAACACTCTTAACAATTAAACGTCAGATTTTTATAATCAATCAGATCTCCCTATAGTCGTTTAGCAAATTCTTTTTATAAAATTCGAGCTTCCTTCTTAAAATCTCTCCAGCTTTCTGCAATGGTGGTCTGCAAATGCCGTAAGGTACACACTCACCTCTTTCTCTGATTCAACTGGCGTGGAATTTTTGTGATCGATTGATCGGTAGTTATACATAGATCTGATTAGTTCGCAATTTGACATTAAACGCTTAATTTTGGAATCTAATTTCGATCTATTGTAAATGATTTTGCGTTTCGTCATTTTTTTTTTTTTTTCTGTCAATGGGTTTTTCATTGATTGAATTGAATTAGAGATTGATTGATTTCTTCCTTTCTTGGTGTTTCAGGCTACCAAGTTATATTGTTTCGTGCACAAGGCTCCCGTTTGTGGGGAATGTATCTGTTTTCAAGAGCATCAAATTTGTGTGGTATTTATATCCAACTTTATAACTAGTCTTTGGTTGCTGCATTGTGGTTCTTATTCATTTATATTTTTCTAGCCTTGTTTGACATAATAAGGACATGAAAGGCGGAAATAGGCTGTGAAGTAGGAAAAGTAGTTCGAGTTCAGTAGACATTAGTGGGTAAAGGAGAGAAATTACTGGAGAGATGATGCGATTAGGGCAGAAGAGGGAATATGTTGATACCAGCTGCCAAAGTGAACCTACCCAGTACCCATTCCTTAAGCATGAATTTATGAATGAGATGACAAACTATTCATCCAGAAAGGGGAAAAAAAAAAAGAGTGATATAACAATGTGTCTTCTGGAAATTTTGGCATCAATGTCTTGGTTGAAAACTGCCTGAGTTTCTTCTTATTAGAATTAGATGTGTTTTATCAATTAAAAGTGTGCAACATATTATGAAATTAGCATCTGTCAGGACGGTAGACATGTGCCTGTTTGGATTCGCATGGATAATTTGAAAAAATTTCTGTAAGTTTATTCAGGGCTTACTGGCTTACTCTATGCAAATATTGTCATTGTTTCTAGGTTCGTACATACTCTGAATGGGTAATAGATGGAGAGTATGACTGGCCTCCCAAATGTTGCTCATGCCAAGCTGTGCTTGAAGAGGGGGATGATCCTCAAACCACTCGATTGGGTTGCTTGCGTATGTGCCATTGCTGCAGTTATATGCTCTTAGTTGCACAATTTTCTGAAGCGCAAGTAATATTTTATTTGTTTTGGGGTTATTGTAGATGTCATACACACAAATTGTTTGGTTTCACATATCAAAAGCTTCCCTCCACACACTGCACCAGCTGGATATGTGTGTCCTTCATGTTCAACCCCGGTAAGAGCAACCTTGAAAGTCATCTCCAGCATTTATCTTAACCAGTTTTCAAGTTGTTGCTGTTTAGAAGTTCTTTCTAGTAGTGTTTTCTGTACGCCTCAGTTTATTTCCATATGGCTCTTTTGTTGGTGCAGATATGGCCTCCTAAAAGTGTGAAAGACTCTGGATCTCGGCTTCATTCAAAGCTGAAAGAAGCTATTATGCAGGTAACGTTTAAGCTTGAATTTTGGAGTACTGTATTCCATTATTAGTGCTTCAATTGTTACAATCCATCAGGGTTTTTTATTTTTTATTTTGGATACTGCACTATTGCTTTACTTCATTAATTATCATATCATCTAACTACAGAACTTCCTTTGTGAATGTAACTTTGGTACAGTTTTGGTGTCAAATACCTGTCATGATGTTATCCATATCTTATGTGACTGAATCCTCGGTTTTGTAGCTTTTGGTGGTAAATTTTTTTTTTCAATTGGGTTATCTGGAATTATCCTCCTCTTTCCTTGCTTCATCCTGCTAACTTATGATATTGTGCAATGAAAAATATGTATCATATCTTATGGGTCATTTGCATGCAACAAAGGCTTAAATTATGGTGGTTCTGTGATAGGGTAAAATGAAAAATATGTCTTGTATGGTCTCGGTCATTTGCACACAACAAAGGCTTAAATTTTGGCTGTTAAGTGTCATGTAATTTGCTTCGTTAGCATTAACTTTAACACTGTTAGTTTAGTAATAGCGTGGAAAAAAATTAGAAGGCAAAGAATTTTATAGTACATCTCTGGCCTCATTATTACTAAACTAATGATGTTAAGGCCAATGTTAATGGAGCGAAACACATGACATTGAAGTGCCAAGTTTTAAAACAGTCACTGAAGAGCAGATAGCCCAAACCCAGAGGTACCTTTTGTATGTTACCTAAGATGTATGTGCTATTTGTTGATTTCTCTTCTGTGGAAGCTGCTTAAATGTGTTCTAGATGAAATAGCTTATACGTATTAAGAATTAAGATCCTGGGGACAAAGCAATATTAATTATTCTAAGGTCATCAATTTGCAAGTTTGCTTCCTTGTGTAGTGAGTTTTAAGCCAACTTGACTTCTACTCTATCTCTCTCTCACACACACATGCATGCCCTCATAACACATGCCCGGACAGAGGATTGTGATATATGAGTTGCGTGGTCATGGAAGTTGGATTATCCTTCCTGGTATACCAACTGTTTATTGGTAGTAGAGTTTAATTTCTTGGCGAAGGATAGTTGCTTCATCTTCAAATAATTTTTTAGATTTATCCTTGCACAATATTGCCTAGTGAATCCTCGAAAAGGTGTATAACGTAGTATTTCTAGTGCCTTCTAAATAGCAATTAGACTGATAGATTCCCCAGGTCAGAGATCTTTTCAGCTGTGTTGAACTTTGAACCATGGCTTTGTGAAATGCATGAATAAATTATTTATTTAATATGGGTTCTGGTGCGATGGACTACAATTACAAGTTGCTGATGGTTGGCGGTTTATTATGGGTGCTCGATTGCTCATAGACTTTGCATTTAGACAGAATCCCCAATATGAAAGATATTTGCAGCTGTCTCGATATCTGTACCATGGTTTTCTGCATTGTATGAATGAAGGTTTTGGTTTAACATATATATGATAGAAATCTCCTTTTTCCTCCTGTATTCTTGTGATTATCTCTATAATGAGAGTTGTTATTTGGTTAAAATAAGGATGGCTTTGCCATTTGCATTTCAACAGGGAAAAAATTTGGCTTCCATTTTCTTTTAAATTGTACCTACCTGAAGGATCCTTGAACAGAGGCTGAAGTTATCGTCTTCTTCCTTGTGTTGTTAAGTAGGATTGAAATAACTTTTCTTTGCAACATGCAGACAGGTTTGGAGAAGAACTTGTTTGGAAACCATCCAGTTTCATTGTCGGCACCACCTCCCGCATTCACATCAGATCCACTGGTTGCCATTTCTTCGTCACCCTCGGTGACAAAAGATGAAACTGGAACAGGGCCTTCTAAAATTTCAGTGTCGGATATTGTGGAGATTGATAGTCCCAGTTCTGCAGGGAATTATACGAAAAACTCAAGTCCTGCCATTGTAAGAGTTTTTTTTTTTTTTTTTTTTTTTTACCCACGCAATTTGTTTGCTGACTTATTTTTTCACAATGCAAACCAGCCTGGTGCTACAACACGAAAGGTTGCTGTACATGTTGACCGGCAAAATTCGGAACTTTCATACTATGCAGATGATGAAGATGGGAATCGTAAAAAGTACAGTCGAAGGGGTGAGTATAAATTTGTGTAAAAGTGAAGTTCTGTTCAGTTCAAATCATATGACGAAGCTTGCTGAACTTTTTACGAGACCAATATTTGCAAGCCCATTCTCACTTTTTATATTATTATCCTGCTCACTATTCATTCCAAATAGTTTTTTTTATTTTTTTGAGCAGTTGATCAGAAGTTTTTAAAACAGAAACACAGCCATTCTCGGCGAATCAGAACTCTCGGATATGCTGATGCCAATTCTTTTGAAACAATTTTCTTATGTTCTTTAATTTTCTTTGCTTTCATATACAGTCTGAATTTCAACTCTTTTTGTTGCAGGTCCATTTGGTCACAAGTTCCTCAGAGCTTTGATTCCTTTTTGGTCCAATGCATTACCAATTTTACCAGTTACTGCACCTGCACGTAAAGATGCATCAAATGCAGATGATGCCTTAGAAGGTCGTAAAAGGCATCAAAAACATTCAAGGATGGATCCCAGAAAAATCCTCCTCTTTATAGCAATCATGTAATTTTCTCTGTTCCTTTTCAGGACCGTTATATTAATACATTTGGCTGACACGGTAATAAAAGATTCTTGATTTGGTACTTGTGGACCGGCTAGTAATGGCCACACAAAGACTTCCAAATTTGAAGAGTGGTTTTTGTCCTATATACAGGCAGTGATCTGTGCGTTGATTTACTTCTAACCAAAACAATGAGCCCGAATTTCAGAACAAGACACAAAAGACTATTTTCTACAGTGCAAGTGCACTATAATAGCTGTTTTCACTAAAGCAAGTGTATTGTGATCTTTTGCAGGGCCTGTATGGCAACCATGGGCATACTGTATTACAGAATTGCACAGCGGGGCTTTGGGGAGGAGCAGCCAGATGATGAGCAGCAGTGATTAATGTAAGGTTATGATGAAATAGGACAATGATGCATTGTACCATTGGATGTATGGCTGCTGGCCATTAGTCCTTTTGCTGCTGCTTGTTTTGTATCGCTGCATTGATGCATGCACTTGTTACTTCTCGTTTTGTATAAATCTTTTGTCCACTTTCAGAAGTTCGGCCTTTTTTTTCTTGTCTATTCATAGTTGAATTGGAGAAAATCAGGGTGACGGATAGATGTTTTTGTTTAAATTGGCCTGTTTTTGTAATTATCTGCTCCTGTTTTGTTAATAAAACTCGGAAAAATACCAGTTGAAAGGTCCACGAGCCAGGCCTTCTTCCTTTTTTGACCTTTTCTTTTACCCCTCCACTCCTTTTGCGGTCATCCCACAAGGTTGATTGTATTTGTGAAGGAGCTCAGCTATTAACTCCAGGGACAAGAAAAATTCTCATTTTCATGTATGTTTTGCAGTCTACAATAGCTTTTGAGTTGAAGCATGGGCACTAAATTACGTCAAGTGGTTCTTCGAGTAAGTTGCTTTTGTGCTCTGTAAAACAGTTTCCTGTTATTTGCATCAACAAAAAACACCCTGAAATTCTTTCGGAGACCCTACTGAGTTGGTAGAATTGAGGCTAACTGATCTTTTTTACTTGTCCTGCTGGAAGGTGGTGCATAATCTGATTATTGTACTAGCTGGAAGCAAAAAGATTAGATTCAGGTAATCCTCTGCATTGAGAAGTTTTCATTAACGGCCCATCCAATTTGCCATCGGCTTTTGCTTACTGGCAGGTACCAGCCGACCGTCCGATATCCTCGTTATAACCATCACTGCCCGTGCCCACTCCTGCCAGTGGGCTTTCCGGGTGCTGCTACAAGTACCTTAAGGATGCAGTTCGACAATTACTGGAGCCTAGTGATACTTTTCTAAAGAAGAGTGAGTCTGGCCTGAATTTCAAGTGTAATCTTATCATCCAAATTTTTTTCCTTGAAAAAACAAAAAAGAAAGAAAGAAAGTACAGGGACGAGGGAGACGGGGCCTTACATGATTTTACCAGTACAAATAAAACATTGACTCTGAATCCTGACAAAAAGTGATTAAGCTTGGACCGCAAGTACTTACAAGGGCAAGACCATGGATTTGATTTTACAAAAAAGTAAAAGACTAGTGCTATGGTATTTTTGTCACATCGAGACCAATTGAAAATGCCATCACCTCAGCGTGCAAAACGACTAAGGAGTGTGGACGATCAAAGTCAGCGCATCCTTTGCCTTTTCCCATTATGAGATAGCTCAAAAGTATGATTTAAATAATTTATTAATTTATTTATTTTGTTTCAGAATTTGAGAACTACGATTTGCAAACACAAGACGACCTCGCCTTAGATTAGAAGCAAATATCTTAAACTACGATTAGACTCTATAGACTCAAAACTTGTAAGCAAATGAAATGCATGTCTCACTATTTGAAGCAATAGTTTATGGGTTGACCTTCTTACACGGACAGTAATAGTTTGAACTTTGAAGGGTTGACTTAAGTGTACCAGATGAAATGTCACAAAAGTTGTGTTTAATCAAATTTTGAAGGATTCAAAAGCACCAGTCAAGTTTCTCCAATCCATAGACGTTACTGCAATAAATAGAACTGAAAAGCAAGGATTATAGCTGAGGAACAAGTCCACTACGTAAATCAACGTGTCTAAGAATCTGGAATAGTGCATCTTGCAGTTTGTCAATGGGCTGGCTAATTAAACTTTAAATAATGTCTTTATCAAAGTCAAAACAATAAAAATGCCTTAGATTAGAAGCAAATATCTTAAACTAGGATTAGACTTTATATACTCGACTTGTAAGCAAATGTCTCACTCTTTGAAGCAATATTTTATGGGTTGACCTTCTTACACGGATAGTAATAGTTTAAACTTTGATGGGTTGACATTATTTAAGTGCACCAAATTAAATGTCACAAAAATGGGTTTAATCAAATCTTGAAGAATTCAAAAGCTCAAAGACATTGCTACGATAAATACAACTGAAAAACAACTCTACAAGGCAAACTCATTCTGTGTCTTAAGAATCAGAAAGAGTGCATCTTAATTACAGTTTGTCAATGGGCTGGCGAATTAAACTTTAAATCATATCTTTACCAACGTCAAAACATTAAAATGTCTTTCCACATCAGGATTTCAAAACGCGGCAGATCGTTTGGATATTCCTAGACGTAACGTTTGATAATCAAGAATATTTTTTTTATGGCTTATTTTTATGGTTATTTGTTTGAAGTATTAAGATTATTGTTATTCTGCATTTACGATACACTAACTATCTTTTCGTTTAATGGTAAAATTACCCCCAAATTGTTACTATTTGGCATTTTTAGTTCTTTACTATCAATTTCGGTTAATAAAACAGTAAATTATTATTTTTTTTGCAAATGTGATTCTTACCAATTATTTTTAACGGTCAAAGAGTTAAACATTAACAGTCTAATTTATTTATTTATTTTAGTTAACTTAATCAAAATATGGTCTACATAAAACTACATAGTGACTATTTATTAGATTTTTAAATTAATAACACTTATAAATAAATTTGAAAATACAAATAATCAAATAGAAAAAATAAAAATACATATATTTAAATAAAAAATAAAGTACAAATTTTTTTTCTAGCTAAGTATTTCTTTTAGATTCATGCTGATATGGCCATTAAATTAACTAGATTAAAAATAAAAGATTTAAATCTAGTATTAACTAAATTGTCGTTAATTCAAATTTTTTATTTTTTTCTAATCAAGTATTTTTATTAAATTCATACTTGCATAACCATTACAATTGATGAGATTAAAAATAAAATAAAATATTTAAATCTAGTATTAATTAGATTGTTGTTAATATAAATTTTTAATTTTTTCTAATTCAATATTTCGTTAAATTTATGTTGACATAACCATTGAATTGACACATTACCGTTGATCCGTCCATCACATAAACATGAATATTTTATTTTATTTCTAATTAAGAGTTTGCATTGTTATTTTTTTACATAAATATATGTACTTTTACTTTTTTATTTAGTTATCTGCACTTTCAAGCTTTTTTTTTTTTTTGTTAAGAGTGTTATTAATTTTGAAGTCTAACAAATAGCTACTATGTAATTTTATATAAATCATATTTTAACTAAGTTAACTAATTTACTTAAAAGAACAATTGGATTGTTAAAGGTTGATTGTTGACAGCCAATCCTTTGTGTTGTTAAAAATAATGAATAAGGGTTACATTTATCAAAAGAATAATAATTTGAGATTCAATTAGCCTAAATTAGTCGCAAATGTCTGAAATTATCAAATTGTGATAGGTTGGGGGCAATTTTTGCCGTTAAACCATCACTTAATTGGTGAACTTACATAAAGATAAGGTAAGTGTTGTGACACAATACACACGTATTTAGCCACTTTTAACTTATTATAGTGATAATTTTAATAAATTGATCTAGTGATTAAAGAATATCATTATCGTCAAATCAAAATAATTAATAAAAACAAAAACTTATTAGAGCGAGTCAAATGGAGGTGTTTTTTTTTTTTTTTTAATCTTGTATTGATATTTTAAATGGTAATTGCATTTTATCATTTATCATTCTTCATTAATATAACTACGAAAAAATTAGTTAAAAATATAATAATACTAATTTGCAGTTACATAGGTAACCAAATGACTCTTAATTCAAAGGCAAATATAATTATTGTGACTTTAAGTAATTACATTAGGTACTGAGTATATATTTTTTTAAAAAAAGTATTGAATACTTTTTTTATAGTACGATTAGGAAGGTGTTTTTGAACTAACTTTTACTTTAATCGACATTAAATTTATCTTTTTTTTAGATAAGCAGTGATAAATCACGCCTAACGGATACTTATAGTGACTATTTATTAAATTATAGAATAGGAAGATTACAAGAGAATATCCTTATTGATATATATATATTTTTTTTGAGAAATATCGATGTTTAATATATAAACCTAGGCATGTATCTCAACATCCATAGGTCTATGCTTAAATTTCATTTATAAAGTGATTATCTCTTGACAAAAAACCAAAATATGGACGTGGAAGTTTTAACAATTTCAAATTCTGACATTTGAGGAAAAGGTCTTTTTTATTTTTATTTTTATTTTTTTGTGTTGGTCTTCCAAGCATCATTTCTATCCTTACGCACGCATTTAAATTTTAATATTCCTTAATTTTATCTTGCCATCATTATATGAGTTGTTTAAGAACAAGAGATTATTATAGACAAAGATTAGGCCCAGTTTGCCACAGCACGTCAGCTCCTAAACTTCTAAATTAGCCGTGGGCCTAGTAGATTAACTAGCTCGAACGGGCAACATCGGAGTCCCACAGTTTGACGTAACCCTAAAGAAAACATAAATTCAAGGCAGCGTCAGAATTCAAAAATGTTTTATTAGTTATAAGATTGATTCAAAATAAATGACACTTCCACAAGCCTAAGATATCTGTATTTGTGATACTACAGCCTTTAAGTTATTTGAGTTTGCTTATGGCTTTTCGAGTCGATAAATTAAAGCCACTCTTTCAACTCTAATGCGGCAAAATGAGTTTCAGTCATCACTATCGCTTTCTTTTTCAAAATGATTCCTTTTCAACTTGTGGTTGATGTGAGGATTGTAATTGCCTTCTTATTTACAATCATGGAATTGAAAAAAATACCACTAAATATCTATGTTCAGTAATATCGATCTGTCAGCTTCAAATTTTTAACAAAAAATGTCAAAAACTAAAAATATGATTTTAAAAAATAATAATCGGGATAGCCTACCTCATGACAAGTCAAATAATGAGCATCTAATTTTGAACATAAGAAATTTCAAACTAGCAAATTAACATCCTAATTGCAACTTTGCAAAATAATTATGTACAACTTTTGGTATGATCTGAAAAACACAAGAGTCTCAAGTAAAAATGCTACCCGACTTAAACATACTCATCCTTG